ATTACGCATACGCCGTGTGCCCAACAATAAAAAATTAAAAAAAAAAGGAACCCAAACGACAAATTTATGAAATTTAATCCAATGGAAATGGAAATGAGAACGAAAACGAAAACGAAAACCGGAGAACATCGGGGCGAAACGGACGAGTGTGGAGGCGACAAAATGAATTCAGTTTCAATTAATTGCAGAAGCCGCTGGCTCTGGTCTCTGGTCTCTGGGCTCTGGGCTGTGGCGTTCGGGTACAATGCGGGCATTGGCATTGGGCATTGGCATTGGTTTGGCTCCACTGATGATGGAGGATACGGACCCAAAGAGCCAGGCAGCCATCCAGCCGCAAGGAGAATGTTTTATGATTGCTGATGTCGCGCCGCACCCCCAGCCGGGAGACCGGTTCTCCACTCGAGCCGATTCTCTGTTTGTTTTATTATGCGTAAGAGATTATAATGGAATTAATTACGTATACGCACAGGTGGACGCAGGACATGGCACACACTGCTGGCCACTTAATTAGTATGTGGGGGTACAGACTACATACATATATGTATGCCGCTGATGCTGCCGCTCTGCCGCTGCTGCCTGCCGCTGCCTGCGCTGTGTTTGCTTATATTTAATTGCCTGACGGCTTTTGGCAAACATTTTCGTTGCCCCCTGCACGGCGTGGAGCGGCGCCGCGCGGCTCGGCACTGTTTTATTCGTTTCTTTGTTTGTTTATGTTTTATCCACTTTTTTAAACGTTTACGCCATAAATCCGGCAAATACCCTTACAGCCAGACTACGCGTAAACACGTAAATATTTTTAATGGGAAATGAGAAAAGCGATCGAAGAGATCTTCTGTTCATTCATAAATCAATCTATGAGATAAATGAAATTTCTATAAAGCAGAAAGAAAAGAACGAGCAAGAGTCATCCAATAATGAGAACTGTTGCAAGGGGGTTTGGTTAGCACCCATAAAGTATTTAGTAGGTATATTCTATCAATAAAGAGGGTATTAAAAAAGGCTCTTGCTGCAGGCTCTTCGCGCAAGTGTGATGACTAAAAGGATGGCTACAGAGTTTTGATATTTTTTTTTCTTTCCAGCCTGGCATTTAGATTTGCATAATTAATCAATTAATGCTGCGCTTTATAGTCATCCCAGCCCCAATTAGAACTGTGTGGGCGGTCAAGTGATGATGTTTGTTTTGGGGGTTTGGGGGGTGCCATGGCCATGTCGCGTGCATAAATTTTGCATCATTTTAATTTTGATTTTCAGATTGCACATTTTTAAGCCGCGCACGTTCCCGTTCACAAATATGTACACACACGTGTACACCATACATACATACATACATATATATACAATCGAAACATATACCCAATATTTATTTGCGCCTAAATGGTTCAGGGCAGAGAGGGTTCTATGGACAGCATTTCATTTGATATGCAACTTGTTTGCCTCATCGCCAATGGACATGTCAATTATTTAATGTTTAGTGCCTTATTGCATTTCAATTTTTGCAATTTTTATCGCCAGTAATTTGATATTCACAGCGATTACGTGACGTGCATCGTGGAATTTCCTTTACAGTCCGAATGTCCATAGTGGTTTTTTTTTCTTTTTGGGGCTGCTTTCTATTAGACGGGTGGGTGGAAGAGTGAAATGAGAATTTTTATTGACTGTGCGTCGGTTCCGTATTCCATTTATTATAATCTCTTCATTGGCTCCTCGCAGAACGGAAGCAAAGAGCCTCCCTCCTCTTGGGTTTATTCATACTGAGATTTGTTTGGATTTTCTGGCTCTTTTCTACTGATGTAAAAGTCTTTCAACATTATTTGAAACTACATTGGTTGCTTCTGGGTTGCTCATGGGTTGGAATGCCTAATCAGACTTTACCCCAATTTTGCCCATGATCTCTCAATTGACAGCGAAATTCTTGGGAAATCTTTTTCCCCTTCTTTGAATTCGTTTGAGTCATTTTGTTGTGTCATGTGGCATGGTAATCCCCTAAGATGCTGCCCAAGCCCCCACCAGGTTCCACTTAAGAGATACTCGCACGACATTGAGGTGTCAAAAGTGTGCGCTACTGCACTGCCCTGCCTGCCCTGCTCTCCCCTGCTCTGCACCTCTGTGGTCTATTTTGGTTTTTGGTTTTGGTTGGGTTCGTCATTAGACGACTGCTGATTCAGTCCACAATACTAATGGATCTTTTGGGCAGCCGCTTCCGCCACTGGCCACCGGCCACCGGCCACCGGCCACCGGGCCGCTAGCCCCTTTGCATCCTTTCCTGCTGTCACTGTCACTCTCACTGCGGGGTGGAGGGGAGGGGAGGCACCTCCTCACCTGCCATTTGAATGCATTTGATTTGATATTTTCTGTCATTTGCGTGTCGTTGTTTTCCCCTTCTGTTGTTCTTAGAATTATTAGTTTGTATCTTCGACTTGCCCCCTTCTGTTTGTGTATCTGTATCGCTGTGTCCCAGTGTCACGTTCGCCTCTCGATATTCCTCTTGCTGTGCACGTCTTTTGGCTTTGCTTTTGTTGTCTTTGACATTCTATTTTTAAGCAAGAACAACAAAGCACTAAATACATAAATAATATGACCCCCTCTTAATTGCATTCCCTGTTTCTCTTCAGTGTTTTTTTTTTCTGCTACTCTTTAACCATCTTATTTGTCCCATCTTTGTCGTTGAACAGCATCTGTTATTTCTTCCGCCGGAATTTCCGGTAATCTGTCGTCTTCCATAGATAATGAGTTTAGGCCAAACGCTAATGGCAGGCACCAATTTGTAGGGTAAATTTGAAAAAAAAAAACATTCTAAGAATTTAATGCGATTGGATTCTGCTTTTTTGTTTTGCTTAGAAGAATATTTCCATCAAAGTTCGGGGGCATATGTAGATTCAGATCTTAATATCTCTACCTTTTAGCTTCCGATTTGTTGGTTATTTTTGGTTGGTGAATTCCTTCTATTGCCAAGCGGCTCTGTGATAGAGAAATTATTATTGTTTTTTCATTTCAACCTCAGAGCCTTTTCTGGATGTATGAAAGGTTTTCGAAGCGCTCAGGCCAAGGGATTTTCAGGGGTAAAATCTGAAACTAAAGCACAATATTTAGTTAATTTCACCAATGGGCAAACTCCAGCGTCAATCGTGAACATGCGATGGATTTGATTTGGCTTGTGATTTTTGATTGGGGGGGGGGGGGGATTGGGCGGCGCTAACTTTCAATTAAAAAACCATATAAAATTCATGACTGAAACGTCGCGTCGCTATCGATGTTGGCTTGAATTTTCCATGTTTTACAAGCCCCAGCCCTTCCCACCCTCCCACAGATGGATTTTTGTTCAGGCACACAACAGAAACGCGTGCATAAAAATTTGATGTGGTGTTGGGAAAAAAAGTTTATCCACACAGCAAAGCGTTGAGCATTTCATTTCAATGAGTCTCAATGTACATGTGGCATCATAGCGCCCACCGAGCACCACTCCTCTTTTCAATTTCAATTAAATTTCAATCTGGTATGCCACATGAAAAATGCAAAATGCAAAAATGCATTTGCACTTGAATTCAAAAATGATCTTATCTCCGGCTGCATTCTTTGGCCAAGCGAATTTTCCTTTAAGCGAACGAGAGACAAATTCAGAGGAAAAATTTTTCAACTATTTCTTGGCATTTGGTGACGTGCGGCGATCGTGGGGCGATGGCTCGCTCGGCCAAAGAGGCAAAAATAAATGAAATAAATATAAAAATGTTGCGCATAAAAATCTATTTTGATTCAAGGTCGCGTCATCAGTTTCTCTCAACGGGGTGGAGCGGTAAGTGGATAGTGCCCAGTGGATAGGTGGGGGATATACATACATACATACATTTAGATGGGAAAGAGATCTACGATGATCATGGCAAAGACAAATCACTTAAAGCTGTGCAATATGCGCTCTGATCGATCTAGCACCTTTGGCAGTTTTCTTATAATTTTACCCATTCAAGGATCATGCACTCAAAATATAATCACGATTGGGGATCATCTCACATGAATACACATTACACCTTAAATATGCTTCTCCCTCAATGGAAGAGACCTTCTTCGTGCGGCAGATTGTTCAATTATTCAATTGTGAACCTGAGACGAGTCGGCGGTTGAATGATGATTAGATTTATTAGATGCGGGATTAGCTTGCCCCTGAGCGGAGGGTAGGGTGGATCCAGGGCTCTCCCTGTTGTCTCCACTTTGTGCCGCAACAAAATGCTAATTGAGTTCGAGCTCTCGAGCTCGAGCTCGTGGCTTGAGAATGGGACGCCTACTCCCAGCTTCTATTTCTTGATCAAAGTTCCACACACACACACACACACACACACACACACACACACATTAAACACTCGTATTTTTTGTGAAAATTCGACGTCTTTTTGTTCTTCTTCTTTTCTTTTCATTTTGTTTGTTTGTTTGTGGGTAAACGATTTGATTTGTCGTCGCGACTTTTGAATTGAAATGGAAATGGAAATGTGAAATGGTAATGGTAATGGTACTTCGTTCAATATTTTAATCATCTCTGATTGCCCCCTGTTGTGGACTCTGTTCTATATTGAGACGTCTCTCAAAATTTGTTCGTGGACTATGCAAATGTAGCGGAAATACTGAATAAGTTTTTTTTGGCCCTGGATCATGTACGAGTGCCCAGTCGGCAGTGGCCAGTGGCAGTACGAGTGCGCGTATACCTGTATATATGTACATACATACATGCAAGTAGAAGGTAAACCATACAAACAGACACCTAATACATACATATACATATACATATACATGTATGTAGCTTTAGGGGTTCCTGAATGATCTCTTCAGAGTTCTGCCTCAAGTGTGTCACTTGAACGGTGGCGGGCAAAACAATTGTTTTCGCATATGAGTATCGAGTATATTTGATCTGCTCTCTGCACAAAATCATTCAAATATAAAATATATTAAGATCGAACATACATATGCACATTTAAATTTATTATGTATTTATATATTTGGTTATTTTCTCGTACCTGATTCTCGTTGGCGTTTAGTTTTGGAGTAAATTTTTAGTTGCTTTTCCGCCTGATTGTTTGTATTACTAATTTTATTTTGTTGTCCGACCATTCGCCTGTCATTGAGAGTTAATTCAATTATATTAAAATATTTATACGCCTTCACTGTTCATTTTAATTTTGATATTTTCCATATTTTATTATTATATCTTTTTGCAAATGGTACTAGTAATTTGTCAACACACGATTCTCCACTATTTTTCGTGACACAAGCGCAAATACAATAAGAAATATATTTCTAAACGACACAAAACAAAACAAAAAAAACAAAAAATCACACAATAATAATGAGCAGCAGCGAAGTGGTAGAAGAAATGTGCTCCACATGGGACACACAAGTACTACGTGGCAAACAAATGAAAATTGTTTGAAATTTGTTCGGCAGTCGCGCCATGGGGCATTCTTTGTCACTAGCAAAAACAAAAAGAGGTTATATGTATGCATGGTATAGTTTTTCTTTTTTATAAAAAGAAAGGTAAAAAACTGATTGAAAAATTCAGTGAAATGAAAAGGTATTACTCCGAATGAAAATATGCAAATTATTTGCCATCTAAATGAATGGACGTTTAATTGATTTAATTGCTGCCACATGTTCATCGATCGGCAGCCAACAAAAAAAAAACGATAGAACTTAAATCGTTTTATTTGTTAAGTAGATGAATAAATTATTATATTAATTTGAACATTTTTAGTTTATTAAGTTTGTGTACATTAAATGTGTCTTAATTTTTATTGCAGTTTTTGGGGGTTTTTTTCGATCTAATTATGTTGCTATGCCTGGAAATGATAATTACAGTATTTAACTGTCTTTTTTTCGAGATATTTCGAATTTGTAATTAAGATTTTTACTAGAATAAAATTGATTTAATAAACTTAGTCAAAATCGAAAAAGCATCTGTAAGGTTTTAGGCATTTTGAAATGTTATTTAAAGCCTTTAATTTAGTTTTTAAACATTGTTTCGAATTTGCTTTTAAATTTTGTTATTTCAAATTATTTATTTTGCACCAGAACTGTATTGTTTTGTTTTGAATTTCTTTAATCAAAAATTAAAACCTAAAAATGTACGACTTTAAGCTTTAAGCTATTGCATTTTAAAATCCCATTTTAAATTCAAGTTTAATTCTCATAAAGAAAAATAACAAAAAAAAAAAAACACACGCACACACACCCGTATAGAGAACAGAAAGAGATAGCAGTAGAGGCGAAACGAAACGAGAAGAAGGAGATACGACGTCGCCAGCGCACGTGAAGATCAACGGAAGAGCATCGCGAGGAGACTGAAAAGCCCCGTTAGACACAGATCGCATGCCGCCGACAATGTCGATGGCGATGGCACAGGCACCTGCCTGTGCGTGAAAGCAACTGAGGGAATGGCAAAACGAAGACTGCCCTCCCCCAGAAGGGTGTGTGTGTGTGGGAGAGGGGGAGCACACTAAACAGCGCGTGGGCACCCACCCGGCATCAGTTGTAGCAGAGGCAGCGATCATTTAGGCAAATGATAAATGATACGAGCAGCGCTGCCGCTGCTCTGCTCTGCTCAGCATACAGGTGTCTGTGGGAGCTTCTGCTGACTGCTGCCTGCGGACTTTTTGTCATAAAGCTCCTGGGACCCAAAGCTCTGTGTGAGCTTTCACAAGGTTGCATTCAATAGAAAGTTGTATTTAATTTGTGTGGTTCGTGTCTTGGCTAAAAAGTTGTGGAAGCTTTCCGGTTCACTTTTTCGCCGGCGGTGCAGTGGCTGGTGGAGGCGCCGCCTTCGGAGCGGGTTTTTTTGCAGGTGGTGCAGCCGCCGGTGGTGGTTTTGGCGCTGCTGCTGCTGGCGCGGGGGGTGGAGCACCTGCTGCTGGTGCTGGGGGTGGAGCACCCGCAGCTGGTGCGGCTGCTGCTGGTGGTTTTGGTGGCTCCTTACCCTCGGCCTTGGCCCTCTCCGCCTTGGCCTTGTCGGCGGCCTTCTTGGCCTCGGCAGCAGCCGCCACCATGGCCGCATCGCCCACGGGCACATTCTTTATCTGGCTGAGGGGAGTCGCCTTCGGCTTCCCCAGACACACCTCCGATATGCGATGATGCTCCAGATGGTAGCCATGCACGCCCCGTATCTTGGTCTCCAGATTCTTGGCATAGATATCCGCATGCAGCTCGATCAGATCCACCTCCTTGTCCTTGATCGCCTTCTTGCAGTCGTCGTCCACACGTTTCCGGATATCAGTTTCGAGCTTCTTCAGCTCCTCGTCGGTGGCCAGGCACAGGGAGATGATCTGGCCGCGGAAGCTGTTTATGGGATCCCGCTTCTCGCGCACCTTCTGCACCTCCTCCCGCGAGCGATACGAGGTGCCGGGATCGGACATCGAGTGGCCCACATAGCGGTAGGTGTTCATCTCGAGGACAATCGGCCCATGGGCCAGCGCATACTCGATGGCAAATTGTGTGGCACTGCGCACGGCCAGCACCTGGTTGCCGTCCACCCACAGCCCGGGTATGTACTGTCCCCGCATGTAGAAGTCGGTGCTGGCGGCGGCCCGATCCGCCCTCGTGCCCATACCATAGTCGTTGTTCTCGCACACAAAGATGCACGGCAGGCACCACAGCTTGGCAATGTTGTAGGCCTCGAAGACCTGCCCCTGATTGGCCGCACCGTCGCCATAGCAGGCGATGCAGACGCCACCATCGCCGCGGTATCGATGGGCCAGGGCGACGCCAGCGCCGACAGGCACCTGGGCGCCCACAATGCCATTGCCGCCGTAGTAGCGCTCGCCATACATGTGCATGGAGCCGCCCTTGCCGCGACTGCAGCCGGTGCGGACGCCGAGCAGCTCTGCCATCATCTCGTACATGGAGACGCCCATCAGGTAGGTCCACGCATGGCAGCGGTAGGCCGTTATCATCGAGTCCTGTTTGCGCATCCGGGCATGCATGCCCACGGCCACCGCCTCCTGCCCGATATACAAGTGACAGAAGCCCCTGATCTTCTTCTCCTGGTAAAAGGTGGAGGACACGGTCTCCACGCGCCTCACCTCCAGCATCTGTGTGTACATTTTCAGGGCATCATCGCGCGACAGCTCCACATCCGTAGGTGGTCCCGTCTCCAAATCATAGCACTTGAAGGTCTGCAGAGCTCACAAAAGATAAGACGCTTGATTCACGGCCGGATAGGCTCCCCCACTCCCATTCCCCCACTGTTACTCACATGCTCCAGGGTCACGCTGTTGCATTCCTCCGACTTGTGCCGCCTGCCGCTGTCCGCGGAGACAGCCAAGGCACTGCCTGGGCTCCAGCTACGCGGCTCACCCGTCCAGGCATGGAGTAGCTGCCGTTGCAGCGGTGACTGGACACCGCCCAAACGCAGCAGGCAGCTGATTCCGCTTTTCTTGAGCATACTGCCAGGTCCACCTTATGCACCGTCGACCGCTGTGGACTGAATAGGACCGACCCCCCGTCTAAATAGGAATTTATAAATGTTTTGCAAAATTTTGATAGAAACTCATTGAAGATTTTGATCAAAAAGAAACTACAATGAAGTACACGTACGACGACAGTAAAGGCAAATCGAAAAGACAGAAAAGGAGAGAGAACGAGAGAGAGAGACGAGAGAGTCTCCGAAAAAGAAAGAGACGGAAAGAGTGCTACTTGCCACTTGCTACATAAGATACATAATAGATTTATATTCACTGTGTAGGGAGATGGCCTGTCGCCTGCTTGCTTTTCTTGTGATTTCTCATATAAACAAATTCAAATGAGTCGCAGCTCATGCTCATAATCGTTTTGTACACACGAAAGAGTCTGTTTGATGGATACATCAATTGGAAATCCAAGATTTAGGGCATGGAACTGTTTGAAATTTATAATCGTTACACACAGACGGAGGTTAAATATATGCACAATCTACAGACAGAGCAGACCAAGAGCAGCGTATGCCATCTCCTTCTTTTCGTGGGGATTAATCAACAATTAATCAATTAATATTTATATGTATATTTTCAACAATTTACACCTCGCTTTATCCATATTGAACACGTTCACAATTCATCCAATAATATCCAATGCAGTTTTTCCCCCCAAAAACCATCATCCAGGGTGAGCTGTGTGTGTGTGTGTGTGTGTGTGTGTCTGTGCTTCGATTAGCTAAGTTGTGGCGACTCCTTGCAAAAAAGCCGCTACTAAAGGGCAGGGGGCATTCCAACTTTCGTCTTAAGAGCTAGAGATTTCGTGTGTCTATGTGTCTTGTGTGTCTGCGTTTGCGTTTGAGGCGGGGAGTGGGGTGGAGTGGTTTCGGCAGATCTCTAGTGATTGACACCCTTGCGCTCCTGGATGTGATCCAGATTGAAGCCATTGGTGCCACGCAGCTTGGGCTCCAGATTATTGGAGGACACATCCGTCCAGAGATGGCTGACAGCCAGCTCGGCATCGCTCTTGGCAAAGGCGGTGGCCTCATCGATCTCCTTGCGCACCTTCAGATCGATCGCCTAGAAACGAGAAAAGAGCATTTTTAGCCACGGGAAAAACACACACACAAGGCTTAAGCCTTACCTTGACTTCGTCGGTGGTGATGAGACCCAGCTCAATGCACATTTCCTTGAAGGATGTGATGGGATCACGCTTCTGGCGCACCTCCTGGATCTCCTCGCGGGTGCGGTACGAGGTGCCCGGATCGGACATGGAATGCCCCGAATACCGGTACGTGTTCGTCTCCATTACCAGGGGACCGACAGTGTTCACATAGTTGATGGCAAACTCTGTGGCACTACGCACGGCCAGCACATCCATGCCGTCCACCCAGATGCCGGGCAGGGCATCGCCGCGTGTGTAGTAGTCCGTGTTGCAGGAGGCACGCTCCGAGCTAGTGCCCATGCCTGCCAACAAATACCGAATCGATTGATTACACAGAATCAATACACCCCTCCGCCCACCGCACCTGAATCACTCACCATAGTTGTTGTTCTCGCAGACAAAGATTACTGGCAACTTCCATAGATAGGCCATGTTGTAGGCCTCGAACACCTGGCCCTGGTTGGCCGCACCATCGCCGTAGAGGGCCAGGCACATGCCGCCGTTGCCCTTGTACTTGCAGGCCAGACCCACGCCAGTGCCGAGCGGCACTTGAGCGCCAACAATGCCATTGCCGCCAAAGAAATTCGGGGCGTACATGTGCATGGAGCCGCCCTTGCCGCGGGCACAGCCACTCTGGTTGCCGGTCAGCTCGGAAAGGACACCAATGGGTGAGACGCCCATCAGATATGTCCAGCCATGGACACGGTATGCCGAAATGATGTTGTCCACATCTCGCATGGCCGCCTTCATGCCCACAGCGCAGGCCTCCTGTCCGGAATACAGATGACAGAAGCCCCGAATGATTTTCTCCTTGTAGAGATTACCGGCCGCCGTCTCAATGCGTCGGATCGTCTGCATTTGTGTGTAGTACTTGAGCGCCTCGTCCTTGGTCAGTTTAACTTCGGTGGCCGGACCTTCGTCCAGGCGATGCAGCTTGAAGGGCTGCAATTAGAGCATGCGAAACGATTAGGTAAAGTTTGCCCTTCAAGGAAATTAATAATAATTATAGAGAAATAAATAAAAATTCCTATTAGTTTCTGATGCTACTCAAATTTCTATTCAAATTACCTATTATCATAAGCCCATAATATCTTTTGTGTCTTGATTAATTTATCGATTAATTATCGGTCCTTTTTATGATTGCTACATAAATCATGCTTTCGGATGAGCGATTCCAGTGGATGAGTGAATGGGATGGCCTGATTCCCCGATAAGGGTCGACCCTTGTAAACAAAACAAAATCCAATCAAAGAAAGACAGAGACAGAGTGATGTTGATACCGTGCCTGGCGGTGCGGTGCGTGTCTCCCCTCTCGGTCACGCGGCCGCCACGCAAAAAGCAGCGGCTGCGTGTCAAGTGTGTGCGTCGTGACCTTGATCATTTTGAAAATTGACAGAATGCCGCGCAGCCGGCTAACGGATGGCAGAACACTCTCTGTGTGTGTGTGTGTGTATGGGTCTGTGTCAATGCAACCCTGTGCACTCACACGCACGCACACTCTTGCTATCTGATAGTAAAGCGCATTATGTAATCTGGTGAATTGGTGATTTTGATTTAACTTAATTTTCCACCTTCTGCCCCCGCCACCAATCACTTACGCGATTCACTTGCACCGTAGCCTCCGTGGCATAGTTGTTGGTTTTGGCCACGCCAGCCTGTGCTGCATTCTGGAATAGACCGAAAAATGATGATGAATAACCTCGACAGACGTTCAGGCTTAGCTGCTGCTGTTGATGATGCTGCTGCTGGTGATGATGATGTTGCAGCCGCACTGTCCAGTGATTGCCGCCACTTGTGGTGTTATTGCATTTATTTATTGTTGTGTGTTTTTGGTATTGTTGCTGATGCTGCTGCTTCTGTTGTTGTTGTTGTTGTGTTTGCTGTCGCTCGAAATTAGTGATAACAACGTTGGGGTTAGTGACAGGATTACGTACTTTTTGCAATTGCTTAACAATAAGTGGCAATTCGCTAACGCGTGACAGAGTACGGAACATTTTTGGGCAAAGACTTTCCGCTCAAACTGGATCAAAAAATTCGATTAGGGGGGCTTTACGCGATCGATCTATAACTATATGTGGATCAAGCTGGCTGTCTCTCTCTATCACGCACTGAGCACACCGCACTGCCGCACCGTCGTTGTAAGTGTTAAACAAAAAAACTTAGATTATGTTTCTTGTTCGCGTAACAGGAGTCCGGAAACTAGTCGATAGCGCTATCGATACTATCGGTCGTTTCCCCACCATCGATAGTAGAAGCCATATCGATGTTTTCCCAGCCAGTGTGACCGGGGATTTTTCGATAAAATATACCGCCCGACTCTCGGTAACATACCAACAAATTTACGAAATATACTACATTATATACCGAGCGCAATGTGTGGGTGGCGCTATCGTTAATGTAGGGATTAATGTAATGTAGTTATTTTCCAGCCCTAGTGGCAGTCAATGTTTGCTATATGTCTCCTACGAATTACATCGATCAGCTGCATCCCACGCTCCACCTTATCCCAGTTTCAAAATAAAAACACATTCTCATCCCCGGTCTCAAAGAAGTACTTTTATTTCACATTGAAGATCTCAATTTGGTTTTTGTTTCTTGCTTTCTTTGTTTGTCTTACTCGTATGCTTACTTGAAATTCCCATCATATTCGCCATCATGTCATTTCATTTTTCTTCAATATATCGCTATACGCTATACGCTTAACGCTTCACGCTTCTCACATAATTCACTAATCTCTTACAAAAACTTAAGTAATGTTTTTTTCTTGCACAAAAACCAGCAGAATTAGAAGTAGATTAACTAACATAGAGAGAGCACGTTTCTCGATACGAAATAATTATGGTTACAAACTAAGTTTAAACTATTTTTAAGATTTTTAGTTTTTGTTTTGTTTTTGGTTTGGAATTTGTTATCTTTTATGTTTACTTAAGAAATGGCAGCTACAAGATTTGAGTTTCGAGAGAGTTCTTCACCCATGGATCGAGTACAATTTTCTTGCAAAAACTAACAACAACAAAAATATATGTATAAGGCTTTTAGTTCAACGAAAGTCTGGGGTTAAGTCTGCCAATGGATGGGATTGGGTTTAAAAAAAAAAAAGAAAAATTAAAATCATAGTTTTCAAAACATGCTCTGCTCTGCTCGCTCGCTCTCTCTCTCTCTTTATTTGCTTAATCAGCAACTGATTACTCTCGCCGTTCCGTCCCGTCCCGTCCGTTTGTCTATCTAACTGTCTGTCCTGCCCTGGCAATTCAATGCCCGTTTTCCTATGATTCATTTTATTTTCATTTGCTATCCTGCTTTCGGGTTTCTTTTCTTTTACTCTCTGCCTTTTTTTTTTCAAAATTTTTTTTTTGTTACATCAAAAATTGGTTTTTTCATGCACGATGGCATGCAAATATTCTGCATTATGACAAAAAATTATGCTCTTTTATCTTTAATATGTATGGATACATATGTATATATATGCATGTATATATATATATATATTTGCTGTTCTTGTTGTTGTTGTTGTATATATAAACACTTATTAGAAGTCCTCATGTGTGTTTTGTTGTGTTGTTGTTTCATCTCCATTTCTCTTCCATATCTGTTTTTTAGTTTTTCTTAGAAATTCTTATTAAAGAAAAAAAAATGATGGTTTTTTCTTCATGTGTGTCGGGGTATTTGCCTTTTTTTTGTTTCTGTTTTTTTTTTTACTTTGGTTATTTTGCAATGATGCATTTTTTTTGGGACGGGAATGTGTGTGTGTGTGTGGGAGGGGAAAATCTTACCGTTAGCATAATTAGACCGTGTTCCAAGGAAAATCGTGCTGAGCAATAATCTAAAATAAATCGCAAATAGCAAAGAGCGTGGTGCGGTGGTGTGTGCAAAAGTAACGGTAAATTTTTTGTGTGTGTGTTGTGTAATTTTTTTTTTGTTTGTGTCTCGATTAGTGTTGTGTAGTGGTTGTATAGTGCCAGTGCTGCGAAATGCCGCCTGCTTTTCGGTGTTTCCGTTTTGTTTTTTTCTTATTTGTTTGTTTCTTGGTTTTCTTTTTCTTTTAGGAAATTACGTATTAAGCTTTTGAGTAGGTTTCTTTTTACTTAAGGTTTTTCTTTTTTTGCTTAATTTACACAAATTTATTTAATTTACTTATTTTTTCCATACCGTTTTGTCACCCACTGATTTGCTCTTTCTCTTCTGTCTTTTTGTGTGATTAAATGTTTTGCTTGATCTTGTTTGTTCTTTCTTTGTTTACCCTCTGTTCCACTCCTCTCTTCTCTTCACACATATTTGCCCATTCCCTCATTTTGGTTTTGGTTTAAATTGCAATTGGTATTCTTTTTAATATTTTTTTTGTTGTATTTTACTTTGCTTCCTTTTGCTGTTCCTCCGACAACAAAAATCCAATTGGAAGTATATGTAACGTATATAGCACACATTTATGTAAACGACAAGAGAATAATTACAATATATATTTTGCTTGGGCTGTGTTCCCCGTTTTTTGTTTCTTTCTGTTTTTGCCACTCTTTTTCCTTTTCTTGTCTCTGCCCAAAAATCTGTTTCCTTTCTGTTTCTGTGGATGGACCATATCATCTCCTATATGCTTTACCAATGCCTCGTCGCCTCTCCAATGCTCCATTTTGTTGTGTGGAACATTTTCGCAATTTCGGGGGCTCAAAAGCAATGAAATATACAAATACAATACATCTATATATAATATATGCATAAATATCTATTAAGTTGTTTCGTTTTTGGTTGGTTTTTGGGTTTTTGATGCACAAAATGTGTGTGTGTGTGGTTCTGCCATTTGTTTTTCATTATTTCTTCTTCTGTCTCTTTTTTTTTATCCACATTACAATACATTTAGTAAATAAATGAGAACATGAGAAATGATGATTAATATTCTGCGGCTTCAATTCAATATCGTTTACAATTATTTGCAATTACAATGTTTTCATTTACCCAAGTTGTTGTCCATCTTGTATTTGTTGCTAGGGTCTCGTTTGGTTTTTATCCTCTGCTAGCGCGGCGATTGCTGCTGTAAAATCGGGTGTAGTGGTGGTTTGTGTTAACTGTACTTGAATGTTCTGTATGTGTGTCTGTCTGTCTGTGTGTTCTCTGTTCTGTTCAGTGTTATCTTTTCTCGTTTATCATTATTTTATGGTACTTTCCATTTGCTGCATGCTGCTGCCTGCCTGCCTGCCTGCCAACGATTCGTCATCTTCTCCTTTTTGGATTGAAGGGGGGCGAAATTATAGCTAAAGGGGGGGAAGCGCTGTGTGTGGAAGGGAGGGGCGGGCTGTGTGCAAAAAAAAAAAGAATGTCAATTTTTTCATTCAAGTTCAACATTATTTTTAATCGTGATTGGAGGTTGTTGCACATAATTTTCATGTCTTTAACAAAAAAAAAGAAACAAAAAGTATGTATAAATGTTTGTGTTTTGTTTTTTGTTTGTGTGTGTGTTCATCATATCATATCAGATCAATCAATAAATGTCGCGTGTGTGTGTTCGTTTTAATACATCATATCATATCAATCAATAAAACAATTCTCAAATACATAATAATAATAGGGGAAAATGCATATGTGTATTATGTATCGTTTTTGGTGGTTGTTGCTGCCGGATGGGGAAATAATGATCTATTAAATTGATGATAAAACGGCGTTGGTCCTACTACGATCTTCGATATATATTTATATTATATATATATATATATAATCGGATCTATCTAGCGGTGTATTTTGGGTGCGTGTATTCGTGTTGCAGAAACACATTTTGTTTTGTCCAAACTTTTGGATGCGTGTATCTCTGTGTCTCTGTGCCTGTGATTAGTGTGTGTGATCAATCAATAAATGATTGAAATACCAAAGCACCGAAGTTGGGTATTTTGTATGGGTATTGGCACCCCGCCACACGGACGAACATTCTGTTGGTGTTTCTGCTACTGCGCGTGTGCATGTGTATATGTGTGTGTGTGTGCGTTTTGGAGATTGATTTGCGTATTTGGAACCAGAACCTAGGATCTAGGCACCATCTACAGATGGCAGGTCGACATCAACATCGACCCCCACATCCACATCCAGATCCTCGTCTTCATCGCTGTCGCCGTCGTCGTTCCCTTCCTGTAGCAGATCCTGAACAGGTGCTACAGGAGGTGGAGCCACAGCTGCAGGTACCGCCACCACTTTCCCCTGCTGCTGCTGCTGTTGTTGTTGTAGTTTTTGTTGTTGTTGTTGTTGCTGATATAGCTCCTCCTCCTCCTGCTGCTGTTGAAGCTGCTCCTCCAATTCGGCGCGACGACAACTGCTGCAACTGGTGGCATCACTGTCCTCGACAATGGTGCCATCATCTGTGTCTTCATCCTCCCTCTCCTCAATCTCCTCCTCGTTGTCGTTGCCCACCTCTTCATCCGCATCGACATCCACATCGACTTCGACATCTGGCTCATCCTCGTATTCCATATCCTCCATATCATCCTGATCAAAGTCCAGGTCCAGATCTAGTTCCATATCCGTCTCCAATTGTTGATCCGTGTGTGTTGTTGTTGATGTTTGGTGTCTTCATCATCCGCCTGTTGTTGATGCATCATTTCCACATCCTTTAGCTGTTCTTCTTGCTCCTCTTCCACCTTCTGTTGTGAATCCACATCCACACCTGGTTGGGGATGTTGCTCTGTTGATTGTTGTGTTGTTGTTGCTGTTGTTCTTGTTGTTGTTGTTGCTGTTGTTGTTGTTGTTCATCTTCCACTGATGGATGCTGCTGTTGCTGGTGTTGATGTTGTGTATGCTGTGTATTTGTATGTTGTTGTTGTTGTTGTTGGTGCTGCAACAGCTGCTGCTCTGCCATCAGCCTCCCGACCACCACCGCATCCGACTCGACAATACTTTAACCGCTCTTAAACAGTAGTATGGCCACCTGGCCCAAATAGAAATAAATGAAATGGCGCGTCTCGTGTGTCACATACGATCCAAAGTTGCGGCCCACAATGCAATGCCATGTTGGATTGTATTTCTTGTCGAACTCCTTCTTGATGTAGGCGGCAATGTCCTGCAACACAAAATACAAAACAGAAAGCAAGAGAGAGATTTAGATAAGAGCAATAATAAAAGTCAAATAATAAGGTTTCAGATGTAGGGAAATCTCCTTTCCCCGATTGCCCTTCTTAGTATGGAATAAATTTTTAAAATTTTTTTTTTTTTTTTTTAAAAATTTGTTTGGAAATTTTTGCAAGGCAAAGTTGGAGGCAGGCGGGCCATGACATCATGGCTAGAAGGGATTTATCTGGGAAATATAAAGCATTGAAAGCAACCATAACAAAGCAAACGAACAAGGGTTGGACCTTTGTTTTAAAAGCTAAAAGTCTTCACTGGTAAGTTAAGAATATAGCTCCAACGAAAATGAAATGCCTATACAAAAAAAAAGTGACACAAGATATAATTTCTTTGCTTTTCTGGTTTTCTGTTTAAGTCAAAATTTCGTAAAAACTCCCGAAACCATTAAATTTCAATGCTTTTTATTTCCCATTCATTGAGCTGAAATATTGGGCTTGCAACTATTATTTGTATTATTATCAAAAATAATTCCTCAAAAAAAATCTTTTATAATTTCACTTAAAGTTCCATAAGCCCCCGAAAAAGTTCGTGTTGGAAAAATCGGTAATTTCGTTATGCTTTCATTTTACTTCCCTCGTGTAAAGGTAATTTTGTCTTTTTGATTGAAAAATCGTTTACCCACGAAAACTGTCAAAACAAATTATTAAAAAAAAAAGCGAGCCGAAAGCTACACGAAAAACCGACAGAAACAAGCGATACACATGTAACCTGCTAAATGTTTGAGAATTAGCAGCAGCAGCAGCAGCGGGGAAAAGCGGTAGCAGTTAGCTGGCGGGCAAACTCAATAAAATGCCCTGCCGCGCACACACACACACTCCCCCAACATGCCACAATTCAGCCACTGCCACTGCTGCCACTAGCATTTCCCATTCCACGCGACAGTCGTCATCGTCGTTGTCGTCGTCTGTCACTAGGACAACCCTCAGCACCCGAAAATGTGACCTCAAAACAGGCGAAAATTCTTGGTCTTGGCCCCGCAGGAGAATTCGAGAAGGAGGTGGTAACAAGAGGAGGCAAAAGTTCTTGTTTGCTAATGAGTTACGTTATGGATTGTTGAGTTTTTGTTTGTGGGTCAAAGAATTAAGCAATTAGAGCAACAGTTTCAGAGCCACTGCAGAAAACAAAGAGAGGGAGATGGAGAGAGACTGCAACACCAAGCGGAGGCGTAAGAGCAAGAGAAGCAAAAATGGGGAAAGGCAGGAGAGACAGCCGGAGGAAGAATCTGGGGCTATGCAGGATGCGGCATGCGGCGGCGGCAGGATGGAAATTACTGCGGATTGCAGCAGAACGGAAGGATGAACATCGCATGGATGGTCTGCGTCTGCAGCCCTCTGCGTTGCAGTTATGTTTTTTGTCTCTTGCAAATGGGAAAGGTCATTGCCAGAGTTGCATTTGGGTGGGCGGCGTAAAAGCCAGGGTTACGCAAAACACCCACACACACACACACACACACATAGGCAGCATCCCACGCATGAAGCGCGAGAGAGCCACTGCAGCACACTGGCGTCCACATAAATATGGCCACCTGTGGAGGGGAGGAGAGTGCATGGAAAAGGGCAATTAATTGGAACTGGGAGCAAAGGGAAAATATTTTTCATTGATAAAGAAGACATAAAATAATGAAAAGAAAAGTTAGGAGGTGTTCCCTCACTCCCTAACCCCAAACCCCAAACTCTCTTGAAACTCTCCTGAATGGGGAAAATCCCAAAATAAAACTTTCCTCTCTTTCATAGTTTTTCGGTGCCGCTGCCAAGGATTTGTTGATTATGTGGCAGGGGAAGGGGCGTGGACTGATTGGATTGGGTCACCTTTTAGGGCGGGCAGGAGGTTTCTAGAAGGGGTGGTAGGGGGTAAGGGTGTGCGTGAAGTCATAAACTTAACCCCGTAACCTACAAGACCAAAAATAAACAAAATCAACAACAAAAAAATACTTCGAAAATGTTGCTACAACATTTTTGATTTTGTTGAGCTCCACATTAGCTCCCTTCCGTTCCCTTTCTTTGGTTCATTCATCCTTCCATTCTCTTCTATACCTTCTCCATTCTTTTATTTAAGAATTATCTTTTCCATTTCTCCTATCCATCAAGACGTTTGCCATTACGATCGCCTATAGAGTGATTCCATTCATTTTGGTGTGGTTTTTTTTTTTTTCTTTTGTTTTCTGTTTGCCGTGCGTGTGGCCCCTCCGCCGCATGTCGTGTCAGACGACAATATAAAGTTGATTGTTTTATATTCAATTTTGGTTTGAGGCACACACACACAAATCCCCCCCACCACCTCACCAGCTGCAGCAACTCAAACTCCAGAACAGAACAGACCAGACCAACCCATTCCCATCCCATATTCCTATCCCTTAGCAATGCCATGGAATTTTTTGTTTTGGCAACTCAACATTTTGACACACAACCCAACAACAGCACGGAAGGAAGGAAGGTGGCAGGGGGTAGGTGGCTGGGGGCACGGCAATCGCGAAGGAGTTTCATTTTGTGAATAATAATGAACCTTTTGCTATTTTGGACATGTGTTACCTGGCAGAGGGACATATTGATATACCCCCACCATCTAGACCTTTTCTATGGCACTTTTTGTTAGGACATATTTCAATCGGGTGAAATACTTTCGCAATTAAGCGAGAGAGATGATACCAAGGATTATTCCTCGTTTGCGAATGAATATATCTACATGTGCACCATGATAAAAGGAAAACAAATGTCCCATAAGCGAAAGGACACACACACACACATTTCGATGTGATGGGAATTATCAGGCACAAATTGGTTACTAATTGGTATTTTTGTACGCTTAAATCCCATTAAGTCGCTGGAAAAAAAAGGTTCCCTAAGCGAGCGGCTGAAGAATAATTTTGTTTGTGCAGAGCAAATAAAAGTAAGTACATTTCCATTGAAATATGATCCTTAAAGCTCTCTCTCACTCTCTCTCCCTATCTGCTATAAGCGAAAGAAAACATTCAGAATAAACAAAAGAATTTTTAGTGTGGGGCGGGGATCGTTGAACGGTGCATTAGCCCACCCGCCCTGTCCTGCCCTGTCCTGCCCACTCAATCCAGACTAATCGAAACGAGGAATGTGTGTCAATCATTGTGAATATATGTATCTGTTGTTGTGTTGCCTGTGTATCTGTATCTGATGGGTACTTCTTCAATATTTACATACATGCGAATATTCCATTTTCTGTCCGCATATTGATTAAACATTTTTGGCCACGTAAAAAACAATCGGGGGCAAAACTACAATTTTTGGGGAGGGGAGGGAAGGAGCGTAGAAATATCCTGTAATAAAATGTTTGGCCATTTGTTTGCATTCGCGGCGGCTGTGACTGCGGCAGCTCTGCGGCTTTGTGTGTGTGGCACATAAAAACTAATGAAAGGATAACATCATACAAAAACGAAGAAGATATAGGCGAATAGAAAAAGAGAAGGAGTGTAGAGTGTGGAGTGTGGAGTGTGGAGGGTAAGCAAAATGGGAGAGCGGAGGCGGACACACAAAAAACCTAATTAAATTTATTTTTAAAACTTGACGCAGAATAATGGAAATTCAAGACTTTTTTTTGCTGCTGCTGCTGTTGGCCCTCCTGTTGGCTTATTTTAGGGCTTTGCCTTTAAATCACTGCCGCAGTCAAGGCGCTCGCACACACATACAGAGACACGCACACAGATACACAAGCATAATGCCAATGGATACGATATTTAAGCTGCTCGAAAGGTTGATGCCGCCCGCCGCCACAGCCGTTTTTTTGCCCCTAAAAATATCAAAAACAGCAAGCAAAAAAAAATACAAAAAAAAAAAAACATTGCCTAGAAGAAGCTTAACCCTTGTGTGCCCTCTCCCCACTGTGAGCGGTAGTATTAGTTGCGTATCTAATGGATACCAAAAATTGTGTGTATTCCCCTCAGTCGATGTGGGAGGGAAATTTTTGAAGTTATAATCAGTTTCGGAGGTGGATTACCTGCCGCTCCATGAATGAGTGAATGAGGGGGTGGGCGGAAGCGGAGAAGGTGCAAGACCTGCCCCCGTAACCAGGTGATACATATGCACATATTTATGCATATCGATCCGATCGAAACGAGTCTGTGGATTTGTTTGTTTGTGGGGGTTTAACAAGTTCCTTTTGAATAATTTCCCAAAGGGTGAAATTTCCTTCATTAAGATCTGTTTCCATGAAGATTGTTCCTCCTATTTCGACTCTCAACAACTCTGTTGCAACAGCAAGTATCTGTTCGAAGCTAGTTGGTTATAGCTTGAGGATTGAGCGGGTATAAAAGCTCTAAAGCCTGTATAATTATGTATGATTTCTTTTCCTTCTACAGTCTCCCAAAGGGTATCAAAAATAGCTCAAGGTTGCTGTATAAAATAAGAAAAAGGGTTTTCCTCCACCATAATGGAGGAGAAGATTTTTCGGTGGTGGTGCAAAGGTTAAAAGGTGTTGCTATCTTTCACTCTGTTCCCTTTGTTTGCCTTTCCTTTCGTGTCTTTTTGTTTGTTTTGCTTTGTATAATTTTTCAATTTTAATCGAATCAATTAAATTTGTGTTCCGCAAAGAATAGAAATCCATATTTAATTAGCGTAGAAAAACAAACATAGATACACAGACGCACACACAGACACACTCTTGGAAACAGAGAGACAGACACAGAGACACAGAGACACACAATCACAGAATAATGGCAAACTTATTATGAAATGGAAAACCAGGAGGAGAAGGCAGAGCAGAGCAGAAGGAGTGGGAGTAGGAGCTGGAGAAAATGTAGCAGAAAGAGCAGCAGAATGGAGCGAGTAGAAAAGAGTTAAAAATGCAAGAAATTTAAAGAAACAAAAAGTACAGATAGAATCATAGAGTAGCAAAAGCTACAGCACGTACATAGGTGGAGAGAGATATACAGATAGAGCGAGAGAGGCAGGGCAGTACAGGGGGAGAGGGAGCTGCTAGAGGAGTGCCAAGCCCCCCCGTACCAGGAGACAGGAGCCAGGAGCCAGAGCCAGAGCCCGAGCTCGAGCCACAACGAAGCCCAAAGCTAGTGCGATAGAAAAGGACGGCAATAAAGGGCAATCAATCGTGTGATTGTGTATGTGTGTGTGTATGTATGGCATATATTTTATTTATAGCAACAAGAGGTAGGCGCAAAATAGGGGGCGGGAGCTGTGTGAAAAACACCTGCGTGGGTGTACCCAATATCAGTCCCAATAAGTGAGGAGAGGGTGGTGGGTGGTAAAACGGGGGAGGAGGCAGTGGGAGCTGAGCGGAGAGAGTATGCGCGTATTACGGCTTTTACTGCTCAATTAGCAGTTCTATCTACTGCTCTCCTCTCTCTCGCTCTCTGACTTTTACTTGCTCTTTACTGTTAGCGCCACCCCCTCCCCTTTAACCATTATTACCTATCATTAACCCCCCTCCCACCCCTCACATTTACCGACTAACCCACTAGCCCCCACCCACCACTTATCTCTACCCACTATTTTGCCAACTTCCGCTGTGATTTCAAGTTTGCTTTTGCGTTTTGTCTTTCAAGGACCTTTCCTCCTCCTCCTCCTTTGCCCCTGTCGTACGCCCGCCCGCTGTGTGTACCGTTGGCCGGCTGTGACTGTCTTCTGTCATTGGCATTGACAAAGGCACCGTTAGTTGATGGCCATTCCCCCTGATCCTGCTCCTGCTCCCGCTGCTGCTGCTCGTGCTCCTTCCCCTCCTCCTTGCTCGCTCACTGACCCACACGAAACACACAAACACTTTGGCCAGAGCACGTCTTGATGTGTTTGTGTGTGCCCCCCACCACCCTCGCACTCACGTACCACGTACCCTATTGATTATTCAATTTCTTCGACTCCTCTGCTGCTGTTGTTGACATTGTTTTGCAGATTTTGTTGCTTGTTGTTGTTTTTGTATTTTTATTCAAAGACTAAATCAAGAGCTTATTAGTGTTGTTTTTCTCGCCCTCTTCCCCACCCTTCTTCTCTTTCTCGCTTGTTTGTCATTCCGTCCGTGAATTGGACAACCGTTAACGATGGTCAGTAATTTCCCCTCTCTCTTTACTATAGTCAAGGGAATTTATCTTTTGCTCAAGGGACAGTCATGGAAATTTTCTTCCTTAAAATGAGTCATGAGAATTTTTATTTTCGTTTAGATGAATCATGGGAATTATCCTATGCTTTGAGGAACAAGAGTCTTGGGAATTTTCCTCCTTAAATTCAGTTGTGTGCACAATCCTTCAAAGTGTCAAGGGAATTAAACTAATTTAAAAAATTAAAGCTAAATTTTTCATTAAAAGGATCATTAAAATCGTAGCCATAATTCGGAAAGTGGGGAAATTGTTGGCTCTTTTTTTTGGGCCTTTTCAAAAGGGAATTGGAATTATCATCCTCCCTGAATGAAGAATCACTTAATATAAAATTAAACAAAATATTTTTATACCCTACTCAAAGGTAGGGTATAATTTGTGGTAAAAGTGGATGTGTGTGGGACGTTCCCCCATAAATTATTATATTCTTGATCAGCAAAAGTCGATATAGCCAGGCTGTCCGCCTGTCTTAATGTCCGTCTTGTTGAGCGCTTTGAAAGCTAGGGCAACCAAATTTGGTTTCCAGACTCATGTGATATCACACTGCCAACATGTTTTTTCCAATTTCCCCCCCCCCCCCCCCCCCCCCCAACAAAAAAAAATTTTGGGGGCCCCGTTTTTTAAAAAACAAAAAAAAAAAAAACCCTTATTTTTTGAAATCCCCCCTCCCCCTTTTCCTTTTCTCTTTCTCCCCCTTCCTTTTTTTTTCCCCAAAAAAAAAAATAAATTTTTTTTTTTTCCCCCCCCCCCCCCCCCCCCCCCCCCCCCCCCCCCCTTTTTCTTTTCCCCCCCCCCCCCCCCCCCCCCCCCCCTGCCCCCCCCCCCCCCACCCCGGGGGGGATTTTTATTTTTATTCTTCCTTCTTCTTTTTTTTTTTTTTTTTTTTTTTTTTTTTTTTTTTTTTTTTTTTTTTTTTTTTAAAAAAAAAAAAAAAAAATTTTTTTTTTTTTTTTTTTTTTTTTTTTTTTTTATATTAAATATTTTTTTTTTTTTTCTTTTTTTTTTTTTTTTTTTTTTTTTTTTTTTCTCCCCCCCTTCTCCCCCCTTCCTTTCTTCTTTCCTTTTTTTTTTTTTTTTTTTTTTTTTTTTTTTTTTTTAAATTTTTTTTATTTTTTTTTTTTTTTTTTTAAATTCCTTCCCTTTTTTTTTTGCTTTATTTAAATGGACATTTTAATGAATGGATGGCCATCTGGGGATTTAAGGGAATTTGCTTTTGATATTCATATTTTTACTGCCCCTCCCCGCTCCGCGCAGCACAACGAAAACAACAATCTTTGAAATTGCCATCATAAAATATAAAATCCCTCAATGAAAACGCACAGAGTGAAAACCAATCGTTAGGGCTCTTGTGGAACAAGTCGCCGCACTAAAGTAAATCCGAGATAATTGGCGCCTGCCTGTATGCACTTGCAACCAAAGCTTGCCACAGGGCAAGCAGCAGCACCAGCACCAGCACAACAAATCCCCGCTAATACCCCGCTATGCTACACTTGCAACACAGCACACCTACCTGTTGGTCTCGCAACCCTGCCCACACCCCACCAAACCCCTCACATCTTCTTCTTCTCTCTTTTATGCCTCCCCCACCGCACTCACCTTCTCAATGTTGTACTTCTCCAGGGCCTGTGTCGCACAGTCGACAGCATCCTGCTGCATCTCCTCGCTCATGTCGGCATTTTTGATGACAGCCTTTCGGTCAGACATTTTGTGGCTTTTGTTGTTTGTTTCTTTTACGCTTTAATTATGATTGCTATTTAGCTGCTTTATTATTGCTGCTGCTGTATCCGTCGGTAACTGTAACGAAAGAGAGACAGGATAAGCACCACTGTGGGGGAGAGAGGAGAGAGAAGAGAAAAATAATTAACATCTTGTTGCACATTTCATATACATATACAAATACATAAGAAGGGGGAATGTAATTAAAAATGCGGCTTATAATCGTGTTAGGCGCTGCACAAACACCAACCCACACACACACACACAAACACCAGCCCACACACAAACGCAGGCGCATTGGAGGCTGCTGCTGCATACTTTTATGGGTGACGGTGGTTGGAGGGGGAGGGTCGGCGCCCCACTCATCAGGCATCCATCAGCCCAGGCCTCAAAACTTAATTATAGAACAAGCAACAGAGCCAGACGTAGGTACGTACGTACAAGGAGTATTGCAAATCAAATATCAGAGCTGGATGGACGTCACACAAACACACCCACACCCACACCCCGACCCAGACCCAGACCACAGCGCACCCAACCCACACAGGCAGCCAATTAGTTTGCAAAACTGCAACGCAAGAGAGGAAATGAGATTCGGGAGAGAGTCGCCAAAGCGCAAGAGCTACTGTGGCAGCCGTCAGCAGCAGCAATCGCAGAGGCAGCAGTGCCAGCATTCAGCATCCCAGCCGCAACAGCAGCAGCAACATTGCATGGCCTTGAAGCCAGCTAGCCAGCTCTCCCTTTAACGCACACAGCTAGTTGAGTGTGGCCATAACCGTTAACCAAGGACGCGCAAGCAAGCAGGCAAGGGAGGAGAAGCACACAACAACTAATTCAAATTCAAGGCTCAATCCATGGACTCACATTAAACCCCTCCCCCCCCCATACTTTCATTCCACTGAGAAACTGGACCTCGATGCTCATTTTGTTGTTGTAGCATACTTTTGCGCGCGCCCATGGCATTGCTTATTTACCAAAGAATAATCAAAAAACTAAAAGAAAATAGCAAATAAGGGGGGAGAAAGAGAGATAGTGTGGATGGGGAAGGGGAAGGGAGAGGTAACACTGGAGTGCTCTTTGGTAGTGAAGGGGAAGGGGGCGTTAAAGTGAAACGGTTACAAATGCAAAATGCCAACCGGTAATAATTCAAGAAGAGAAATCACGAGAACAAGCAACAATAAATATCAATCAGTTCAGTGTGGGCACACGCATACATACACATTCAAACGGAGAAGTAACTCACGTATGCACGACTGACTGACAGCTGCCGGCATAGCGGCAGAGAGAGAGGGAGAGAGAAAAGTTCTGAAGTTCTCCTGGAAAGTCAATTAGAAATTGCACTTACAGTTGGACCAACGGAGACGGACTGATGCTCCTTCCTTTTCACCCTTTCCCCCTCCGTCATACACACACACAGAGGATAGTCGGACACAAGGTCAGAAAATATCATAATTATGTTTTCAGTAAAAAATAACAACAACAAAAATCTAATAGCAACTCTACTCATATGTGTGTGTGGCAGGAGAAATGAAGCTATAAATGACATGTAGACCGTGCAGGAGCTCCCCCTCCTGTGTAGACACACACAGCTATAAGAGAGAGAGAGAGGCCGCCGCACCGTCAGGTGATAGAATTCCCCGCTATTACATGCGTGTCTCTGTGTGTGTAGGGTTGTGTCTGCTACCTTTGAGTACGGGGGCCACAGAGACTTTTGCAATTCGATGCCAATTCAGGCGGCGGCAAGCGGGAAAACTCGCAATTTTTAATGGACTTTCTCTGTCTCTGTCTATCATTCACTACCGACTTTTGCGGTATCCTCATGCGCCCCACCAATGCCCCGCCAATATGTCGGATCTGTCGGAAATTACCATCATCATAGACTCCCCCCGTGTACCCGACTTCTGTTACCTGATGAACAGCCTCCCCACAGTAGTAGAGTCCTGCCGCCTTTTGGCCTCTAATTAGGCAGAGTTCGAATTTCCGTTACCGCAAAAAAGGGGTCCTTTATGCTTGATATTTCATCCAGTGGACAAAACAATGAAATTGTCGAGAATACTATCAGTAGCACTAATGGAAAAAATTAACTGAATACTGGAATACTGAAGTAAGAAGAAATGATATTTTGATCTATTTCAGAAATCCTTCAAATTTGTAAATCAAATGTCATCTACGTCCGTACATATGTATGTATGTACACATGCAGCTATGTACATCTCTACTCTTTATAATGACTAATTTGATAAAAATTGCACTCCCCCTCCATACCCCCGCTTCCTACGCAATTATCCAAAAATCAATCTTGAGGCAACAATTTGTGTGGACAAGGTCTGGAAAGTTCCAAACAAGAAAACACAAAACGGAAACCACAGACGACCATAATTGCTGCGCTGCCGACTTCTATGAATAAATTAGCCAGACAACAGATCGGATTAGGCGAAATATTCAAAAGAATTGTACAAGTCGCGGGAGAGCTCGGAACTGAAGGCGGTATACCTTTTTCCGAAATGCCCGCGCTGACGTCACTGAAGCGAAAACTGGATTTTGTACGCCTCTTCTCCAACTATTATATCATTTATGCACAACATTTCATGTTTCAATTTCGATTAAGAAATAACAACAAAAATAAACCAACCAAAACCAAAAATTCGCACACAGTGCGTAGGCAGCGACGCTGACTGCGACAGCGAGAGACACTGACACTGCAGCAGTGTGGCCCACCTGTCTTTCATCTCTTTCCCACTGCGCTGCTCTGCTGTTGCTGCGACTGCGGCTGCGACGCCAGGAGCTCTCGTGTATCCGCATGTGTGTGTGTGTCCGTGCAAAAGCCGCGCCGCACCGCATCGCACTATGGGAATTTGGCGTGCTTTTTTGGTCGAGCGACGGGCCCAAACGGGTACATAATGCAGTGCCCCAATGCAGCGTTCCCAATAATTATACACGTACATTGCACAATACCTCCCCCCAGCAACAAGACCCGAGAACATTCTCACCCACTCACACTCAAACACTCGCCTTTTGGGCAGAATATTGCACTTACCTGAATTATTATTTGTAATTTATTGCATTTGCGCGCGCGATCGTTAACAATGATTACAGTAGAGCTTGCTTCCTTCCGTTTTCTATAATTTTATCACACAAATTGAACAGCTGTCACCGAAAAAGCTACTTTTGTACAAACAAAAATGCTATTGACCAAACGTACAGAAACGTTGACAGGAAAAAAAAAACTACATTTTTGGTTGCCCTAATGCATGTGCGTGTGTGTGTGTGTGTGTGTGTGCCGAGATGGCTCTGTGCATGTGTGAGGCTCCTTTTTCCAGCTATTTTGCACGCAATAAGAAATTTAGCACGCCGCGTTTTGGCACTTAAGAACGAACAAGAAAAAAATATATATGCAAATTCAACACGGGAAAAAAATAGCACCGACCGATATACAGAACTGATTTACTTCCTGAATTGTAATTTGCCGCAAAAAAAAATGCTATATATGTATGTGGGGTATGTGTGAGGCTTTGTGTTTACCGCTAAGCGCACTCGTCGTGTTCGCCTTGTTTTACTGATTGAAACACACTTCTTCCGGTGCAAAAGCCACAACAGAGCTCCTTGACTGTTCGAATATTATTGTTGAAGTGAACGTGCACTGAGTTTGTGAAGCCGCACGAGCCGAAAATTCCGATAACGTTGTCGGGCTGTGCTCCTATTGGTCAGAACTGGGCCGCGTCTGGCAGACGACACTTGGCAGGCCGCGTCTGGCAGCAGTGATGCCCGTGTTTGAGAAGTCGATTCGGGTAACTATTCATTTTTTTTGTGCTAGGAGGGCCAGAAAAATTATAATCATTCAAAGAAACCCAATGGGCAGCTGAAATATTCGAATTACTATGCAAATTTAGTAAATATTTCAAGATTTCGGCAGTCGATTTCGGATTTCAGAGATGTGCGCATCACTGGTTTGCCGGTACGACTGCAGGGTTGCATGCCGGCAGACCGTACGAACCGTTATGCCTACATTCTTTTTGAATCGTAGAAATAAAAAGTTTAGTAAATTATTTGATGGTAATGTAATAACTAAAAGAATGTCAAGAAAATATTAATTTTGACTCTTAACATATTTGGATGATTGGTCGATTGCAGATTTGGAGATTTTGGGGACGATCATTTATTTTACAGCGGAAAATAATTAAATGATTAAATATGTTCATTTAAGTCGACGAAATTGAGAAATATAATGAAATTTAGTTGCGATGGTATATTATATACGAAAATAACTATTGGCGGGGCAAAATATTTGCTCGAAAATAAAGTCACATTATTTGGCGCTAAAATTACGAATTCAAATTTTCCAGAAGCCCGAAAATACGGTCATACTGCGCAGGCAGGTGAACAATAAAGAAGTTAAGAAGCAATATTTTGTATTTGGTATGAACGAAAATGTAATAAATGTACTTAAAATATATAAAAACATAGCCAAAGTGCGAGCAGGGAATCGAACAAGGTAGCAAATGGTAGCGCTATCGAAGAAAGGCAACTCTGAAACGACGACACCGATATCGATATTTTCCCGTGCGTCACTTCAGTTGTTTTTTTCCCGTCCTCGTCTGTGCTGTACGTCTATACTGCTCTATTATACACCACTCATAAATACTGTTCGTTCGGTTGTTCGTTCGCTTGCTTTCTATTTGGTTTCTCGTCTTTGTTTTTGTTGTTGACACTTCCACTGTGTGTTTTTTTTTTATTGTGTGTGTACGTTTGTGTGTGTGCATACGTGCCTCTTACTTGAAAATTTGTGTAAATCCAAAACCTCTGAGGAGCGAACGAAAATGATCGAAAACAACAAGAACGGCAGCGATAGAAAACGACGCTGCAACAACAACAGCACCTATGCGACTTAGGAAGAGGAAGAGATACGGTGTAAACGAGTTTCGGATCTTCGGCGCGCGCTCTTTATACTATCCATCACATCACAGACATCGAATCGAAACCCCATACTTATCCCATCCAGCGCCAAGGTAAAATTGTTTGCCTTAGCTGTGGCATTGACTCCTATTCCAGAGAATATACCGATATATGGTGTATGTATATCTCCCATCCCCAGCTATATTATTCAAATTTTAAATTGAACAAAAAGTATATGTTCGATTTGATTCGAGGAACAAGAATAAGAAGAAGCTGAAAAGCAATTTGGCGGCGATGGGCAGGCAGTACAAATTAAAAGCTACATAGATGGAACACACGCATACACACGCGGGCAAGGCAAACAAACCGACAAACACACACGCCCAGAGCAAAAGGAAAGGCAAATAGTATATGTCGAGGCACACAGTAGGCGTCTCGTTTTAACACTCAGCAACAGCACAGCAGACATTGTATTGGCTGGCAGAGTCAATCGGTCTGGCTCGTTTTATTTTACGGTTGTCGTCTAGTGGCAAATGTCATCAGAAATTACAACACTGCGGATGAAAGACATCTACTAGCTGAGTAGCAGCAACAACTCCAACAACATCTGGACACAACAACAACCACGAATCAGCACCAGCAGGAGGAGGAAGAAGAAGAAGCCCGCATTGGCCGCAAAAATATAAACAAAAATGTGGCCCACCGTGCAAGCGTCGACGACGACAGTGCGAACAACTAGAGCAACGTCCACATCTGTATCTGCAACTGCAACGACATCATTGCAAAGCAACAGCAGCAGCAGCAACAGAAGGAGCAGCATCAACAGCGCCATCGCCGCAACCAACAGATGCCTCATCAAATCCGCCATCGAACGGTCAGTGGTGCGGCCCATAGCTATAGGTGGCATAATAGGGCATAAAGCCCAGGCCACTGTAGCCACTGAGGATGTGCTCACTGTAGCCGCTGAGGATGTGGCCACTGTAGCCACGGAGGATGTGCCAGTCGTGAATACAACCGAGCTGGAGTACGACATCATCAACTACTATACGGATGCGCCCTCATCCACCACGCCCTGCCTCGCTGGCAGTCACCGGCAGCAGCAGCCAACAATATGCCCCCCGCTGTTACAGGGCTCTGGCTCTGGCTCTGGGTCTACGTCTGCCCGTCGCTGTTCTCGCCTCATCGGCAACCATCAACCAACACTGGATACGGGTGCTGTTGAGGCGGGACTAGCAACTGATGCGGCTGCCACCGCATGTGGCAGTCTGTCGGCTGACCAGGAGACCACACAGGAGGAGGAGTTCGATTTATTTGCCGAGGATTCACACACATCGAAGCCGCCGCCCTCGTTCACCACCAAAACACTGCGTTGTCGCAGCACCGCTGCAGCCTTGGACATGGATGCCCGTTCCCGTGGCGGCGGTGGGACACAGAGTCGTCAACGGAAAGCGAGAGCCATTGTGACGCCCCGCACAGCTCTCAGCAGCAGCAGCAACGCCAGCACAGGCGACAGCCGAAGCCCCAACAGCACACCCAGCTCCACCCTGGGCGTCAATATGCGGGTGACGGGGCAATGCAGCCAGGGAGGACGCAAATACATGGAGGATCAGTTCTCTGTGGCCTACCAGGAGTCGCCGCTGACCCACGAGCTGGAGTACGCCTTCTTTGGCATCTATGATGGACATGGCGGGCCCGAGGCGGCCTTCTTCGCCAAGGAGCACCTGATGCTGGAGATTGTGAGGCAGAAACAGTTCTGGTCGGACAACGATGAGGATGTGCTGAAAGCTATTCGCGAGGGCTACATATCCACGCACTTTGCAATGTGGCGGGAGCAAGGTAAGAGCAGCAGCAGCAACACACACAAATAATTACACAGAAAAAACAGGCAAAGGCCGTGGAAAGAGAGATAGAGAGAGGGCGAGAGCTGAAAAACAACGATAATTATAAACCAAAGCAGAGGGGCAATAGAGATGGGCAGCACTGAGTCACGCAATATGTCATTGTGTCGTGTCAGGTCACGCACATGGGCTGCTTTGAAAAAAAGTTGGCGGCAAAAACACTATTCTTATTTCATTGATAGTTTCATTGTTTTTTCATTGATACGATAACTGCGTTTCATTATTTCATTGATAGTTTCATTATTACATTGATAGTTTCATTCTATTAACATTGGCCCACCTCTAGTAATTATGCAACTGTGATGTGCGACGATGACTCAACAATCGCATTTACGCTCATCTCTATTGTCTGCCCACACACACAGAAAAACCCATCCGTTTAACATGTGTGCGTGCTTGTATTTTTCTGGCGCGCTCTCTGACATACACACATACACAGCGACATAGCGGGAATGGAATATTCCACAGGCCTTGCCATATGGCTGTCAGCTCTCAGCAAGCATGGCAACCCCGCTGCGAGTGTTGGTATGCGTTGGCTCCCAATGAGTTAGAGCAGCACCACTCTATAGACACAACGTGTGAAGGCGTTTCAAAAAATGCAACGGCCATTAAAGAAAAGAAACACAAAACAAAAAAACGAAAGACAATAACAACGAGACAAGAGAAAAGAGAAAACCTAGAGGGGGAAAATAAATGTAATGTCCCCATTTTCACCATATGCCCTCTGACCGGAATAACAAACACATGCTCGTACACCCCCTCATTCAATTTTGTTTGTTTGTTTTTTGATTTCCTGCAGAGAAATGGCCACGCACCGCCAACGGACACCTGAGCACAGCGGGCACAACGGCAACGGTGGCCTTTATGCGCCGTGAGAAGATCTACATCGGTCATGTGGGCGATTCGGGCATTGTGCTGGGCTACCAGCAGCCAAACGAACGCCAGTGGCGGGCCAAACAGCTGACGACCGACCACAAACCGGAGTCGCACGAGGAGAAGTCACGCATCCAGCGATCCGGCGGCATGGTTGCCATCAAAAGTGGTGTGCCGCGTGTGGTCTGGAATCGGCCAAGAGATCCCCAGCATCGTGGCCCCATCCGACGGCGTACGGCTATCGATGATATACCCTTTCTGGCAGTGGCCCGCTCTCTGGGCGATCTCTGGAGCTACAATTCGCGCTGCAAGGAGTTTGTTGTGAGTCCCGATCCGGAGGTTAAGGTTGTTAAAATTGACCCAAACATGTTCAGGTGAGTCCCGGCCAGCCACGAATTGGCATGGGGAATGTTGAATGTTGAATTTTAATATTTGTTTATCCACGTAGATGTCTAATCTTTGGCACCGATGGCCTCTGGAATGTGGTGACGGCCCAGGAGGCAGTGGATGCCGTCCGCAAGCAGCATCTTATTGGGGAGATCCTCAACGAGCAGGACGTGATGAATCCCAGCAAGGCGCTGGTCGATCGGGCCCTCAAAACATGGGCATCCAAGAAAATGCGTGCAGACAATACGTCCGTGGTAACTGTGATACTGACACCATCGTCGACGACATCTGGCTCCTCCCAGAAGCCCTCTCCCGTACCATCCCCCAGCCCCTGCCCAGTGCAGCCGTCGGCGCCGTCAGGCAGAGAAATCGATTTACGCCGTGAGTTGGATGCCAGCGATATGGAGGTCGAGGTGGATGTGGATGCCCTGCTGGATGCGGACGACGAGGACAGTGCAATGGATAGCGAGAATAGTTGTCCAGATCCTCACTGCATCGAGGAGGAGAACTACATTCTGGACGCCCCATACAGTGCCTTGGCGAAGCGGCATTTGCCGCCAGAGCCGTTTCGCAATTTTGATTACTATGCCGTCGAGGAGGAGCAGGAGGAGGAGGATGCTGACGAATATATCGATGGGGAACCCATCGATCATGCCGAAGATGAGGAGGCAGGCGATGAGGATGCCGCTGCCGCTGCCGTTTCGCTGCAACAGCGACTGCCACGTTTCTCCTACGATGCCCAACGCCTCAAGCTGAGTCTGCACAATCATCGCAAGATGTGGCGTAAGTCCAACACCGCGGGGGTATATCCCTGGCGTGGCTTGATCGAACAACAGCTGCAGCATCAGCAGCAGGAGGCGGAGGCAGGCGATGTTGTCATGCTGGAGCAGGAGCATCACCTGCATCACTATTCCAATGGGAGCAGCCACATTGATCGCGCCGCCATTTATGGGCAGTCTGTTACGAATTCATCCAATGGCGGAGGCGGAGGCAGAGAGCTAACCGAGCTGGAGCATCATCTGGAGCAGCATTTGGAGAACAGCTTCGGCAGCTATGGCTCCAGTGTGTGCTCCTTGGGCTCCGACTACAGTTTCGCCGAGTCGTACAATACGCTCCTCAATGAACAGGAGCAGGAGGCGCGTTCCCGTTCGGCGGCAGCTGCTGCCGAGGCGGAGGCGGCTGCTGCTGCTGCCCTGGATGATCGCAGCATGCAGGAGATCATACAGGAGCAGCAGCACTATCAGCAACAGGAGGGCTACTCTCTCACACAGCTGGAGACGCGTCGGGAGCAGCTGCATCAGGTGCACTCACACCAGCCACAAGATCAGGAGCCGGAGCAAGAACAGGAGACTTGGACGCCGTCCGATTACGTCGAGCAGCAGGCGCATCAGGAAGAGGAGCCAGCAAAGGAGCCAGAGCCATCGGAGCTCTTGGAATTGAATGCTTTGCTGCAACAGGAGCGAGCCGAGGAGCAGCAGGTGGCTCTCGAGAGGGAGCAACAACTGCTGCGGGAGCAGGAGCACGAGCACGAGCATATGGAGGCCACCTCCAGCAGCTCCACTTCCACTTCCAGTTCCAGTTGCAGCGAAACGGAATTCGTGTTCACCAGCAGTTGGACGAGCGCAGCATTGAAGGAGACAACAACGGAGACAGAGCCTCAAGAGGGGGAGGAGGACGAGAAGGAGTCGTCGTCACCGCCACCAGCACCGTCCCCGCCCACCCTGCAGGACAATAAAGTGAGCTCCACCCTCCCCTCGACCCCGACATCGGCCTCGGAGGCAGGCCTGACCCCAGCGATGCTGCAACTCCGCGAAACAGTGGCCGAGATCCGCAAGGAAGATGCCCATGCCGTCCATTATATCATCGAACAGATCCAGAAACTCCAGGAGGTCGACTGCATGCCAGTGACAGCCGCCCCGGGCATTGGCGAGGCCCTCGATCGCGCCAGTGCTTTGGCCAGTGACTTGTCTGCTGCTGCTGCCCCATCAGCCTCCTCCATGGCAGCCACATCGCCTGTGGCGACGCAGCGCATCCGCCAGATGCGTCGCTATCGGAATGTGCCCAATGAGAATCACCAGCACATGCAGACGCGCCTGCGACAGGTGTTTAAGCACTGCAAGAACAAGTCGCTTAGTGCGGCGGCCATCAAAGAAGCAGCTAGTGGCGCAGGAGCAGCAGCCAGTGCAGTCGGCGGAGCAGCAGCAGCAGCAATTGCTGCAGGAGCAGGAGGAGCGGGCAATAGCTCCTCTACAGTCGTGATTGCTGCCCGCAGGAGCATCAATACTACGCCCAGCAGCACCAAGAGCAACAGCAACGGCAACAGCCGCAGCAGCAGCAGCGGCAGCTCCATTATGATGACGCGACGCAGCCAGACGCTGGCCATCAGTGGTGGAGGGGGAGCTGTGAGCAAGCGCCAGCTGCGCAGCTGCAGTGTCAGCGGCATGGACATGACCAAACGGACGCTCAGGACGAGGAATGTCCCAACTGTGGGTGTGGGAGCCACAGCCGTGAATGTGCCGACAGCTGCGGCATCGACTGCTCGTGTTGATAGTGCAGGTAGAGGAGGAGCCAACAGCACAGCAAACGTCGGCACTGCCAGTGCCAGTGGCAGCAGCAATGGGAGCAATGCCGCCAGTCGGCGCCTCAAGCGCACCCAACAGGAGCGCGAACAGCGACGCAGCCTGCGCCGGAGTACACTGAATGCCCCCATGCCCGGTGGTGGGGCCAACAGTGGCAGCAGCTCCAGTACAGCATCACCGTTTAGCAAGCCGACGCGTCTGCAGTCCTCGTGCAATGGCGCCATCTCTGCCCGACCACCGCCTTCGCCCAAAAAGCTCAACATAGTCGTACCCACACTGGCCATTGGCACACGGGCCTACACGGCGGCCATGGCCGCATCCGCTGTGCAGCTGAACAAACGCTGGTCCCTGCGCAGCAGTCGCCCAGCAGCAGCAGCAGGTGGCCAAAGGAGCGCCATCCGGAACGGAGAGCAGCAACGGCACCAGCAGCAGCAGTGACATCAGCAATCACCAGGATGCTGATGACACCCATCAGCTGCTACAGTGTGCGCAATCGTGGAGCACATCAGCAGGAGCAGGCAGCAGGAACCGCCACAACGCAGCAGCAGCAGCAGCAGCAGGCGACAACACGCAGGCGCTGATCGGATGAGATTCGATCGGATCGGGGCACACAGCGGGAGCAATTGCAAGTACAAATCCCAAGCAACAGACAAACCTTGATAATTAGCAGAACTAAGGAGGCAGAAGAGCAGCGGGCGGAGCAGGAGCAGCAGCAGCAGCAGCAGGAGGAGGAGCAGGAGGCGCAACAATCCTCTGACCATTTTGGACACAGTTTATATATAATAATTTTTTTTCATTGTTAAATTTTGAGAAATGCCAAATAGCTGCCTAAATTTATCATACACTCTACCCCTCCCCCACCAGCCCATATATCAGTGTCGTTTTTGTTGTAAATAGAGAAATATTAGTTCTGAAACCCACACAAACACACACACACACACACAGACAGATCTGATATATATAAATGAGAGATATATTATATATTCATTATACAGAGTGCAAATATTATATTTTAGCTATTAAATAAATTCATCATGTAAACGAACCGATATATATATCTATATATATATTTTTTGTAATACCACACACACACACACTCACGCACGCATACATCACATCACATCCGTTTTGATTTTTTTTCGTCGCATAAAACTTTCAATCGGAACTGTATTTATTTAATAATTTAAACTTAAGCCGAAAACCAATTTTAGTAATTAAGTTCTCGTCATTGAGCGTAAAATTAACAGTGAACAGATGCTAATAATTGTAATTTTTCTTATACATATACATATATGTAATATCATTTAAATTTTGTTTCTTCTCTCCGATTTGTGTGATGCCATCCTCTTGAAGGTGGTCCTCGTTTTAACTAGTATATACATATATTTATTTCATGTCTCGTCGTGGTCGCTCATCTAGGACTATTTTATGAAATACATTGATATTTTTACATAATTAAATTTGACAAGTTTATTTTTTCTGTTGGGCTAGAAAGCAAACCTATGTGAGCCACTTTACATATTTGAAGATATATTCGAATCTGGCGCCGATAACAAAACCGTGCTTGCAGCATTTGGTCACATTGGTCAAACCTAGAATTGACGACTTTTTTCTTCTTCATTTTTCGCTCTCAATTCGTGGTGGGTTTTCAAAATTTGCTCTCTTTTCAGAGGTGTAGAGAGCGTTTTCGTGGTGACTTTCCCCTCATTTTCGTGGTGTGAGAAACATGTATCTTACGGGAACGAAGCTTCATTGTTGCGTCAATCCATACGCGTTCCCGTAAGATACATTTGATTTATATGGGAAAATTTTCAGCAACATGGGGAAATGAAGTAGCAGCATTGTTGTGCAACTTTGGCACGGAATGAGCAACAATCTGCATACCTTGGGAAAATGGATATTATGGACTTGAGATATTGTTTGTAATTTCAGGCTCCAATTAATGCAGAAACTAATCAGTCTCTGTTTTAAAGATATTAACGAAATTTTGCAGCTTACCTGTTCCAATAATAGGTATCAGAACCGGGATAAATGTATTTATAAAGCACAAAAACATATGTATAGATAGGTAAAAAAACAACTCAATCTAACAGAAATGCAATATTAATGTTTCAAAGCAGCCTGAAACAACAAATTTAACATCAATTAAAGGAAATAAGGTATGCAAAAGTCCATACGTACAGAAGTAACTTGGTTGACCAGCAACACTGACGTCAAATTTAGTCAACATTTACGTTTTATGCTTTGGCCATTTTTGTTTGAACCCTATTACGTAAACAATCCAATGAAAAAGAGTTCTGGAAACTAGCCAATCCTGAACAAAATTTATTGATGAATTGCATAAAATTATTTGTTTAGGGTGGGGGCCCTGCTGTCACCGAATAAAGAGGAATATCATGTCACAAAATATTATGGTATGGCAGCCCGTAGCAACTACGAATTGCACGAGTCTGGCAGCGCCTCAAAAACGACGTCACATTCGTTTTATGTTGTTTTTGGTTGAACTTAATATGTAAATAATCCAATAAAAAGGACTTCTGGAAACTTCCCAATCTTGTAGAAAATGTATGTATCTATCAGCTAAAATTATTTGTTTAGGGCTGAGAGGGCCAACTAGCTAGTAATATTTAACGGAATATCAACATCGAGGAATATTGTCGTGTCCGTAGGTATATTTGCGGTATATTTCGAAAATGAAAAGGTGTATTTCGGTATATTTCAGAGGGTCAGACTGGGTATTTTTAACAAAACGAATTCAAAAAAATTTCTCTCGGCTGAATTGTGTTAAAAAAACTATAGACCGTGAGATTAGCAGCAGAAAAGTGAAGTTAAAATCAAGTGCTGAAAGCGGTGCGGATAAAAATGCGAATCACAAAATGCCGCAGAAATTCTAGCAACAACAGCACAGGAAAACCGAAAGCGGTGTGAATATTTTTTTTTTCGAGACCATTGCCAAAGTTGCGCTTGCCGTGTGCGCCCTGTGTGTGTGTGTGGAACGGATAGTGGAGTGGATAGTGGTTGGGTTGGCGGAGAGTGGAGCGTCGAGCGTCGAAGAGTTGTGGAGTGGAGCGGAGTGGAAAGTAAAAGTGGCTGCGGTGGCGGTGTCTGTGCCTGTGCCTGGCTCTGTGCTTGCTGACTGTGTGTGCGCGCGCGAATGTTTGTGTGCTGTGCCAAAAAGAAGTTGCAGAAATATCAGAGTTACGCAAAAACAACGACAACATCACTGCCGCAAAAGATATTGTGTAAAATAATTAAATAGCTAGTACATTGCCAAGAGAGCGCGATTGATTGAGTGAGAGTGTGGCGTGTGTGTGTGGCAGAAGAGTGAGCGACGGCAAGGCTAGAGGAGAGGAGTGGAGTGGAGAGGCGAGGCGAGGCGAGGCGGAAGAGGCGACCCGGCGCAATGAGCATTATTGGCGAGAATAACGGCAGCAGCAGCATCCCCCCTAACACCGCTACAGCCAACATCATAACCACGGCCAATGGGCCGCGCGTCGTTACCATTTACAAGACGGAAACTGGCTTCGGTTTCAATGTACGCGGTCAGGTGTCCGAGGGCGGACAATTGCGCTCCATCAATGGCGAACTGTACGCTCCCCTGCAGCATGTCAGCGCTGTCCTCGAGAATGGAGCGGCCGAGAAGGCTGGCATCAAGAAGGGCGATCGCATACTGGAGGTGTAAGTATTACAAATGTGTTTGTGTGTGTGTGCGTGCGTGCAAGAGGTTTCCCGTTCCCCCCACTAGGCGGCTGGAATGGCCTGGCCTGGCCTGGTCTGGGCCTGCCAGTCCACTCTAGCTTTGGAGCACTGCTTGAAGGGGAGTTGCTAAGTAAGAGAGAGTGAGCGAGAGAGAGTCAGCACACGCTGCCTGGGAATATCAATAAACGTTTGTGTGTGTGTGTGTATGTATGTGAGTTGTTTTTTGGGTGGGTTGTCCGTCCACCCATATAATATGAGAGGGTTGTTCCTGAACTTTTCCATGTGCCCGTGTAGTCGGCAGGCTTTACAGGAATCTTATTCACCGGCAGATTCATATTTGTTCACATTTATTAGAGGGGGGAGAGGAGGTACCGGTGGTACACCGGTAACGGTACCCCCTTTGTGCTCAGCCCCTGCTTAGGCGCTGCCGGAATTTAAGCCGATTGGGCAGCAGGCCCTGGCTTTTGAATTACGTTACAACATCTTCCTTCCCCCGACCCGACCCTATCCATATTTCTTGTTCTCTGCATCTCTTTGTTGTGTGTGTGTGTGGGTGTGGGTGGGGGGTGTGTGCTTTCTTCAATGGCATAACATTATGCCACACAAAAACACAAAAGACACACAGACACTGACACATACACATACAGAAGCTAATTAAAATGTTCGCTCATAGCATTTGGAATGTTCTCTCTTTCACTCACTCTCTCCCCCCACTCTCTTTGTCTTGCATCTTTGACATTTTGGTTTTGCTCTCTGCTCTGATATTCGCTTTCGTTATCAGCAGATGACGTTCCATTCTACTCCCATTCTATCAATCATTTAATTCTATTGTATGGGTGGTTCATGGTGCGCGGGTGGGTTGTCGTTGTCGTTGTCATTGTCATTGTCGCCTGCCGGCCTGTCCTCTGTCCGCTGTTCTTCTCCTCCTCTGTGCTCCCGTTTCGACACGAAATTCAATTAATAAATTTACAAAAGTCTCGTTACACATTCGCGCAACCAACAACTTAATTATCATCAGCACACTGTCCACCGCCCGCCTTTCCATGCCCCAGCGCTCCTTCCAGTCCCACTGCTCAAACTGCTCAAACTGCTCACACTCTCACACCACCCCCCTAAGTCCACACGCGCTGAAAACTTGCAAATTTTCCACATTTTTCACACATATTCCCCATTGAAAAAAAAAGAAAAAAAAGAAGAGATTGTGTGTAGTAGCGGGGAGGGGGAGACGACACATAGCGAAAGAAAGAGATAGAGACAGCATAGTATGTGGGTTGGCAGGGAGACAGGGACAACTGAAAGCGAGAGAGGCGGCGTCCTCCTCCTCCTCCTCGTCGCTGTCGTCGTCTATTGTGTGGCTGTTGTGGGGCGGTGTTGTTGCTATTTGCAGTGGTTCATCATTTCATTATCAGCAACAACAACAACAACAACCACAACCAAAACAGCGGGAGAATGAGCAAACGGAGGAGAAATAGCTGCCGTTATAATTTGGCTAGCTGCGCTAGCTACGCAAACAACAACAACAACAGCAGCAAAAAAAATGCAAACAAGAATGAAAGTACCGAAGCCGAAGCGATTGATACTCTCGCTGATTGAGGTCTAACTTTGAAAGCAGTTTTAAGTTGATTAAATGATCAAATGGCAGTTTAAGTTGATTGAACAATCCGAATGAACCGAATACCCTCTCCACCCTTCCCTTGCTGCATGCAAAATCCTAATACCCTCTCACTCTCGCTCTCTCTATCGAAGGGTATCGGAAAGCAAACGCTCGTGTTGGGATGCCTGGCATGCCCCTGCTTAGAATGTTTGTTTTCTCGCCTAGAGTACGGTGCTCCCGCTGTTCCCCCTCTCTCTCTCTCTCTCTGGCTTAAAGTGTATCCACAATTTCACTCTCAACGAGCGCTAACCTGAAGCCGAAGCCGAAGCCAAAGCCAAAGCCGTAGCCTTATTTTAGAATACTAGAATTTACTGGAGATATATTTTAATTCAAGTTATTTCGGTTTATGCATTGCAGCATGACATTATTCGGCTCGTCTGTTAATCTGTGTCTTTTGGGGCGTTCTCTCCACTCTCTCTCTCTCTCACTCCACTCTCCACTCTCCACAAACATCCGCCCCCGTTGTGTCCGGCTGCAGAGGTTTGTGGTTTTTGTGGCCCGTAAGCCAGTAATCAGCACAAACAACCAACCGCCCCCCCGTCTCCAGGCACATATTTATATTGTTAATCTTTCTGATTGCACATACATGTGTACATATGTATTTTTGCATTTATTTTCGCACATATAATTTTGATTCAAGAGCAATCAATGTTCCTTCCGCTTGTCAGAGCTTCCTGGACCACAAATATTTGACCAAAGACCACCAATTCCGCTGATCATGCGTTAGGGCCGTACGCTCTGCGGTCCACAGGGTGGGGGCGGCGTTGCACAGGCTGCCGTTGCAGCGGACACAGTACGGATCGTTGGCACTGCACTCGGGCACCTCGCCCGCACATCCGCGCACCGTGTAGACCAGATCCAGGCGACTGATGACCGTGCTCACGCACAGCTCCACCGCGTCCGTGCAATTGCTGACGGTCATCGCCTGCGGGTTGGTCATGGCCGCACAATCCTCGTCCTGCTCCTGCGAGTTGCAGCGGTAGCAGCTGCGGACGGACCAGCGGTTGCATCCATCGCTGCTCCGGCACAATTGGCACCGCTCGCCGCCGCTTTCCGAGGGCGAGAAGTCGGCATCGGCGCATCCACGTCGCAGGACAGTATCTGCCGTAGAGGGGAAGGGAGGGGCAACAGAGAGAGACAGAGAGAGAGAGAGAGAGAGATGTACAGTTGTGATGCAAAGAATATTTATCGTATATTTCGGGAATACATTAATCTCCCCCATTCCCCACTCACCCTAACCTTGCTCGCAGGAATAGCAGGCCACGGTACCCTCGGCGCACTTCTCCGTGGGCAGATTACGGCCCGAGCGGCATTCCGGATGGCTGGTGGAGTTGCACACGGCGCAGACAATGTCCCGGCACTGGGCGTTGCACAAGTCGCCGGTGCAGCGGCTCAGCTCTCCGGTGGGGAAGAAGCCCATGGTGGTGGAGCAGCCGCGCTGCATCACCTCCGTCTGGGTGTTGAGGTGCGTGTAGCAGCCCTCGCGGTGGCCGTACATCACCTTGTTGGTGCACTGCGTCACCGTTCCATTGCCGACGGCGCACTGCTGCTGGCGCTGGGGCTGGTGTCCCTCCGCCGGCGCCTGCTGCTGGCGCAGGCAGTCAGGATTGGGGGACAGCCGCTGGTGGGTGCACTGGAGGCAGCGGCTCTCGGTGACGGTGCGCTCCATGTTGCAGCCGTTGTAGTTGCACTTGAGGCAGACGTGCGGACAGGTGGCGGGCAGGTTGGTGTGCTCGCAGCCGCGTTGCGTGTTGGACAGGTGGATGACGTTGGTGTAGCAGCGATCCCCCTCCCAGTAGAAGGGACAGGGCAGCAGCAGATGCGGCTTGCCCGACACGTCGATGCAGTCCGCACCGGTGCACTGGTAGCAGCGCAGCCGGTCCGTGGGAAACACGTGGCGGTTGCAGAGGCTCGTGTTGCACCGGTCGCAGGGCTCCGCACAGTAGCCGTTCGGATGGAGCCGGGCCAGGCAGCCGCGACGCGTTAGGCCCGCCGTGATCGAGGTGACGCACTCGTCGCCGGCCGCCGCGCACTCCTCCACCTCCAGCTGCTGGCCCGGCCGTGTGGCGCACTCCGAGTCCTCGGCCGAGTCGCAGTTGTAGCACTCCAGGGCCTGGGCTGCGCCCAGCACCAGAGTCAGCGCAGCGAAGACGACCAGCAGCAGCCGCAGCAGCAGCTGCCTCTTCTCAATCCAGTGGTTTGCCATCGTCTGAGGCAGCCCGTTCAGCGTTCAGTGACAGCGACTCCGTGACTAGATTGGCGGTCAAAGAACCGCTGCGATTTGCACCTGCACCTCGATAAGATTAGGCCACTCAAGTGGTTCGTGGCTCCAGGTTGCAGGGCCAAAAGTGGTTGGAGGAGGCAACGCCAAGCGATTTGCCCGGATAAGGTTCTGGATGGGGTTAGGTATTGATAAGGCAGCTGCAGACTAGAGTGCTGCACTCCTCACTGGCCTCAGTGCGTACACAAAGACATGTTGGCCAAAGGACACGTACATAAATGTAAATCACTTGCCAGATTTGTGGCTAAAACCTCCCCGAAAGATTCGCACCAAAGGGGAGATCGGAAACCAGCTCGAAGTGCGTGAAAATTGGACAAAATCTGAGGCAGGACAACTGATTCCCAGCAAGACTAAGTATAGTTCTTGGGGCAGCACCCAATGCCCGTTTCCTTGGCACGAGAGTTTTTTCGGGTTAGCTCGTTTAACGAGCCACATTGGCTCGGAACTTAAATCCTGGAAGCCGAACGCGACCTCCCCCCCCCCCAACGATGATGTCCTTTCAAGACGTTGTACTGCCCATGAATGGGCCCTGAATGGCAGCTTCAGCATAATGGAGGACCTAAAGAGAACGAGAACCCCAAGAATGCATTTCCATTTTTGCCATCTGCATCTTTTGTGCTCGTGCCCGTGCCCTTCGTGCACTTGGTTACCATCTACCCCAAGTTGCGCCCAGGAGACGCCTCACTTACCTTGACTGCTGGCTGGCTGGCTGCCTCCCTGGGCCCACTTAACATTGTGCTTGCGGGGGGTGGGCTTTGGCTTTGGCTTTGGCTGTGGGTTGTGAGTGGGTGGGTGGGTTGTGGGTGGTTGCGATACAATCAATGGGGATTATGAACTATTTTCGTTTCGTTTCGTTTTGTTTGGTTTCCACTTTCTTTGCCGTGTGCTGTGATGCGTTCGCCCCGAGTCCCGGACGTCACAGAACATACCCCCGCCCCCCCACATAGATGAACTCCATCTGCATACCTTTTGGTACACTCGGAATAGTTCTGTATTTTAATCACAAGCATAACAGCATACTGCTATTGCATTCTGATATTCTGATATTTGTTATTGGCAAAGACGGAAATTCCTTTCCCCCTTTCGTTGTGCAAGTACACCTCCGCCTGCTCCTGTTCCTCCTCCTTTATGCAATCCTTGCAATCCGGAAGTTTATGTGTGTGTCTTGGAATACGGTTATTGAGTTGGTGGCATCAACAATCAACCGTCGAGAAGCAACCAGCAATCCAAGAAGTAGTCAAGATTCGATTTGGTATGTGGCAATCTATTTGTGGGTTCCCCTTCCTGCTTTGCTTCCTTCGCTTTGTTTTCCCTTCAATGCTGCCCACGAATTTGTGTGTTGTGGTTGAGTTCTGTGTCAATGGCTGGCTGTGGCTGTTGTTGCTGTTGCTGGTGGTTTTTGTGGCATATGCCCCAACAATAATCAATATGTTTGCGTCACTGGATGGCGATGGATGAATGGTTTGGGGAGAGCTTGTTGCTGTTGTTGTTGTTGTTGCTGCTATCCTGGCCCACATTTCAGAGAGACCTATTACATACCCACCTCCCGCCTCTGTGGCTCTCTGTGTGTGGGAACTGTTGTGGGGGGTGGTTTCAAGTTCTGGTTTCCCTTTTGGGTTTCGTTTTGTTTCGTTCCGTTCCGTTCCGGCTAAGCCAGAAATAAACACAATTGAAGGATGGGAATGTGGGGAATGGGAATGGTGTAAGGTCTAGGCTATGATACTCGTACAGCTAGAGCCAACATCAAACAGAAAACTGGAAACGAAGCACACGGACAGAGGATTAAAGTGTTAAGCTCTCGCTCGCTCACAGGGTAGAAGGGCTAAGGGGCTAAGGGGGGTTTGCTATGTTTGGGGATAACAATTTTCACCTGCCCCAGGGAGAATTAACTTTCGATGTGAGCATCGATCCAGCCATGTTGTTACACTCTCTTCACTCTCTCTTCCCATTGAGAAATTTGCTTAAATTGCTTCTTCGCCATTGGAAATAAATCATTGTGTAAACATTGAAACGATGGGGAATATTTCTAATTCTTATTTATTCAGTGTGGTGGTTGGGTGGGTGGGTGGTTGGGGGGTGTGGGGAATGGGGTCTTGCAAATATTTATTCGATTTGCTCAACTTAAACAATTAAATTACCTCAGCTATAGCCAACACCCCCACACCCACCCCCCCCCCACAATGTATACATATATATATCGCTTAGGTAAACATGTGTGCAAATTGAATATATGTATGTATATTGTAGAAAATCCAATTTGCATTTTCCTAGAGCCACTTACGGACTTTCCCACCGCGTGGCATGCCCTAAGTTGTGCTGCGAGCATATGGGATATCAGGAGCGGTCTTCAGGGTCAAGTCAAACTTGATTTTATATCTTCAATCGGAACTGTTTTGCGCTTTTAATCGATATTATTCTTAGATTTCGCCACTAATTAAATCCTGTTGCTTCGTCCTCTCCCCAGTTGCCCCAGTTTGTGTGTGTGTGTGTGTGTTTTTCCCCCTCCCATGGAAATCCCAATAGCACTAATTACACTGCTTGTCCAGATGTTGCTTCGCATGCCAGTCCCAGGGTCCTCTTCAGCTTAGTGTGCAGAAATCACGCATGAACCTTTCTGGGTAGTGTTCCAGAACCCCAAGCAAGGTGTGTCACGACAGTTAGGTGAGGTGTGCTTGGGCTTAAAAAAAAACATAACAAATACAGCCAACCAACTCTATTGTAACTCTCGTGAGGAGAGGAAATGAGGAAATGGTGTGGAGCAATACCTTTGAGCAATTGTCGTGAGAGAGAGTTCTTTGGGTGAAGCTTTCTTCCTGTTTCAGTTTGTTTCAGTTTCAGTTTCTTTTGCTTTCCAATCCTCCCACACACACACACACACACACACTGTGTTGCAATTAAATGAAATTCAATAAATGGCAAACATTTCTTTGTGCCGGCATTTTGCCCAAGTAAAACACAATTAAGTGGAGTAGTAGGAAAAAGTCATTTTGCATTTAACAATAACTATAAATACACCCAATACCAATACCAATGCATATAAATAGTAAGTACATGCAATACGTGGCCACTGCTGTGCAGTGGCACACACACACATAAACACACACCTTTGTACAGGGTATGCGCACGGTAAGGTAAGCCAAGCCAAGAAAGTTGCCTCTGATTTGTAGCATAACGGGTTTCAGTTTCATTTGTGTTCAGTGAGAGAGGTGAGAGAGTGGGAGAGAGGGGCACATTATGCCATGCCCGCTTGCCCGCTTGTTGTGCCATACTTGCCTTGCCTTGCCTTGCCTTGCCTTACATTAGCATACCTTGCCTTTGTCTAGCTTTTGTTGTTGTTGTGTTGTGTCGGTGGTAAACAGGTTTACCCCTGCGTGCCTGTGTGTGCCTGTGTGTGTGTGATGGCCTCCGACTTCGTCTCAATTTCAGTCTCTGCTTGTGACTGTCTCTTGCGCACCTCCTTGCGCGTCCCACTGCTCCCCTCCGCTCTTTTGTTTCCTGCATATTATGCTATGGTATGGTATGGTATGGTATGGTTTAGTATGTCTTGTGTCTCTGTCTCCCTCTGTCGCAATGTGAGTCATGCTGAGTGCGTCAGACACCGTCGGTAGAGATAACAGTGCTGCGATTTATTATACCCTAGAAGGAGAGAGAGAGAGAGAGACACACAAGGATATTATGAGCTAGAGCACATGTTGGCAACAAAAAAAGAGGGGAAAAACAATTAAAGAAAATACAAAATTTCTTATAACTGTGATTAAATTAGCTTTAAAGTTGTTTGAGCAAACAAAAGGAAATACATAATGCAGAAATATATTTTTAAGTTTCCTGTGTACTCTGAAGAGTGAGATTATTTTTATCGCCTCCAGGGTATCAAAAGCTTCGACTAGGCCACACACACACACAGACACACAGACACACACCAATGGCCAGCCAGCTTTTGCCTCTCTCTTGTTTACTTATTTATTTATCTGTGTTGCTCGACGGCAAATTGCAAACCGGAAAGACGCGGAGCGGCGCGGCAGAAGACTCCTCTCAGGATGAGCAGAGCTCCTCTCGCTCCTCTGCAGGAATTGAGTGAGGGAGACAGAGATAGGAAGAGAGTGAGTGAGTGCCGGGTGCGGGGGTGCCGAGTGCTGTGGTGCTGCGACGACTGTTGACATTTTCTCCCTGATTAAGAGGCCACCTCCTCCTCCAGCCTGCCACGCCATTCGGCTTCAATCATTGCAGGCGTTTCATTTGACGGAATCAAGTGGGCTTTGGGGTGGTATGGAGGGAGGGAGCGAGGGTTGGGTGTTCTTCTCTCGTTAATTGATTTAGTTGCATTCCCATTGTGCCGCCCATTACCCAACCAACATTTTCCATTCATTCCCTTTGATACCAATTCCAGGCAATGACTGTACTTTCCTTTATGAGCTTAGTCCCCCCCCATCCCTCATGCTGTTGCGACACCTGCTCGCTCCTCCTACCCATCTCTTGGGTGCTCAACCTTCAAGTTCAATTGGAGCTCTCGATCCCAGATAGAAACGGGCGCCACGCCACTCCACTCCACTCCACGCAACAGCAACAACTTGACCCGAATCGCTTATCTCCAGTCCATTCGCCTTATCAGTGCTCCACTGATGTCAATGCATCCATTGCGTATGTAGCTCTCTCTCCCCCGACCGCCCACCTCCACTTGCATCTCTATCACTCAATTCTCTGGGCTGTTTTTTTTTCTTTTTCTTTAAATTGATCTGCCGGCGATGGCTTGGCAGGCACTTGGCTTGTGGCAATTGATCAGCACTCACACTCCATCGCTTCATCACTCCTGGCACTCAAATGCTGCCCTTCCACTGCGTTCAGTTTGCACAGCTGAGTGCCCTGGAGAGGCGCTGCCAGCGGTGGGTGTGGCAGGGAGCCCAGTCCCCCCCAGGATAACTCTTACATTTCCAATGGATACTAATCTACACCTCTATGTGTTTTTGTTTGTTTGTTATTTTTACAGCAACGGCGTCAGCGTGGAGGGAGCCACACACAAACAGGTCGTGGACCTGATCAAATCCGGCGGCGATTGCCTCACCCTCACGGTGATATCGGTGACCCAGCAGGTGAGTCCCACTCGTCTGCTCCTGCCACAACAACCGCTCTAATTCCCATTTTGTATATCATCCACAGGAGGCCGATCGACTGGAACCGCAGGAGGACCAGAGCGGCTACTCCTACATTGATTACTCGGACAAGCGCTCGCTGCCGATCAGGTGAGCAAATCGTTAAATCAGCAACCACTAAGACACACTCAAAAATACTAACTGATCCTTCTGCTTGCAGCATACCCGACTATGGGATTGTCAACCGGAACGGAGAGCGCTACATTGTCTTCAACATACACATGGCCGGGCGGCAGCTGTGCTCGCGGCGGTATCGCGAGTTCGCCAACCTGCATTCGCTGCTGCGCAAGGAGTTCTCCGGCTTCAGTTTCCCCAAGTTGCCCGGCAAGTGGCCGTTCCAGCTGAGCGAGCAGCAGCTGGACACGCGGCGACGCGGCCTGGAGCAGTACCTGGAGAAGGTGTGCGCGGTGCGAGTGATAGCCGAGAGCGATGCTGTGCAGGACTTTCTCACCGACACCGAGGACGACATCTCGGCATCGCCGGTGGACATTAAGGTGATGCTGCCCGACCACGAGGTGACCACCGTCTCGGTGAAGAAGTCGTCCAGCGCCCAGGTCGTCTGGGAGATCCTGGTGCAGCGCGCCAGTCTCACCGCCTACACGCAGCAGTATTTCTACCTGTTCGAGATCGTCGAGTACAACTTCGAGCGGAAGCTGCAGCCGCACGAGATCCCCCATCAGCTGTACGTGCAGAACTACAGCACGGCCTCCTCAACGTGTCTCTGTGTGCGCCGGTGGCTCTTCACCGTCGGCAAGGAGCTGACGCTGCCAGACGGCGAGCAGGCCGGACGCTTCATCTTCTATCAGGCTGTGGATGAGGTGAATCGCGGCAACATCCGCGCCGACGGACGCCTCTACGAGCTGAAGGCCCTGCAGGATGCCAAGAAGGCTGGCGACTATCTGGCCCTGGCCCGCAGCCTGCCCGGCTACGGGGACGTTGTGTTCCCCCACTGCTCATGTGATAGTCGCAAGGAGGGGCATGTGGTGCCCGCCGTGGGTGAGTGTGCCGTCCAGCCATCTCTTTTTTTTTTTACTTTTCCCCTACTGTAATATCTCTCTGTGTTCCGTTGGCAGGCATGAAGAGTTTCCGCCTGCACGCCTGTCGCGAGGATGGCTCGCTGGAGGCGCAAATGGTCGAGCTGACCTGGGACAGCATCACGCGCTCCGAGAGCGACGAGGAGTCCATGACATTTTGCTTTCAGTACAATCGTCCAGATAAGCCAGCCCGTTGGGTCAAAGTCTACACGCCATATGTACGTCTAATCTGCCGACCCCCCCTGCCACCCCAAGCAGTGCGTTTCCAAAGCTCTCCCGTGCACCTCCCAAGCAAAAAAGCAATCGCTTGATCCATCCATTGTACCCAACAATTTTGCAGTGCCCGAGTGTGGAGTGTGTCTGGAGAGTTCTGAAGCGCACTGAATGGGATTCAAATTTGCCGAGAGAGCTGTGTGTGTGTGTGTGTCTGACAAGAATCTTTTTTCCTTATTGCAGCATGCATTCCTTGCGGACTGCTTTGATCGGATCATGGAGGAGCGCAAATGGGACGACAGCGGCGACTAGAATTGGCGTTTGGAGCGGCTGGTGCAACGGCAGCTGGAGCAGCGGCAGGAACCACAGATTAAGCAACCCAATCCCCTCCAGAGTATCATCAACAGTCGAGCCGAGGCATTGCATATTGTTCGTTAGTTCAGGGACGCCGACCCCCTTCCCATTTCTCTCACTCACTCTCTCTCTCTCTCTCTCTCTGATTGTAATTTTGTTTCTTTGCGATATTCGTGCGAGATTCAAGCGGTGTTCCGATTCAGATTCAGCCACATTCAGCTGCCATTTGTCAAACACCCCGCCCAACCCCAATCCACATGGATCAGCATGTTGCAATCGCCTTGGCTTAATATTGATGATGATATGACGATGATGAGATGGAGAGAGGATAGATGTATGGGTGGGATGCGGATGCATGAATGAATATGCATGGGTGGATGGAAGATGCAAAAATGTTAACAGCAGCAACAAAAATGTTTCAAATGTTTTCGGCACTTAGCACATAGAGCAAAAGGCACCAATTTAGATCAAGCAGAAGAACCGACGATTCTCATATACAATATATACACGCAAAACACATACACACACACATACATAATGATATATATATAGTAAGCCGACCTCAGCGTAAAGTTAATGCATCTTTTTTTGTTCCATACATTTTAATTCGGTTTTTGTTGAATCTTTGGCCAATGGATCGAAGGAGAAGGGAGAAGAGAAGCTCTTGGCAAAGATATAGAAATTGTAAAAAGTCAATTTTAATTGTACACAGAATATATAAATCGTATATATAGAGTATATACCTACATCTACATACATATATAAAATGCATACACATTTACATACATACATATAAAGCATATACATAAACATATATATATATATACATATATAAACGATTAGCAAAACAAATTGACAAGCATTGATTGATAGTTTATTTATTTGTACGGTAGAACCAACTCAACAAAGAGAGAGAATGAAATTTCGGAAAATTAAAAACAAAACAAAAAACAAAAGTGAAGAAGAAGAAACCCAAGCCAGGCAAAGTAAATGCAAATTCAAATTTAAACTCAAATTCACATTAAAATTTAAATAGTAAATGAATTAAGTAAATCGAAACGAAAGCGAATACAGAACAAAACATGAAACATGAAATGCAAAAGAAGAGTAAAGTTGAAATTATTGTACTCAAGCGAAAACTTTCTATAGAAATTGTTAGTTAACTGTAAGGTAAAGTTAAAAGTTATTGATCAAAGGCAAAATCAACACAAAACGAAACTCAAAAATCGGACTCGCAAAACGGCATGTGCATGTGTGAACACAAACGCAAACGAAAGAAGGGGAATGCGAAAGAGAAAGAACTTTTAGCACAGACACCGCAATTCCCTTCCCCCATCAGTGCCGCGGCTAGCGAATGCTCCACCTACAACACCACTTACCCGGAGATGGTCGTAGCTACGAGGTGTACCAGCGGTGCCCACTATTGCTACTAGTAATCAGCGATTTGTTGACGAATAGCCTTGCTCGCTAGTACTGGGGGATACCACACCCATACCCATACCCACTCACACACACACACCCACACATACACAAACACGCATAGGTATAGGTATAGGAATGCAAATACACACACAAACACATATATATATATATATACACATTTATCAACGATGCAAGTGACGTCTGCTTGTGATATTTACAATTTACACGATTATTATGGTTAATTTTCAACCTTATTTAATTGAGTATAATTCCACTCGATGTTTATTTTTTTTTTCTTGCTCTGTTAATCGTTAATCTCTCAATGTCCGCGTCCGCGTATAATTGTCGTATCTTGTACAATGTATTTATTATGTTTAGTTTATAGTTCTATCATAATATGAATTTCCAATTACAATTATTTTTATTATTATTATTATTATATTTTTTTTTTGTCTTTTTGGCCATTTACGAGTACTGTAGCAAACGTTCGGCTTAGATTTGTGTGTATTCCATATAATATAATTAATAATACTTTATCATTGATTTGGCCCTGTCCTGGTTTTTGTTCAACAGAGCGGAGATCATCGGGGGTATCTCTCAGGGGAAGGGGAGCAAAACAGAATATTATACATTATAAAATATGCTATAAAGTACATTCCATTCCTTGAATCAAACATGAAAATAATTATTACTGTTTTCTTACACATTTAATACAAGAAAAAAAGCAAAAAAAAAAACACAAAATACAAACAACAACAAAATGAAGCTGGGAGAAACCATCAAACGTTTAAGTGTAAGGCTAGAACAAAAATTAACAAATTTATCGAACGAATAATAAAAAAAATTGCATTTTTCCCTTTTCAAAACGTTTCCAATGATCAATTCGGTGGGCAGTGTTACACTAATATAAAATAACTAAATTGAAGCCTTGGGGAATCCTCATTATTCGTCGTTTCCCACAGAGTAATTGGAACATAATGGCATAATTAAAAAAAAAAAGCGAAAAAAGCCAAATACATATTTTAAATTATATTTTTCCCGAGTCGCCTTAAAAAAGAATTTTGAGCTGCGGGAAAAAAGTGAAGTCGGCAGCACTGCAGCCAACGCATGGAAAATATTTTATCTGTTTAAATTTGTTCGGTAGCTTCTTTTTATTCCGCTACATCTGTTTCTATTCTACCTCACCAACCTCAGCCGTTATATCTCCCTCCCCTCCACCAATTGGCGCACTTTGGACGAGGAAGAGTGCTTGAGAGAGAGAGAGAGTAAAGCGCATGGAAATAAGTAGCGTAGTTGCAGAAAATTCATTCTGGCTATAATAATGGGCGCATGCACCAGCGCAATGTATCATGCATCACGAATTAGGTGTCATTTATCTCTCTTCCCAAATAATAACCGAAAGCTGAAAACGATCACCATTGAGCAAAAAAAAAAATAACTTGAATTCCCGCTAACCGCTGTTTTTAATTTTTTCCCGTAAAAATAGCTAGATCTGACGGGTAAAAAAAAGCTGATTTGGCAACACTGCGTCGATGCAGAAAAAAAGGAGAAAGTTTTTGTTTCAAATTGTAGAGGTGGGCTACAAAAACTAGAGGTGGGCATGGAGCGTGCCTTTTTTACGATGACCCTGATATGAGGATCGAGTGGATGGAACCCTTTTTAGTGAGACGTCTTGAAAGTAGGTTGCGGTATTAACTAAAAAATTCTAAAGTAAAGGGTATATCCGACAGCGCTGTAAAAACAATCAATCCAGTCAGGCAGATGGGTTATATTCAGACTCCATCTTGAATTGAATGCTCTATAAAGGCGCCGCTTGGACTTTCATAGCCTCCCCAGGAGACGGAGACGGTACTTAATATTTGTTGGGGAACTTGTGCCATTGGTTGCTATTGTTTTCTCAATTATAAACCTACGTGCAACACTGTTTAAATACGTAACTAAAATACTGAAAAAATTCGGAGTGCACTGTTCTACAATATTGGCGTACTCAAGTGTGAAGAGTATCTAGTACTCGCTAGAGTAGCGCACCTTATCAGCTTATAACCGTACATACATATGTACATATATGCATTTCGTTCAGTGTTGCTTATTGGCTTTATCGTTTTATTGCCACAGAGAAATTGTGATTCTGTCTAATTGCAGCAGTAAGCTTTAGTTTGGTGTTTGTTTCTCTTTTGTTCTTGGTACAGCTTTCCCTGGTTATGGTGGAACATCAGTGAGGGGTACGAAGGTGCAACTTTTGTTGGCCATCATACCTATTATCATAGCCATTACCTTAACGGTAGTAATCCTGATCAAAACTGTGTTGGTTTCAATTCAGAAAGTAAGCTCACAGCAATATGATTACAATACGGAAAAATAGCGTCCATTTTGTTGCAGAGAAAACCTAATCCTCAAATTGTATCCTTTTACAGCTTAAAATATTCTAAAAGTATGTAATGGAAGAGTGCTGATCACTGAAGGTATATTTTTATATGTACCCGTACTCAAAAAGAGTTAAAGGGTATTAAAGGAAACCTTTTCGACCCCATAAAGTATAAATATTCTTGATCAGCATCAATAGCCGAGTCGATATTGCCATGTCTGTCTGTCCGCCCGTTCGTCCGTTCCGTATAAAAATAGAGTCGCGTCCACAGAAGCGACTCACACGTTCCTTCTCGTTTTGTCTGTAAATTAGAGATCTCTGGTGCATTGACGCTGATTTTACTGTACATTTATTCTCCTGAATCCCCCAATCCCATCCTAAAATGTTCCTCCTGCCCTGCCCCTTGGGCTCTGCCGTTTGGAGTGTATGGTGATTGTGTTATAAATAAAACTCAATCGTCAAATATTTACCCACTTTGAGAGAATTTATGAGTGCCATTTGTTAAACAATATTGCGAATTAGTTTTATTGTTCTGTCCCGACGCTGGTCGGGACGGGACGGGACGGGCCGTGCGGACGGGTGGTTTGCCTTGCCTTATGCCTTATGCCTTATCAGCGGACACATGTAATTATTGAAAAAGCAACTAAGTGAATCGATTGGATCGGCAGACGAGCGGGTTTAGCTCTTGAGTTTTTTTTGTCAGTTGATTAAATGTTTTCCATGCGGCTATTATCACCGCTAAAACGAGGTCGAAAATTCCCAAGAGAGTGGCGGCGGAGGGAGAGTGAGAGACTATGGCTAATTAGCTGAGCCCACAACACACAACACACAAATGCGATCAGTAAATTTGTTTATGGCTAAAAAATGAATTTAATTAACTGAATCAATACGACACGACACACAGCCACCGCGTCGTCGCCGGTCGTTCGGTTGGCCGGTCGGCCGGTCGGACGGCGGGGAGTTGAAAGCGGATTATCGCTGGGCCGATGATAAGCGACGATTAAAAGCAAACAGCGATTGTAATCGAAGACGACCCTGCTCCCGTTACCGTTCGTACCGTTCTTCCCGGAGCCCAGCTCAAAAGCGCCGCTCTCTCAATCTCCCCTCCCACATCCCACACCGCACCGCACACCCTGCACTCTCTGTCTGATTCGTTTCGGTGTTTCGCTGTTTTCCGAGCCGCTTTCATTCGCCTTTTGACCGCGTTCGCGTAATGGCGCAGTCGACGACAACGACACCTTCGGGGGCCGCGCAGGCGCTGAACGGCGAGTACCTGGACCTGGCCTTTGCGGACGAGGATGAGCCGGAGCAGAAGGCACTGCTGCCGAATACGGCGGGACGGAAGCCCTCGCTGAGCGAGCGGCGTAATGTGGATCTCCCATATCTGCGGGTAGTCCACGAGAGGGACCGCGAGCGCGATCGCGACCGCGACCGCGAAACGGAAGCAGAAGTGACGGCAAGTTCGTCGTCGCCCAACCAGTCCTCGTCCTTTGGTCCCGGCCTGCGGCGCAACTCCATATCCATGCCGTCGGGCATTAATGCCCTGGACCTGGAGGCCCTGCGCATGCGTCATCAGATGCAGGCCCAAGATGCCCTGCACGAGGAGAGCGTGAGTTTTTTTATATTTTAATCTCTAAAACTGTTTTAATCCGCTGTGCTATGAACAATCATCGTTAGCGAAGTTCGCACTAAAAGCAAAATCGTCTCCCCTCCCACTCCAGCTGCGTCTCTTCGCCTCTCCGCTACTCTCTGCGCATGAGTTACACTGAAAAATTCCCCCCCAAAAATAATACCCAAAACGTTAATTGACTTTTAATTATAGTAACTTGACAAAAACAATCCACACATGTGACAAAACTTGAAATTCAGTTAATTTCAAACACGTTCCAGTGCCATCACATGATGGCCAGATGGTCTAGGTAGGGTAAATACTTAAATCAAAATCAAAAATCAAAATGATTGCGGAGAAGTTGCATGCCCCATTTATATATTGGTAACGAAATGTACGTAGGAACGACTTGTTGGTACTACTTGTGCATAGACCAGTTCAAGTGAACAATACGAGTACTGCCCTGAGAATTTGAATTCGAATTGCCACTGCTGCTCATTCTTTGCACAGCTGACTGTAGCTGGAATGCTGCCAGGCGCAATGCAGTCCGCACAAATTGATCGCAAGTGATCAAACCCGATATTCGTGGAGTAAAAGCATATGCATACCCTATAAATGTGCTGATGTTGTAACTGGTAACTGGTGTACTACCAAAACTTATATGTTGCATACTGCGGTAAACTGTAGTTGATTTGTCTATCGATTCATTCAAACCATGAAAATTCTCCCTTTTGGCAGAAGGTGTATTTAAAGTTGCCCTTACCAAGCCCAAGCATTGATGGCCATTGATGGCTGGCCAACTGGCTGCAGCGGGGTAGCAGTTATTCCAAAGTCTCCCTCCATTGTAAGCGGCTCTACTTGTTATTTGCATTCAGCGACGCGTTCAGCTTTGTTCCGTGTGAGTTGGGGTTTATTTTCGATTTATTTGCACTACAACTGATTGTTAATGTCGCCGGCAGATGAGCAGATCGAAGCGATATATAAGTTACGCTAATTACGGAGGTGTGAATCAGTGGGGCACCCGGGCAGGGAGCAGGGCGCAGGGAGCAGAGCGAACAGGCCGCCGGTTGGCGCTGTCCGTCTATCTGGCCTATGAGTGATTTACCAAGACAATAATCAGCAATCCACACACTCGCGTCAGCAGCACACACATAATAGCACATTAGCCATTGGGGGCTGCTCATACGACCCCCTGGCTAAAAGTATGCAGCGATTTTTAGGCAGAGAGCGAGGAAAGAGAAAGATGGAGAGAGACAGAGAGAAAGTTCTTTCGATGGAATTATCTATTTTGGGTGCAGAATGATCTGTACTCTCCCCATGCCATACAAATTGTCTGTATTGTTCTCCATTCCATTGCCCAGGAATTGGATTAAAAGTGAAATAAAGATAGGTAGAATTGAATAATTTTAGCATTAATTTTCGATCAAATACACTGCAACTGATCAAAGACTGATCAAAGACTGATCAGCAGTAAAGATTGTTTACATTCTGCATATATATGTATGTATGCCGGCACTCGATCGGCTATCCACGGTGATGCAACAGCAACAGCTGAGAACCAGGTCAAAATCCATCTGAAACGGGTGCGATCTGGCTATGAATCGGTTCAGAACGGGTCTCTCGGATCGATCCCACCAACCGGTTGCCGAACGATAACGAACGAGAGCGAGCGCGCTTGAGAGCGAAAAGCCCCGTCCGGGCGTACGGCCTGCCTGCCGTTTGTGTGCGAATCTCTGAGCCGGTGACGCCGCCACACTGTGGGACAGTTATTTATGGCCAGTAGTCACGATTAAAGGCTAAATCCGGCCGACACGGCGCTGGCCGCTTGCCGCTGGAAACATCGCCGCCGCCGCCGCCTGTACGAAACCAATCAGAAAGTGCTCGCCGCAATTAATTTACGACTGCGGGTTAATTCTATCAAAACCAAATTCCCACACGGGCTCCGTATTCCCAAGAGACCCAAACCGATCCACTCAAGGTGTATTGTATGCAAGGTGTGGGGCAAAAAAAAGTTTTATTTTAGTTTATTACTAGGATACCTTTTTCCAGCGAGTCCAAAAAAATCAAATAATAAAAAATATCCAATTCGTTAGCTTTTTTTTTTTTTATTGGTAGAATAAAACAAAAAAGTTTTCGAAGCTATCACTCGAGGAAATTTGAAAGAACGCTCTCTTGCGTTCACAATTCACTCAACGTCGTACTGGCGTTGGAGTGCTAGAGAGCCGGCTGAGCCGGAGTGGAGTGTGGGTGTCAATATTCGCACTCAAACACAAAGCGGCGGCTGCTCTCCCAGAAACGCCAGCGTTGGCAGCACTGGCGAGCGATTAAAACGCATAAATTGAGGCGAACCCGGCACCGCAAACACAATATTCAGGCAATAGCAATCCGGCAATTATCAGACGGACGGACAACTCCAGCGCCATTGACAGCGCGACATCAGTGGGAGGTGCACGGGCATGAGCACGAGCACGGCAAACAGCTGCCGGGTTATAGTGATAGTGATTGAGATTGAGACAGTAATATTTATAGATAAACTGTAGAGAGTGTCGAGTTGTCTGTGAAAGATTTACCGCCCCATCCCGCCCTGCCCTGAATGCTGCTTCGAAGATCAGAGCCAGAATGAGCTCACCCAATGGCAGTCGCTTCACGCTGTCGGGTGTGAGACCGCCCGACAAGGATACACATACTGATCAGAATACGGATACGGATATAGCTATGGCTATGGCTACGGATAAGGCAGGTACTAAGTGTGGCCCGAATCGAAATGTATTTGTGTATTGTTCTGAGGAAATGTGTTCGTGATGGGAAATTTTTGTAAATATTTTCTTGATCCAATATCCATAGCCATAACCCTCCGTCTGTTATCGAGCAAAGTGCTTTAGTCGGTGCCTTACTTTCTCCGTTGCACTAGATACCTATTCGGGAAGCTGCGGTCTTAACGCCTATGGCACATTGATAACTGGATATCTGGGGATATCTGGTGTCAGGAGACCTTGGCTGGGGGCTCTGTGCTGCGGTCAGGCGGCGCAATCATGCTAATTGCACTCACCTTGCCAAACCTCTCGCAACTCGGAACAGTAGGTGCCAAAAGGTACCCCCAGGTACCCCGTGCCCCGGACACTTATCCGTTACAATTGTTGACTGTTTGTACTATCAATTCTTAAGCGTTGGAAAATTAATAAAGTATTATATAAAAACACAATTTATGGATTGCTTTCAGATAGCCGATGATGCGACTTCCAGCCTGGGAACGCCGGCCACAACGCCAGGCACCACCGCGCTGAATACGCCGGATAAGGGCATGGGCGCAGCAGCGACCATTAATTTCGCTGCAACCACCAACGATGATGACAGCGACGATGAGTATGGGAATGCCAAGAAACGGGTTTATCGGTGAGTGGCAAGTAATAATGGAAAAAAGGGCTGCAACCCCTAGGGTTAAAGAGAGAACTGCCCGCCAGTGAAGATTCTACCCCTACCCGCTACTGCTGGGTACAGATTCAAATACAGATATTGTACGGTGCATGCTTCGATCTTAGCCCAATTTCATTCATATGCCACTTTGTGGCACGCTCCATGCTCATTCTGTGGCACATTTGCCATCGTGATTCATCGGGCAATTAGATTAATTAATTTGAAGTCGCTGGCTTTTGTGTCTCTCTGAACGAGACAGTAATTCGAATAATTGGTCGAACGACTGGAACGTGCCTTTCCCAACATTCCGGCAAATAGGGGATTGCAGAGTGGAGTGTCGCTTGCAATTGCGGGCCATTTCCCCCGTTCATTTAAATGCAATTTGTATTCGATTCTTGATTTCTCCCACAACCCACCACCAGCTACGAATGCAACGAATGCATTTAGTGGCGCTGAAAATTTTCTATCATTATTCCGCATTTGATTGCCGGCTGAAATAACAGTAATTTTCTACATGGGGTTGGATTGGAGAGGCGCGCAACATTGTCTTAACAGAGCAGAAAACAGTGCTGTTAAAAGCTTGTGCCAAACTGTAAGCCGAGCTTTAGCTTTGATCCAGGCAAAAGTTTCGTTCGGATAGCAAAAAGCTTTACATGCACAGGCACACGCACGCAAAATGAGAGCGAAGCAATTTAACTGTTTAAGCGCATTACACGGCCAGATACAAGGTGCGACAAGGACAGCGACAGCGAAATCTCGACGACATCTGACGACAGTCTCCCTCCGATCCGATGATAAATTAATTTGGAGGAAGCTTAAGCCAGCCCAGACAGCAGAGCAGAGCAACGCAACGGCATCTCTGAGATTCCATGTACATACATACATACATATGTGGTATGGGCACAGCAGAGGTCAACGCCATAGAAGTTCTTTTAGATAATTGGAAATACTTAAAGCTATATTTACGGGTAAAGTCTGGATGAAACGAAATCAGGAACATGCCGTAGCAAAATCGAAAGCAAGGAAGGCAACCTTTGGGTGTCAAAGCTCTAGCCATCAGATCAAGTGTTCCCTGTAGCACATTTATCGTTCTCTTGAAAGATCTAAAAGCTTAATAATGGCTACAAATGATATGTTCTTACATGAAATTGTTTCTAAATAATATGTTGAAGCAATAGCATTAATATAACTCCCCTTAGCCACACCTCGCAATCATTGAACAGCTCGGGGAATGTCAGAAAGAACTTGAAATTACTGCAGTTTGGTGATATCCTGTAAGTACGAGCATCTACTTCATTGAGCGTCACTGTAGATACAAGTGGCATAGCCACAGCCACAGCCACAGCTACTATAACTGTATCTGTATGTTAATGGCCCGCAATGATAGATATGAACGGACCTCCCTCCGCTCAGTTGATGATCGTGATTAGCCGTGATAACAACGCGAGAATATCTATCCCCAGCGTAGTGAGATCCCCCACCGATCTATATCTGTGGTGCATATATCTGAAAAGTAAAAAGAAAAATATCTGTTCGAGCCGCGTTTTAATAGCAGTGTTTATGAGCCCCGCCAGGGTCCCGTCCCGCTTATCGCCGACAGTATTTTGAATTGTAAATAAATCAAACAAATGCATATACTATACTATATATTGTCGCACTTCAAGTATATTCATATAATTATTATTATGTACTCATACATATGTATGTAGACTCGTTCGGGGTATCAGCGGCCTAGCTTCGTGTGCCAGTTTCGGTCGGGGGTTTCCAGATTTATTTGCCACAGAGATTTGCATACCAGCAGCATACACACAGATCCGATCCAAATCTCTCCACCGATTCACAAAAATACATGTTATACATACATACAATATATACATACATATTTATGCACATATGTATAAACAGGCAGGGCAGCCCTTGGGCCCATTGAGAGTGGGAGTGCGAGTGTGTCGCCCAGTGTCTTCCGGCTCGAGGGCTCCTCAAGATGTTGACAAGCCACGAAGCACCGATAATGGTGATCGCTATCGAGTGGGTGGGCGTGGAGGGCTTTGGTTATGGGACATCTTCGCATCATCATCGAGCGCTGCGTTGGGTGTGCGCTTCATATCTGATCGGTTGGGGACGCATCAGCTGACATCGGATGTATATATGGGGACTATATGGGGCTTTCCTTATCGGGATCGTAAATGATTTTGGGCATTATCTACGCCGCGTCATATATCACACAGACAACGACCTCTCTCTGCGACTGACTGACTGTGTGTTCCGTTACCCTCCCCTTCCAGCGATCGCTTTCGCAATCGGAGACGTGCCTCGATCGCCCCGCTGCCGGCCCTGCGACTCAACAGCAAAGAGATGTTGGCCAGCGATTTCGATACCCACAGCCTGGCCAGCAACCAGGCCTCGATAACGAGCGTCAACTCTCTCGCCAGCTTGCTGCGCGAGAAGATGCAGGTGAGTGAGAGATGCCCATCCCATCCCATCCATCCCATCCCTCAAAGGAGATTCCAAAAGTCATCTGCTCTCCGTGTGTGTTTTTCGCTTAGGCCTTTCCCCAGCTAATACGCAAGAAGAAACGGGAGACTAAGGACTACAAGATCAAGATATTCGTCATCATAATGTTCTTCATCATTATATTCCTGGTAAGCCATAATTAATTGCCCATAAAAACATAAAAAAATATTTATCGTTGATCGATAATAATTCGATATACATATTGATATTGACATGAGACATTTGACATGTTACAAGGGGAAAGGGAATGTAAAATAAAATAAAACACTGATTAAACACTCTTTTAGTTATTTTAAATTAAATAGATAATAACATAATAATAATAATTGAAGAAAAAGCGACGGACGGCGTGATGCGTGCATGCGCCATCCACATGCCACAGCAAACTGTAAACTCCTCAAGAGCGACGAGCTGCCTAATTTTATTTTTCCTATTTGTATATGTAATCACTCATAGCGATCAGCATCGTTCATCTCTTTAAAGCATAAAGAGGGCGCATGATTAAAGATCGCTGACCAAAGATGACTAATCAATGCTGATGTCTAGACTCTAAAGGCAAATTCCATGATGTTCCATGTTCCATAAGACATGAATATGTTACAGGAAATCAGTCACTTAAGAGAATCATATTTCCCATTCTGGACTGTGAAAATATTGAATAGAAATATTACAAAGATTTACTGATATTGGTTCATTATCCATGAAGTACTTAAATATTATCCCCATAAACCTTTATGAATTCTGTGACATTTGAGTATAAGTATGAGTATAAGAATGAGTATAAGAATGAGTATAAGTATGAGTATAAGTATGAGTGTTAGTATAAGTATGAGTATAAGTATGAGTATGAGTATTAGTATGAGTATAAGTATGAGTATGTATAAGCATGAATATTAGTATGAGTATAAGTATAAGTATGAGTATTAGTATGAGTATAAGTATGAGTATTAGTATGAGTATAAGTATGAGTGTTAGTATGAGTATGAGTATTAGTTTGAGTATAAGTATGAGTGCAAGTATAAGTGTAAGTATAAGTATGAGTGTATGAATGAGTATAAGTCTAGCACCCATAAATCATAAATTAGATTAAATATTCAATAGTTTTCTAAGCTTTCTCCATTCATAGCTGCAGCCTGAAATTCCCTTCTGATCTCTCTCTCTGTCTCGCTCGCTTGCAGATTGGCTATGCGTACATTGCGTACCACCAGCAGGTGCTGACGAAGAGCTACTTTGAGAAGATCAAATTCAATTCGGTGGACCGCATATTCCGTATACTGAACCACGACGACAAGGAGGTGATATCGGGGCAGCTGGGCGTGACCCTGGGCAGCGATTCGGCGCCGTTCCACTGTCTGGAGGAGCAACGGCGCTCGGACGGCAGTGTCTGTATCGAGTGGAACGGGGTGGCGCGCCTCCACATGAACTTCGAGGACAAGGGCGTCTTTCGGTGCTACACGCTGCAGTGGCAGGCGTTGACGGCCGGCCTCCTGCCCACCGACTGCTACGAGCTGAAGCGGGACAACGGCCTGTGGTTTGGCGGCGGCATCACCAAGGGCCAGGAGTGGTCCCTCAGCTACGCCAACTTCGACTTCATGCCCTATGCCAGCGGGGACAGCAAGGTGCACCAGTTCGGGAACGGGGTGAAGCGCTACTTCATCAACTCCATCGGGGTGGCCATGCAGGTGAGCGAGCGGACGCCGCTGCAGCTGGGCATCAACCGGACGGAGAACCAGTTCTGCCTGCGGGCGGCCAACGATGACTTCACGTTCGTCAATCGGCTGACGGCGCTGCCGCAGCTGGACTACAAGATCTGCACCACGGAGGATATGCGCAGCCTGCACATGCTGATGACGCAGCAGAGCCTGTGGGACGGGCTGAAGGAGCAGGACATCCAGGTGCTGCACTCGCTGCTGGAGGAGCCCGTGTGGCGCATACCCAACCAGGATCTGCCCGACTCCCTCAACGAGACGGTCATCTGCGACTACTCGGAGAGCGCCATTGCCATGGGGCCTGGGCCACATCGTGATCAACGAGTTCTGGCAGGAGAATATCGGCGACTTTACCGTCGACCGTGCCCGCTTCCCCACGCTCAAGGACACCATCGATGTGCTGCATCGGCGCGGCTTCAAGGTGGTCTTCACCATCCAGCCGTTCATCAGCACGGACAGCGTGAACTTCAAGGACGCGGTGCGCCGCAAGCTGCTCATCTACGAGCGGCACTCGGAGCGCAGCATCCCAGCGCTCACCCGCTACAAGAGCTGCTCCAGCGCCGGCGTGCTGGACATCACCAACAACGCCTCGGTGCCGTGGCTGCTCGAGAAGCTGCAGCGCCTCAAGGAGGAGTATGGCGTGAAGAGCTTCTACCTGGACCTGGGCACCGGCTACAACCTGCCGCACTACTATCAGTGCCGCCAGCCGCTCGACAATCCGGACATGTACGGCCGCATGCTGACCGCCAGCCTCGAGGGTGAGGGCCTAATGGCCGTCTCCACGGCCAGCGTGGTGCCCAAGCCGCCCATTTTCCTCAGCACTCCGCCGGCCAACGCCACCTGGGAGGGACTCCGCGAGACCCTGGCCGCTGTCCTCAACTACGGCGTCATTGGCTATCCGTTCGTTCTGCCCGGGGCCATTGGCGGCGACTACCTGCTGGAGCGATCCGTCACCAAAATGGTGACGTTCTACTCGCTCGGCCAACCGCCGCTGCCCGATCCGGAGCTCTTCATCCGCTGGCTGCAGCTGGCCACCTTCCTGCCGGCCATGCAGTTCAGCCATTTGCCCAGCGAGTACCGCAGCGACCTGGTCACACGCGTCGCCCAGGAGATGAAGGAGGTGCGCCAGACGGTGGTGATTGCGCTGCTCAAGAAGTATCTCAGCCCGTCGATGAACGAAGGCCTGCCCCTGGTGCGACCGCTCTGGATGATGGACCCCCACGATCCCGCCTGTCTCATTGTCAGCGATGAGTTCTCCGTGGGCGAGGAGTTGATTGTGGCACCCATCCTAGACGCGGGTCGGGAAGAGCGCGAGGGTGAGTAGCCAGTCATCTGCCGTCTCGTCTCCCTTTCTCTATAATTGGCTCTGGCTCTCGTTCCCTAGTGTACCTGCCGCAGGGCGTGTGGAAGGATGGCATCGATGGATCGCTGCGCAAGGGCAGCCGCTGGATGCACGGCTATCGAGTGCCCAAGGACAAGATCGCCTACTTCCGCAAGATGCCGGACAACACGCGCTTCTAATCGTAATCGCTATCCCTTCTCCATGTGATATGAACCGAGACAGCTCTGGCTGGCACCTCCCCACCCCACACATGTTTATCGTTTATCGGTCTGTGCATATCGATAGCTCATATACGACGCATCGTCTATAGTTGACTAAGAATTACTCCTAAATTATATATTTTATTTCTTTTTTTTTTGTTTGTTTGTGTGTGCGTATCATAAGTTAAGTACATCTGCAATATGTCCGATGCCCGCGATACCCAGGAACGCAATCCATCGATATTCGTATCGTTGATCGAAAGAGTCCATCGAAGGGAGGGCGGGGGGACACACATTAGTCGATTCCTACCGACCATCGAAATGCTTACTCGCTAAATAAATATGTTGTATTTTTACGCGTGATGTTCCCGTTTCGGTCTAGGTCTATTAGATAGCAATAAATATCCATTCATCGATCCGTGGCTCGTCACTCCCCGGCACTGGGGCGGCACTCGGGCAGTGATGCCTCGCAGGGCTCCGTTTCCGGGGGCCGGGTGAGGAGGCCGCACTGATTGTCGGCCACGACCACATCGTGCTGATCCAGGCACACAACCGAGCGACGACGCTGCGGCATTGGACTGCCCGGCTGGCGGCAGGTCAGCGGACAGAACTGCCAGGGACCCGGCCACCAGTGGGCCGGACACTGCTGCTCCGAACAGGAGCGCGTCTGGCGGAGCGGCCGCTTGTTCTTCGCATGCGTCCAGCACGGCAACTTGTCGACAAGCACTAAAAATGGGAATGGGAATGGGAATGCAGTCATTAAACATATCGAATAAACATATGAAGGCGTAAGGTGCGACTTACCCTTGCCATTCTCCTGGCAAATTGGCTCCCGATGCTGGACACCGCCACCGCAGCTGGCCGAGCACAGGGTCCAGTTGCTCAGGCGCCACAGATACTGTCGTCCAGCGCTGACATTGAACGGGGGCAGCGTGAACTCGTAGTAAATGCCAGCATTGCTCTCGTTGCCGCGAACGATCGCCTGTGGATGAACGAGAAGGATTAGCATCCCTGGTCTATTTGCCTTTGGAATATTTCCACTTACGTATACCGATATGGAATGCTGTATGGGCTGAGGTATTTTGATGGTCTCCTGCTCGTCAATGCGATCGTAGAGGCTCTCGGCGCCGGCGATCTCGAATTCACCGGGCATGGAGATCAGGCTGTCGCCGTTCAGGTAGAACTTGTCTGGGCTCTGGGACCGGCCGATGGCGAGGAAGTGCGGCGAATTGGCCTGCTCCCTGATGAGGATGTGGCGGGCGCGTGACGGTATGCTGACAATCTCCACGTAGGCGCCATCCTTGGCGCTGAAGGGCTCCACGTAGGTGTCCCTCACCGGTTTGCACTGATCGCCAGCACCGCCGCAGACACCGCAACGATCGTCCTGCATGTCCGAGTCAACGATCCAATCGCAACCAACTTTCTGGATGAAATGCTCGTTTAATTGATCGGGGTTTGAAGCAGGCAAGGAGTTCGGGGTTAGGGTTAGGGTTAGTGTAAGGGTTGGGTTAAGTAGCGCAACGCGACGGACGAAGCGGGATCGATCGTCGCTTACCTTACCTTGCAGATGCCGTCGATGCACATGTTGTTGGTACCCAGCGTGCAGGGCGTTCCGTCCAGCACCGTCTCGCCCCAGTTGGCGATTATCGTGTCGTCCACATCGCTGCAGAACAATCGACAGGGGTTGTCTGCAAAAGAATCAGATATTATCCATCAGATCTCTGTGGGTATTCCCATACCCATAGCCATTCCCATTCCCTTCTTACTCTTGTCGAAGAAGGGCAGCCACTTGTAGGTCGCGCCCTGGTAGCTCACATTGTCGTAGCGGGCGCACTGCTGGGCCCGGAAGCTCGGCTCCTGCTCCGGGCAGAGCCGCTTGCGGCAGATCTTGTACCGCTTGCGCTCCCCAATGCAGAAGACGCCGCCGTTGGCCGGCACGGGGGAGTCGCATTCGCGCTGCTGCGTGGAAACGCCACCGCCGCAGCTGCGCGAACACTCGCTCCACTCGCTCCAGTTGCCCCAGCCCCCGTTGAGGGCCGCCAGCTCCTCGCGGCGCACGCACTTGCCGTTCTGGCACCACTTGTTCCGGCCGCAGCCAGTGCCAGGCGCCGTGGGCCGCATATTGGTCACGCACTCGCCGTTCACGCGACACCACAGCGTCGAGCAGAACTCGTGCGGGGCGGAGCAGGCGCCCACCTCGCTGTCGGTGGTCAGGTTGAACTGCATCCGGCACTGGCCGCGTGCATTGTATCGCGCCCCGGGCAGCTCGCCCGTATAGTTGTACTCGTCCAGCGGCGTTGGCGGATCGTCGAGGCACTCGCCCAGGCCCTGGCTACAACAACAAAAAATTCATCCAAATGTAAGCACATCGATGTGGATCGATCGATCAGGATCAGGATCAGGATCAGCAGTATCTCTTCAGGCGTCTACTTACTCGAGGAAATGCGTTATGTACTTGCGGCTGCAGTTCGACCAGCAAACCTGCAGCGTGTCCGCTCCGAAGGTGGGCGTCATGATGTGCACAATGGGCCCCACCCGCGGATGGCAGCCGATCTTGGCCGTGTCATGGAACATGCCAAAGCTGCCAAAGAAAAGATGAAGGTACACGTTAAGCAGCAGCATCGGACTATGCGTTGTCTAAAGAATTCCCCAAGGAGCAGGGGGGGACTCAAATTCGAATTCGGTTTAAAATCGCGTGAAGCTAATTGCCAATACAATGTTGTGAGCACCTCTTCCAGCTCATCCTCCTCCTGCTACTACCAGCCCCTGTCCCAGTGCCAGTAAGAAACCTGATTATTAGAATAATTGTGGAATCAGAGCAAAACGTTTGCATAAATTTATCCAATCAAGGGAGAGACATACAGTACAGATACAACAGAGGGCACAAAGTGGCAGCAACAATGAAAATCAAAACCAAAACAAACCGTGACACCGGCCCGTAGCGTAGCTGTTGTACCTCCCGTTGTGCCCGACCCATTGACGGGGGTATTCCAGGCGGGCCAACACTTACACAACCATCGATCCGATCCAATCGATTCATCCATCCAGTCGAGTGGCAGAGCAAATAGATATCTGAATACCCTTTTTTTTGGTGTTTATAGATGGGATATACTTGATCTGTCCCATATGATATGGATGCTCAAATTCACTTCTGATTCGCGGAACTTATCCTATGTCAGTGCACTGCACTCTGTAGAAAGAGATCTCAACATTTGGAGGGAGAAACAGTGCCCCCTCACAGGCCACAAAATATCAATCTACATATACTATGAATTTGTACAAAAAAATTGGTGTGTAAGCAAACTAAACAAATTGCATGCTGTTTTTTTTTTTTGTTAATGATAGCCAGAGAATGTGGTATGGTGTGCACAAACAAACTTGTACTTTTCTATAAATGGGTTCAGTCTTCAGTTTTGCTTGAAGTCTGATAGTCTTCATGTCTGATGTCTGATAGATAAGCCTTTACTGGTTGAGAGGGTTGCTGATGTAGCATAACAACCCATCTGTAATGAGGGTATGCGAGAACAGATCATATCAAACCAGAAACCAGAGAGGCTAGCAGAGGGTATCGCTGCCTGGAACTGGATGACGATTGAGCCGCGGGCGGGCTGGGCGGAGCTGGGCTGGGGCTGTTGTGACTATTCCAACTGTTTGGACTGTTCCGACTTGTGTTCGGGTTGAGTCAATCGCTGACGGTGATCACGCTAGACTGACTGACGGGCACTTGGCTGCGCTTATAAGGCGTTTAACAACAAATCCACTTGGCACGAACACCGAATGAATCTGTATCTGAGTCCGAATGAATGTGAGTGTGAGTGTGAATGTGAATATGAATATGAATATGTGTGCTTAAACCAGATAAGCCCCCAAACGAAACCGGACACCGACACTGTCCCACCAACACGAGACAAGACGAGACGCAACGCAATGCGACAGCGTTGCCCCATGCACCGATGACAGACTGTGTGGAGTCACTGTGACTCACTTTGGGTACAACAATGCCATATTCAAAGTTCAATTGACAACGGAAAATGGCAAGTAACGCCCGCCTGGGTAATGCCCCTCTGAACAACAACAATAGGGAAGAAAACACTCACAAAACCGAGGGCTGCTGCTGTACGTAAGCCCTGTCCTTGCCGGGAGTGGCTGGCGAATCGTTTTTAAGCAGTGACTGTGGGGTGAACAGTGATTGGGTCGCCACTGGCCACACACATCCCTGGCTCTCTTGTACGCTGCCCCGATGATTGCCGCCTGATTTGTGTCTCTGTCGCTGGCGTTAAGCCTCGAGACTAATTGAGTTTGAATTGAGAGGGTAGCAAGGGGGGCGAGCAGTGACTGCAACTGCAACTGGCACTGGCACTGGCACAGGCACACTGTGGGCGTGAGCAACGCAGGCGATCATTGTCACAACACACACGCAGGTGTCAAAGCATCCGTCGTGTTCACTTTGCTGCTGCTGCTGGCACTCTATACCCTTTCAGAGGAAGGGTATAATGGCTCTGAAGAATGGCTAATATTTCAGCAGAATAAACTGAAGGTGGGATTCGAACTATATCTGTACGAGAGTACGCTTCTTTTGGACCTATTTGAGTGGAAACCAAACAGAATATGATTTCTACATCAAATCGAAATCAAAATCTTTCCAACCAATGCCATATCTTGACGCTCTGAAAGGGTATCCGCCGCTTCGACGGCCTCGCATTCGCAGTTCCCTCTGGTTGCATTTCCGTTTTGGCCAGCGGCTGCCGCTGCTGCTGCTGCCTGGCTTCGATTCAATCATTAAACGAATTGGGCTGCCCATAAATCTGCGGGCCTGGGGATCGATGCGTTGGCCGTTGGATCCGTTGCGCCATTGACCAAATGTCTGGCGCGGCAGGTGGCACGGCCATGACGACGACTACCGGTCTGGTGTGGTGTGGTCTGGTCTGGTCTGGTCTCGTCTGGCCTGTAGTCGTGAGGTGGAAGCTGGACTTAACTTACTTGTGGCCCAGTTCGTGGGTGATCGTGTGGGCCAGCATGATGCCATTGTCCTCGTTGACGCTGCACGACTGCTTGGGCTTGCACATCCCCCAACGTTGGCCAGGCCAAGGGTCCTGCGTACGTAAAATGGAACACATTTGTAACTCCCAATGGATGTGGCTGTACATGTGGTTGTGGATCTGTGTGCAACACTTACATGCAGTTGTTGGCGCAAATATTCTTCCGCGTGATCAGAATGGCCACATCGTGATGGTGCGGATCCTTTTCGCTGCCTTTGTTCAGCTTGTGCTGCCAGCTGTGGGTGGGAGGGGAGGAGGTGGGGACACAGAATTAAAGGATTGCTATGCCCCAAAAGCTGTCGCTGTCTGTAAAGTTTACCTGCAAAAGCGATCGAGATTCTTCTGGGCATTCTGTGTGAGATTCAGCTGCTCCTGGGACTCCTCCTCGTCCAGCCGTATGATGCGCACCACCACAATCTCAATGGAGTTGCCGATGCTGGGGTCCTTGTACAGGGCCGATACCATGTTCATGATTGTCAGCAGATAGCCGTTGAGGTCCTTGTGGAAGGCCGTCATTGTGGCATCGGCCACAATCAGCGTCTCCACATGCCTGGGGCTGCTTATGGAGCGTTTCTGCTTGTGCCCCTGTCCCACTCCCTCTCCCTCCTGTTCCTGACCCTGCTCCTGTCCCATGTCCCTGTTCCCGTTCCTGGGTGTGCGTCTCGTACTTGAATTTCGTGTGCGACTGCTGGTGGTGGCGATGGCGACGATGCTGCCGGCGATGCAGCTGCTGCCCCCGATGCCCCTGACCATGACCGTGACCGTGACCGTGACCGCGACCGTGATGATGATGATGGCGACGTATCTGACGTCCGCCCTGGATCTTCACCTTGCCCCTGGCCTGCCACTCCAAGCGTGTCTCCATGCGGCGTCTGGGCTCACGAGTGCCGCAATTGCTAATGCCTGAGCCTGCCGCAGCTCCTCCCCCACCCGCTGCTCCTGCTCCTGCTCTTTTGCGATTGCTGCGCTTTCTGCCAGGCTGTGGCTTCGCCTTCACGGAGGATCGCTGGAACATCACGTGCGGATGGCCGTGCTCCGGATGCGGCTCGTGCTGCTTGGACGGCTCAATGAAGTACTCATTGCTGGCCGTCCGGATGTGCCCCACCTGTGCCCCCCGACGAACAGAAACAGAAACCGTTTAGGGGGCAGCCAGCCAAAGGAAATCGATTCGATCTACTCACCAGCCCCGAGCAGGTGGATATGGCCACATTGGTCGCTGGCTGGCCCCGCACCTTCCCGTGAAAGTGGCAGCTCAGATGCTTCTCGGAGAGGGGCGAGCGGGTGCGCAGGTCCCGACGGTGTCGCTCCACCACCAGATGGGGGGCCAGGAAATAGCTGTGGGGCCTGCAATCGAAGGGAATGTTCATGTATGGATGAATCATTTTGGGGGTCGGGAATTTTTACGTGAGTTCCAGGTGCAGCGTCCCGTTCCGCAGGGGCAGCTGCAGATGCAGCTCTGCTTCCTCCTGCCCCTGATCCGGCAGGCTGCGTCGCTGTCGTTGCAGGCGGTGATCCCGATCGTGAGCATACTCCAGCGAGTGTGTCATGAAGGCGCCGTCGGGGTGCACGCGACGTGGCACCACCAGTTCTCCCTCCCCCGCCATCAGCTCGTCCGTGTGGAGGCCAAAGAGAGTGGGACGGGAAGTGGTACTGATCCTTGTGGTTGCTTCTTCAACTAGGGATCCGTGGGGATCTGCCACTGCCGCCAGGACCAGCCACAGAGAGAGCAGCGTGGTCAGGCCAAGGCTCGGCATCCTTGTTTGTCGTGCGTCGTTCGTCGCCTGTTGGTAGGCGGCTTCTTTCGCTCCTTGAAGTCTCCTCCTTTAAGCCCTTAGCCGTTGTCCAGGCGGTGTCTCAGCAGCATGGCAGCGATCGCATTATACGCCCGCGTAGCCTCAGGCGAATCTGGTGTCCAGGGTGTCGTCCTGCAGCTCCTGCAAGGATGTAGCGATCTCTCTGTAATGGAAACGTATGCCAAATGTTAATTATAAATTGGTTTTAAAATTAGGGAAGCTGGAGCTCCCCCTTCGGGTGGGTGTCTTACCCCCTCCATAAAAAAGCCCTCTCTCCTCCCTCTCTCTGTCTCTGGAAATGGCCTCACCTTGTACACCTATATATCATGGGGAATGGGAAGGATGGATGCCATAAGAAAGAGACTACTTTTAGATCATAAATAATGGCTGATTTGCTCTTTGGCTTTTAGCAGACACTTTCGAGACTTTTTTTTGGGGGAGACAATAGTCCGAAAGACACGAGCCATAAAATTAAGCAAATATTTGAGAGGGGCGGCGGCGCCTTCAAAGGCCGCTTCAGGCATCAGCAGAAATAGAAACAGCAAAAGAGAGAGAGATAGAGACAGGGATAGGGACAGCAAGAACAGTAACAGTAACACCAAAGAGAGGCACAAAGAGTGACAGCCAAAAATACCCTTCATATACGCTCCAATGCCATTTAATGAATATTTAATTTTTGATTACATTTTCCTGGAAATTACAGCGAGGAGCTACTACTAGATGATATTCTGACTCTTACTCGGCTCATTCTAAATCCGAATTCATTGAAGCTGATCCATCCGTCGCCTTAGGCGACTCCAAGACTTTTCTTCTTATGGGGGGAAAAATAAAAGACATTTTTGGGGAAAAGCTGTCCCTTCTTCCAGCTAAAATTGCTTAAATTAGTTATAGATTCCTGTACCATGATCAGAGATATCGATGGGACATAGCTGGGCCCCGATTTGGTCTTTGCAACATGCAACAGAGACACGCAAAATGTTTCTCAAATGTTCCATCTGTAGTTCCTGCCATCGGTGAGTAACGAACAGAATGCGAAAAGCTTTGGATATCAAAATATCTAACTCTGAAAAAGGGATAGACACAGAGAGCAGCAGAAGCAGCAGCGCTCGACAGCCCTCACACTATCTGTGTTCGATAATTATAATTATCAAAGCAGCAGCACAACGACAACTTTATTATTTAAAAGATTGACGCAGTCAACGGCGGACCGATCCGACTCTTATCACGATCACGATTCGTAATTTATGATAAATGTTGGCAATTCCATTAATAAAATTAAACATAAGCTCATTAGCTGCAAAAGAGACCTGACCTGTTGCAAACACGGCAAAAGGAGAAGCACAAAAAGAGAAGCAGAGAAGGGAAACAAGATTGCAGCACACCCTGCTGAAAGTTCTCTTGCATGGAAGATGCTTTGCTCTCTAGCTCTCGGGCACAGAGGAGCAGCAGGAAGAGTGGCAGGAAGCCAAATGTATTCCAACCCGCCGAGGATGCACTTCGAAGGTTCCTGCTGTAGTTCCTGAGTCCATCAGTGAGTAACAAACCCAATGCGAAAGTCTGTGAGCTCGTCATACACAGACGGCAGGAAAGAGCAGAGCCCCCACAACGCCAATGACCTTGGCGATGGCGCCTGCGGCACAGGTGCCGTTTCCCCAAGCCCCCCCACCACCAAATGGCTATAATAATGATGGTCGTAAAATATCGTGGACATTCAAAAATTCCCATTCGCACCCGAAACCCGATTCAGACCGTTGGCCGTTCCTCTATTCCCATTCCCCATTTCCATTCCTGTTTGTGTTTCAGTATTTATTCTGCGAACAGAATTGAATTTCAATTCGCGGCAAAACTTGAAAGAGCCCCAGCAGAGGCACGAAATTAGCAAGCGCCACATGATCATCAGACCGCTCTATGTCTGTCTGTCTGCCTCATTATGCTGCAGTGGCTCCTCCTGGGATAGCGGGGCCAGGCGCCACTTTTAATTATCAATCAATCAATCAATCACAGACGCCGCCGCCACCGTCGCCTGACGGCTCCCTCCATTAAATGAATGTCAGCCAATGATTGCAGCGCCGACTGCAGACTGTCTCCCTCTCCATCTTCATCTATCCGTTCCGTTCCGTTCCGTTGCGTTCCGCTCCTCTGCATCTCTCTATTGGCTGCTCTCCCACTTCCACTTCCACTTGCATTGCATTGCCTTTTGTCTTCGTCTTGCGTCTGCATCCGATGATCGATCATCGATGATCAATGGATGGATGGTTCGATCGTTTGATTCATTTGTTGTGCATCGCTGGCACTGCATTTGGGGCGGATCAAAGAGCAACGAGAGAGAGAGTTTCAGCACCATGGGGATACCACAAACGCACTTTTCGAGCGATATTTCCATTCTTTATCTGTTTTAGTTAAGTTTAGTACTAATTTTCCTCTGCACATTATTTTTTAAGGGGTCGCGCGACATGCAGCAGCAAGCATCGGTTGCTTTTCGGCCTGGACTATAATTATTCCGATAATTGCATTTCCTGGCTAAAGCAAGACATCGATGGTAATCGAATCCATTGGATGACTCATTTCATTTCGATAATCCACCCATAATTCCTGTATGCCAATAAATACCTTATCGAGCTTTGCCGCTTCGCTGATTTGATTAATCTTCACACATGACCGACGATTTCCGAATTAATTTCGAGAATGTGTGAACTTTTTGGTGGGGATCTAAGATCGTCTCAATCGATCATTGGAATTCTTCGGAATTCAGTCTCCCACACACACGCACACACACACACACGCTCTGGAATATGATCTCATTTATGCGATTCCTGCCTTCGTTTTGGGGGGATGGTTCCACGAGTGTTTCTTTCCTCCATTGGGAAACCAATTGGAGAACCTCCCCTTTCCGCCTTTACCACAAAATGTGTCCAAATTTTGGCGTTGGCGTATTTTTTTTATTTTTTTGTTTTCGTTTCTTTTGGTCGATTTGTCACCTTTGGATTTTTGGTCATCCATGGGTGCCATCGATCATCGGATTTGCTGTTCAGTGATGAATATTTTATGCCAATCAAAGGCCAAATTAAGATCCCCATCCAACAGACAGACGAACGGACGACTTCTCCTCCTCCTCCTCTTTCCTGCCACATTCCCATCCACATATCCATATCCGTAGAAAATCATCGAAAACAACCAAAACCGAACCCTCCTCTTCTGGCTGCATACGGGCAAATTTCCGATTTCACTTTGTCTCTAGCCAAAAGGCAAAAGCAATTTGTACGCCCACCAGACCTTATGCCCCAATACTCCATGCTCCATGCTCCATGTGCCCAGACTGGGCACAGTCTCGATCAGAGCACAGGCCAAAGCAGAGCAGAGCAGAGGCAGGCCTCTTGGCTGGTAGCTCTAGCTGCCTCCATTCATACTTCATACGAGTGTGAGCATGTTGCCCCATTCATGCGACGCGTTGCCTGTAGTTTTCATTCAGAAACGCACACTCGCTAGCAGTCGCAGTCGCAGTCCGGCTGGCACTCGCTGTCACCCATACGAATGAATGCCCATAGGCACACGAGTGTTCGTTTGAGTGTTGTGCGTATACCCTTTCCTTCAGAGATGGTATGCTAATCGTTTAGCCACTTCTGACAACTCATTTTACCCCTTAAAAGACATTATTTACGAGAGAGAGATACTGGAAGCAATGACTGAAAATTCTAAGATCCGACAGCAGCGAATCAACATCATTCGGAGATTTTTCCCTAGGGTTCCACCACAGACACTACAGCGGATATCTTCTATCGCCGACATATATCTTAGATATCTCTTAGATATTGTTCCTTTTGTTCCTTTAATATAGATATCATCCCTCTAAAGATCGGCGCTAAAAACTTTCAAAATTCCACTCTTTTCTTTCAACGATAATTCTTGAAGGGAATCGAAGTCTTCGGTCCTGAGATACGTTTGTTCGTTTTCTTTCTTGTTTTATTTATCACGGTTTTTTTCATGAATGAAATGAAACTTTTCACGTAAAACGACGACGCTTTGCTTAGCTCTGCCTTTGGCCACGATTGAGAGTTTGGGTTGGGTCCCTGTCTCTGTCCCTGTCTCTGGCTTTGGCTCCGTCGTCTCCATCATTTCCATCTCCAACTCCGACTCCGGCCCCCGCAACCCATTCAACATCCCAGGCGTAGTATCTCTGTATCTGTATCTGTGTATATGGTGTTTGGGGGCTGCCTGCTGCTGCTGCCCGTTGCTGCTGCCCGTTGCTGCTGTCTCGCGGGGCACATATTTTAATTTCTTTAGCTTCGGTCGTCGTAGCGTCGTCTCAAGAGAGACATGTGGGCCGAAAATGTATTTTTATGGCATTCAGCGGCGTCGTTCGATTTATTATTTCATTTGTGTTATTACCGAGTAATATCCACATACGATCAGACGTACATTTGTATATACAAAGAGAGAAATATATGTATGTATGCATATAGAGAAGGGGGGATGGGATCTCTGGCTCCCACGAATGGCGGGAGTGCTTCTCCGTTTCCCATAGACGTTGGCTCGGGATTTCTCGGGAATGTTCTTCGATGGATCGGATCCGATCGGATTGGACCATCATTTTATGTGACTTTATTTATTATGACACATGCACACAACATTGTTGTTGTTTTTGTTGTTCTTTTTTACGTTTTTGGGAGTTGTCTGTGGCGTGTGTTTTAGGTTTTTTTTTTCTTTTTCTTTTTTTTTTGCGAAGATAAATTTGGTTTTTAGTAGCTCTTTGCTCTGAGCTGAGATCACACAGGAAATTAGCTACATATATATGGAAATACATACATATATGTATGCATCCAATATAGTATAGATACATACATATGTACATATGTATATCTCTGTGGTGTTTTTGTGGAAGAAGCAGTCAAAAAGCAAAGCAAAAACACACTTGAAAGAAGAGAAGCGTAAAAGAGGCGGCACACAGCTGTGATAAGATATGGGGGAGAGAAGAGATCTGTTGGCAACTGCGCGAAACTGTGGAATGAGATACATAGAAAGAGTAGAACGTTGCAAATGATGCAGGAATGTATCTTAATATCTTATCTGCAAGGATATATTAACAGTGCATAAATTCAACTATTCTGAGGATATATTTTCTGTATTTTGAAGAGCGATCTATTTTGGAAAGAAAATCCTGAATTTATTAACCTTTAGTGGTTCTTAGAGGAGGTATTCTGTGGTCCCTCTGAGGGATCTAGATTTATTTTCCGAGTGGCTGCACTTATCAAATACATCTTAAAATCAGCTATCGGAGGAGATCTGCCAAAATCGATGATCTTATCGATCTTATCCCCGCCTGCCACAAGGTAAATTATTCGTGCTGCTGCTGCTGTTGCCACTCACCGAATCCACAAAATCCAAATCCGAATTCGAGCCACGAGATTCCGAATCCAATTCCGAATGCGGCGCTGCTGTAGATGAAGCCCGCAAATATTTTAACCGCAAATAAAGACGACAACGGACGACCACGACGACGACGACGGCGAGTCGGCGACAAAGCAGAGAGAACAGAGAGACAGACAGCAACGACGATGGAGACGATGGAGACGACGACGAGGATGATAATGATGTCAGGTAGGAGTACAGAATGCTCTCTGTTGACGGCTTTTGGGGTTTCAGTTTCAGTTTCGGTCTCGAGCTTCTGTTACTCTTTCACAATACAACAACAAAACAAAGACTGGCGTGGGTCGGGGGGGGTGGTCTGACGGGGGCGTTACGTAGGCTATTTCACAATTAAATTTCGGCGCCACTTTTCTTCGGACACACACACAACAACAAAAAACCACCAAAACTATGAAAACAAAAAAAAAGGAAACGTTTAACGTATTTTTAAGAATCACATTCGACGCGAATCACGGATCACACAAATCACAGATCACGGATCAGGCATATGACAATAGATCTCTGATCGTATCTCGCTCACGTATCGAGTGCAGAGTCGGCGCAACGGATAGGCAACGATTGGTGTTGTTTTTTTTTTTGGAAGAGCCTCAGCCGCCGATCGGACTCAGACTAAGTGAAAATTGCAAAGCGACGATGGTTTTATTTGAAGGAAAGCATACTACCAGGGTAAAACTTAGCAAGGTACGGTCACCCGGCACTTCAGCGGCGTAAGTTTTTTGCCAAGCTCTTTTCCTCGAGAGAGGCAAATTGCAAGAGGTGCAAAAGAAACACAGTCCTGCGTACTGTGAGACCTGTAAGAATGTAATTTATTGATTTATGTAATACTTTTTGCACTGCGCCTATTTTCTATCCACCGCTTGAACATTAAACATATACATACATATGGTCATCCTATATCTACTGCTGTTCTTCCCTGTGCTGCTTGAGTATCAAATCAGAACAAACCCACACAAAATCTCGGAATTGGTAACTTTTGGTACCGCAAAAAGAGGACGCTGACCGAGCTGTCCCTACCTGAGTGGCAAATATACCATGCATACTACCACACGACTGGGGGGAGACCGGCGTCGCCGGAGAGCAGCCCCCAGCCAGAGCCGAGCAATCGCAAACGAGAGCCGAACACCAGTTTTTGTCTCTAGCGCGGTGCTGCCGGCAGCGCAGTCAGCGCACAGATCGACCGCACTGCGCTGTCTGTGTGACCCCCAACGCGGGCCAAAGGAAATGCTGCGCTGCCATTGCCACTGCTGACAGTGACCCTGTGGTGCAGTTGACCACTACAGTGGGCTCTGACGAACGGGTGCAAACGGAAAAGAAAGTGCTCGGGACAGTAGGTACTGCAGTCGGGGAGTGCGCGGAGTGCAGCTGAATGAATATCTGATACCTTTGCTGTGCCAGGGGAACAGACTGACACTTCGAGGTCCTACTGTGAGATAGACCGCGGAGAGAGAGAGAGATGGAGAGAGAGCATCAGCAAAGAACCACATGTTTTGCATTCCATCCTTCCAAGCACTTCCACGAGCAAAGGTGTCTCTGTACAAGGTGAATAATTTCTGCTCTGCCGAGTAACCAATTTCGTTGGGACAGCAACAATGTGTAACGGTCGCGAGAGAGCTCTCTGCAAATGTGTCACCCCATAGAAGTACAATTTGGGCAAATCATCACCTTTGGGCACACACACACACACACTCCTTTCTCTCTCCTTCGCTTTGTTTGCTGATTCAAATGCATTTCGAATTGTCTGCCAATAGGCAGCGTTCACTGTACACTGGCATGCGTTGCCCAGTTGTCGGGTTAGAGGGACTCGACTCTGTGGCTGTGCGCCATATAATTATAATCATATCATGCATATCTGCTTTATTACGGCGATCCGCAGAAATGGCTGCCAGCCGCCAGCCGCCTGGCTCCTGCCTCCTCAGAGCAGGGCGAGCGCTCCCATCAAGGACACCGTTAAATGCTGGCCCCTGCCCTGCCCTGCCTACTGCCACAAAAAGGGGAGTAAATTGCTTTAAATTATCACATACTAAAGATGCCGCGGGGGGAGCAGGTCTGCGGCTCTGGTTCCCCATCACGGAGGAGACAAATCACATTATTAGCCGTCGCCAGTGCCAGTGCCGGTGCCGCCGTCGTGTTGTTGCACGTTATTTTTAAAATTTTCGTTCGGCCCCCGTTTGATTTTAGGCGCCAAGCCGCTGTTGCCGGCGTTTGGCTGCAAATTGTGGCGACACGTCTGGAGCGTGGCAGCAGCAGCAGCAGCACACACACAGATACAAAATGCGATAATGCTAAAGAGAAAAAACTCTATCACACACATACACCTGAGCGGCGGGGGCAGCGCCAGAGAGGAGGGAGAGACAAAAGCCGAGATACAAGATAAGAGACAGCGACAGCCAACAGGCGCCCAGACGGCCGACGCCGACGACGACGCCAACGATGAAGACGCAGCATCGCATCGACGATGCCCCGATGCCAAGAGATATCAAGCACGTCTCAATCATTCAGGGCCGGGCCGGGCCGGGTCGGATGGGATATGATCGGATCGGATCGGGACAGAAAGGTCTGAGAGGTCTGAGGTCTGCGGCTCTGTTGCTCAATTAACAATGAAAAGTCGGTCTGGTACGTCATAATATATTTTTATCTGATTACCTGGCAGCGATACCCTGGCGGATAGAGGTGGGCGCGTGTGTGTGGACACTCCCGATGGATTTCCGCTCTCAAGATTTCTGGACTCATCTAGAAAGAGCCAAAATGATCCTTGGACGATGGCAGCTCGTGTCACGCACTCCCCTCTAGTAGAGTGGCCCAAGACGAGACAGTGGCGCCGTTCGCCAGGGACGGGCTCCCCACAGAATCGTGCGTTAGTCTGTCCAGACACATGGCAGAGTAGATGGCGGCTCCAAGCGACTTCCAGCCATTGTGGTTATTGCTGTTGTAGTTTTTCGCGTGACTCTCATGTCCAGATTTGATCTTACTTGTGGCATCAGCATCGGCGTTGGCGGCAGGCTCCACCCACCACTTACCTTACCTTACCGACTACTTGCCACTGTGCTGTACCACCAGCACAGGCCTCTACTATGGGTACCCAATTATATTTTAAATTTTAAATTATAATTTAGTTTCACGTTTAATTTATTAAATAGTAAATTTAATGCAGATACTACGCTAGTACTATATACTAGGAAATTAATTAATAATATTATCGCTGCATATTGGCAGCCAGCCGGGGATTATGCGGCACATGACACGCATATAATCAGGGGAGTCACTGTACAAACATGCTCCTTCACAGTATTGAAAGCCATAGATTAACTGGGGGATTATCCTGCGTCTTCAATAGCTTCTTTGCCCGCTGATCGTGTCGTGGGCGCCATCAGATTGATTCCAATTTGAATTTCGACGTTTACATGTGAATGGTCACAAACAATATAAACAAAACTCGAACAGCTGTTAAGTACCGCGCTGCCAACTGCTTGAAAAAAGAATGGCCGCAAGTATGACAAATTCAATTAAATGAAATAATGGGATGTGGGCTCAACATTTATTATCTGGCCGACTCAACACACAAATCTAGTCAAACTATATATTTTTAGTGCATATTTGCAGAGTATTTGCCATCCGCAGCGGTCAGCTGTCAAACGCGTAGGTTGGCAGCGCGACAGTCACAGTGCGACTGTCAAAGCGATAAAAAAGTTGTCTCCGCATCGAGAATTTAAATAAATAGTTTCCAGCATTTCGGTAGGTTTTGCTCCATTTGTCCCGCGTCACGCAACTGCCTGAATCCCCGTGAAGTTATCCAGCAGCTGCGGCACACAATTGTCGGGAATTGCGGCCCACAGACGGTCACAAATCGATAGTTGGCCAATGTTGCCAGGCAGCCTTACTTATGTAATTGTTAGGAAAGAGGATTGCAGTTTTTGTGGTTGCTTCTCGTTGCAGAAAATATGATACGTGCACCGCTTGTCAAGGCGCTGGGCGCACTGGGCTCACCCACACATCAGATCGCCAGTCGAGCGGTGCGCACCAGCGCCATCGTGGCACAGACACCGGCCAAGGCGCCCGAGAAGATCGAGGTCTTTGTCGATGACATTCCCGTGCAGGTGCTCCCTGGGACCACAGTGCTGCAGGTGAGTGTGTTGGCATCGCAATCCGCCACTGATCATTCACCATTTCCATCCATTCCCATCCCCCCTCCCATCCGTTTGTGCAGGCTGCAGCCCAGGTCGGCGTTGAGATTCCGCGCTTCTGCTATCATGAGCGGCTGGCCGTGGCCGGCAACTGCCGCATGTGCCTGGTGGAGGTGGAGAAGAGCCCCAAGCCGGTGGCCGCCTGCGCTATGCCCGTGATGAAGGGCTGGCGCATCAAGACCAACTCAGATCTGACCCGCAAGGCACGCGAGGGTGTCATGGAGTTCCTGCTGATGAACCATCCGCTGGACTGTCCCATCTGCGACCAGGGCGGCGAGTGCGATCTGCAGGATCAGGCCATGGCCTTTGGCTCCGATCGCTCCCGCTTCACGGACATCCACTACACCGGCAAGCGGTAAGAGTCCTGCGCTCCTTTCGAGTCCCTCCCTCTGATCACCTCCCCGCTTTCCATCGAGAGCAGCGCTGTAGAGGACAAGGACATTGGGCCGCTGGTGAAGACCATCATGACCCGCTGCATCCACTGCACCAGATGCGTGCGCTTCGCCTCAGAGATCGCCGGCGTGGACGATCTGGGCACCACCGGACGCGGCAACGACATGCAGATCGGCACCTACGTGGAGAAGCTCTTCCTCACGGAGCTCTCGGGCAACGTGATCGACCTGTGCCCCGTGGGCGCCCTCACCAACAAGCCCTACAGCTTCGTGGCCCGTCCCTGGGAGATCCGCAAGGTGAGCAGCATCGATGTCCTGGACGCCGTCGGCAGCAACATCGTCGTGAGCACCCGCACCAACGAGGTGCTGCGCATCCTGCCCCGCGAGAACGAGGACGTCAACGAGGAGTGGTTGGCGGACAAGTCCCGGTTCGCCTGCGACGGCCTCAAGCGCCAGCGCCTGGTCGCCCCCATGGTGCGCATGCCCAACGGTGAGCTGCAGGCCGTCGAATGGGAGGGCGCCCTCATTGCGGTGGCCAAGGCCTTGAAGAAGGCCAATGGACAGGTGGCCGGAGTTGCCGGACAGCTGGCCGACGTGGAAGCGTTGGTGGCGCTCAAGGATTTGATCAATCGCCTGGAGGGCGAGACCGTCGTCACCGAGCAGGGCTTCATCAAGGGCTCCGGAACCGATGTGCGAGCCAATTATCTGCTCAACAGCACCATTGCCGGTCTGGAGGAGGCCGATGCCGTCCTCCTGGTCGGCACAAATCCCCGCTACGAGGCTCCCCTCGTTAACACGCGCCTGCGCAAGGCCTATGTCCACAACGAGCTGCAGATCGCCTCCATTGGACCCAAGATCGATCTGTCCTACGAGCACGACAACCTCGGCTCCGACCCTGGCCTCATCAAGGACGTCTGCTCTGGCTCGCACGCCTTCTCCAAGGTGCTCGAGGGCGCCAAGAAGCCGGCCATCATCATTGGTGCCGATCTCCTGGAGCGTGAAGACGGTGCCGCCATCCATGCCACCATCGTGGAGTATTGCCAGAAGCTGAAGAAGCCAGTGAGTCGCCCTTCGCGTATCTCTCTTGTAATCCTTGATTATTGCTTCCTTGTAATTGCAGGAGTGGAACCCCTTCAACGTGCTGCAGAACAATGCCGCCCAGGTGGGCGCCTACGATGTGGGCTACCAGGCGGGCGCAGATCGCGCCATCAAGGCCCAGCCCAAGGTGTTGTTCCTGCTGAATGCCGATGCCGGCAAGGTGACTCGCGAGCAGCTGCCCAAGGACTGCTTTGTGGTGTACATTGGATCGCATGGCGACAATGGAGCCTCCATTGCCGACGCTGTGCTGCCCGGTGCCGCCTACACGGAGAAGCAGGCTATCTACGTGAACACGGAGGGCAGGCCCCAGCAGACATTGCCGGCCGTATCGCCACCGGGCATGGCCCGCGAGGACTGGAAGATATTGCGTGCCATCTCCGAGGTGGTGGGCACACCGCTCTCCTACGATACACTCGACGAGCTGCGCTCTCGCCTCGAAGACATTTCGCCACATCTGACGCGCCTCGGAGAGGTGGAGGCGGCCGGCTTCAATGAGACCGGTGCCCAGGCAGCAATCGTGAGTAGTACCTGCCGTTCTGTTCGCTGTGCCCTTCGATTATCTTGCTTGTTTTTTGCAGAGCAAATCCATCAGCGGCGGGGCCATCGATGTGAAGCAGAAGGAGCTGCGCGATTACTTCATGACCGATGCCATTTCACGCGCCTCCCCCACCATGGCCAAGTGCATATCGGCGGTCAACAAACAGCAGCGGCAGGACGAACAGTCCAAGCAGAGCGTCGCCATCTAGACCTCCTCCATCCCCCTGATATAACTACTAAATAATTAATGCTCTATATATTTTTTTTTTAACTTTGCTTCCGCCCCCCCAAGTCCCCTTAAGAAGAACAGAATAGTCAGCAGCAGGAGGAAGCAGCAGTAGGAGGAGGAGGAGGAGGAGGAGGATCAGCAGCAGGAGTATGCGCGGGCACGAAACAGCCTCAGCGTAGCGCTGAACTGTCGTAAAATGTCTTTCAAGTTGTTAAAAAACAAAAACAAAAAAGAATTATACAATACGTGAAAATAGGAAAAAAAAACAACCAAAATAAACATCAAATAGAAAAATACAAGCAGCCTTCAGAAGGGATTCCCTACCAAAAGAACTCACAAGCCCACGACGATTATTATCCATCCCGCTCTAAGTCATGTGGAGGAAGAAGAGATTGCTCCCGCTGGAAGTCAAAATAGTTTACGTGCTGCTCAAAGAGAGATAGAACTCGTTAACAGCCCATTGGATCCTTAAGGCTGAAATCTAGATGGAAGAAATTCCATATTCTATACGTTTCCGACTCTATAAGATGTGCTTAAACGTTTCTTAGCAGTTCTCGAATGTCGGATTATAATTTAAGCTTGAACTATTTTCAGGTTTTAGGGCTCCTTACAATTTTGGTGCAATTTTCGTTATGAGACTCAAGAAGACTCTAAAAAACCATTCGCAAACTTGTGCATATAAGGCACTTTAAATTTATAGGCAAAGTCAAATTTCTAGCAATAGTACCCTGTGCTATTCTATAGTCTAAAGTTTACCTGCCTAAATCTAACTTGGATTTCATATGTTTGTCTAGTAAACGAGTGCAATCATCCGCCATTACCGGCTGATCGATTCTGGCCCCCCATTTGATTGCCATAAGTAATTCCACCTTTAATAGCCGAATGTCAATCCATTTGTGGTCTGGCTTCCAGAGGGGTCTGCCAATAATTGAGTGCATAACCTGCCGCCTGGGGAGTCAGTGATCTAGCGGTTCACATTTGTTGATTGGTTTTCAGGTGCGCCCCAGTACCGTTGGGGTCATATGTTATATTGAATATCAGAGTGGCGGCGGCATGCAACAATGCATGCAATAATTATCCCAGGCATACCCAAGGAACCATCGCTGATGGGATAGTTGGAGTCGCAGCCGTATAATTAATTGGATTTTGGGGTTATTGCAGGGGTTGCGCCAGTATGTCAGTCCAGAGGAGCAATCAGCAGTCCCTTGGCAGTTGTTGTGAAAAATGTGCAACTGGCAGCATACTCTAAAATAGCGTAAAGTAGCCTGATCTTCGTGGGGATAGGTCCCATACCGATTCGAGAGATTAGTGTGAGTCAATTGACAGCTTTTACCATATTGGTATGTAGCCAGTAGACAGTCGTAGAGTCGTGGAGCGGAATCCATTAGTTCAAATGCCAATATCGTGTGTCCTTTGGATACTCTTGCTGTAACCTACAAATATGAGAGACAGCTGCATCCACAATGCCACCCAATACCAGCAATGACACATCCTTTAATTGTGGGTTGAAAATTATATTTTCCTACCGTACAGATAAAGGGTTTTTGTTTTTTTTTGTTTTCATGGGGTACTGTAATTTGTTAACATAAATTCAAAATTTTGAGTGCAGCTGTGGGGCATGTGGGTGGACAGTGGGACGGGCGGCAACAGGAGGACTGAATGTGGTGCGGTTCCTTGCGGCAGCCTCCAGTCTTCCACCGGTCACCATATCCCGGTCTACGGTCCCCGTTCCCCCGCTCTCTCTCTCTGTCTGTGTGTATCTTTGCGCCTGCCTCTGCATCATGGTGGGTGGGGATCCTGCAGAGGCGTACGTTGAGGCTATTGCGTGTGTGTGTGTGTTTGGGGTTTTGGGGGCGTTAATTGTGTGAAAACTTAAACGAAACGTAAACTTTGTATCGCTGGGCCGCGGCAACAACAATTCCATTCAATTCAATTCAATTTGCGGTTTGCGGGCAGCGACGGCTAAGGCGATGTGTCCTTCCGGCTGCAGTCGTCTGTTCCGGGGTTGAGTGCAGATCTAGCTGCAGCAGCTGGCCGGTGTGGGGTCCAGGCCGGAGCGCTTGGTGATGCTGAGGCGGGTGAACTCCTCGGCGGTGGTCGGATGGATGCCCACCGTGTTGATCAGAGTGTTGATGGTCAGGCCGGACTTGAGGGCGGCGGCAAAGCCCTGGATGACCTCACCGGCAACGGGTCCCAGGTAGTGGAGACCATAGACGCGCTGGTCGCCGGTGCGTTCGGCGACGGCCTTCAAGTAGCAGTAGCGTACGCTCTTCTGGGGAATGAAGAACTCTGTGGGCTTGTAGAAGCCGTGGAAGACCTCCACTTCGTCGGCGCCATACTGCTTGACGGCATCCTCCTCGCTGAGGCCCACGCAGGCGTACTCGAGGGGCGTGAACACGGTGGTGGCCACGTCCGAGTAGTCCATGCGCTGGTTGGAGCCGCCGAAGAGGCGACGGGCCAACAGGCGGCCGGCCAGAACGGCCACGGGTGTCAGTTCGGGCTTGCCGTAGATGATGTCGCCCACGGCATAGATGTTGGCCACATTGGTGGTCTCCTTCGTGTCCACCTGGATCTTGTCCTTGACTGTGGTAACGCCAGCGTTGGGCAGATTCAGATCCTCGACCAGGCCCTTGCGGCCAACGGCCCAGAGGACGGTGTCATAGGTATCTTCGCCCTCCTCGCCGGTCTCCGTGTTCTTGTACTTGACCAGCAGCTTGCCGTTGTCCTGCTTCTCCACGGAAAGTGGCACCGTCTTGCGCAGGAAGGGAATGCCGCGCTCATCCATCGAGGAGGCCACCAGCTCGGCCATCTGCTGGTCGAAGCCGCGCAGCACAATCGAGCGCACCATCACAGTGGGCTCGTAGCCGAGTCCCTTCAAGAAGCCAGCGCACTCCAGGCCAATATCTATAGGGAAACAGGGATGGATTAGCGAATGCAGGGAGCGGATCAAATATCGTGTGTGTACTTACAGCCAGCGCCCACAACCAGAGTCTTGCCGGGCTCGTGGTCCAGACTGAACAGATCATCGCTGGTGATGCCGTACTCAACGGCGCCGGGAATGTCCGGATAGCGGGGACGTCCGCCCACGGCAATGACGAATGTCTGGGCGGTGATTGTGCGGTCGCCAGTCTTCAACTTGGCCACCATGGTGTGCGTGTCCACAAAGGAGCCCAGGCCATTGATGTACTCCACTTTTCTGAGGGCACAAAGATCGTTGATGGGGCATTTAATGAATTGTGGCGGGGCCACAGACGAGCAAGGGGTTCCACTTACTTGTCGCGCAGATCCACGCGAGTCACCCAGTTGACAGACTTGATGTGGTTCTGCACAGAGGAGACCAGCTTGCTCCAGTCCGGCTTGATCTTGTCATCCACATTCCAGCCATAGGCGGCCGCCTCGTGGACAGCCTCGCCGAGGAGCGAGGCCTGGTGCATCAGCTTCTTGGGAATGCAGCCAACGTTGACGCAGGTGCCGCCAACGCCCCACTTGGTGCCGATGGGCGTGGGCTTCACATAGTCCAGACAGGCCACACGGGCACCATTCTGGACGGCCTCCTTGGCGCAGGCCAGACCCGCTGACCCACCGCCAATCACAACCAAATCGTAATCATAATTACCTGCAATTGAAGGGAATGCCAAGAGAAGTCGTAAGGATATCACAAGATAGCACCTCCTTGAGCCGTCGGCAGGTGCCGACGCAGGCGTATGTCGATGTAGGCCGAGCGGTAGACGCTCCGCTCATGCGGCGGCTCTCCGTCGGCCACGGAGGCGGGCACAAAATCGAACAGATGCATGTCCAGACGGGGCCGCGGCCCAGTCCTTACTGAAGGAAAGCGAGAACGTCTTTTCCCAGTGTTTGCTTAGATGCAAGTCAGCGATAACCACGCCTTGGCCCTGTTCTCGTCCTCCCCCCATGCCCAGGCAAATCAAATTGGAGCAATCATCTGTGACACGCCCGCGTACGCCCATGTACAAACGCCACCCACTCATGCGGTTTGCTTTGGCCCTTTTGTGGACTGCCATGGTTACAGGCGGCCCCGTAATCGTAATCGCAATCGCAGTCGCAATCGAGGCCCCCGGGGCTACACCGCAAAAACAGTTGGCAGTCCCAGTGCCAGCCCTCCACCAGATATCAGTTTTCCCCCGAGGTTCACCGTTTACTTTATCTATTGCCGATCTGTAAAGCCACATTTGTCGTCACGTTGCAATCAATTGTTGATGTTTTTGACGATGACGTTTCCCAAAGATGATGATGCAATTATCCATTTGTTATGCCGATAAGCAATAGAATGCATAAAATGATGGTGAAATCGGGGCCCAACGATAGCCAGAGAGAGAGGGGAGAGAGAGAAAGTGAGAGAAGAGATTCTCGAAAGTTCCGTTGGCTCAGCAAAAGGGTCACACTAAAGAGTCTTGTGAAATTAATTTATGGGTACAGCGGGTACATGGGCTACGGTACACATATTGTAAATAAGTTGAATGGGTTTTTGGAAAGCAGTTGCTAGTGGCCCCCACAATGACTTTGCAGATTGGAGCGGAATAAACCGTTTGCCGCTCTACGTGCCAGAGCAAGAAATACGATAAGCTTACATACATACATATGTCTGAGGGAGGAGGGGCCAACGGGGTATAGGACTAACTGTTATTGCATAAGCGATATACAATGGAAAGGGTTGGGTCTATCGCCGTTGCCAACTGCCCTCTGCTTACCTTTGGAGGACTGCTGACGGGTTGGCTGATGATCGTACATCGTCTGCTTGTCGCAGTGTGGATGCTGTGAGGCAGCGGGAGGAGCTGCCCCGATGCCGCCCATGTTGGCGGTATCTGTGGTCGTTGGTGGCTTGCCCTGACGATTGTTCTGCATCGTGTATAGAGTTCGCTGCCGTGGCTTGTCGTTGTTGTGATAACTCAGGATACTTGAATTTGTGAACTTATTTTGTAGACTGCTAGTGGCAACAGAGCCAGACGTGAATATCGTCGCATACTGCCGCACGAACGTCACCGATAATCTCGAGTTCCACAGGGTGAGCGACATGTCGTCTTACGGATGGATCTATTGTATCTCTATCCAGAACAATTAGCGAACTTTTGCAAAAGCTGTAGAACGCCTTCGTCTGGTCGAGCAGCGGTGGCGGTGGAACAACACAGAAAACACGTCGCTGTTGGAATGCCACGAATGTGGTGGGTAGGCGGAGGCGCCGATAGCGGGCTACGTAACAGGGAGAGACCGAGGAGAGCGGCGAGAGTGCGCACCACTGACGCGAATGCGCCGAGCAAAGCGGAATGGCAATAGAGCGTTCAAGATGACGGCAGTGGCAGTGGCACCAGAAGGGTGGAGACAGCGCAATAATTTGCACAAATTTCCATAAATTCCATTGGAAGCGCAACAGTTGTCCGCTCTAGGGTTGCTAGCATTTGTGGGTCTCCTTTTCAGAAACAATCTTCAAAACAATGGAAAAATTGGCCTCCAAATGGGGTATCGATAACATCGGCAGGATGGTTGGCAACACTGTCAGCTGCATGCTCTGGCCGCCGGCCGTCAAATAATTTTTTTGTTACGACAATAAACTCAAGTGCGGAGTGCAGATAAGCGAGCGGAAGCATTGTTCTGGCAAAATCCATCGAGCCAGCCCTCCAAGCCGCCCATAGCCCCAGCAGTCAGTCGCCAGTGCTTGCCGCCAGTGTCACACATTTTATTGTGGCCCATAGCCCTAATCTTGAGTGCACGATTAGATTTACGCTGATCATTAAAGCCGGAGACCGACATTGACGGACAGAAGAAGGACAAGATGAACTCCATTCTGATAACTGGCTGCAACCGTGGCTTGGGGCTGGGCCTGGTCAAGGCCCTCAACAGCCTGCCGCAGCCACCGCAGCATCTCTTTACCACATGTCGCAGCCGGGCCCAGGCAGTGGTGAGTGCTCTCTAGATTTGTTGTTTTATTTCTCGTCAAGTCATAGTTGCCCCCTCCATGACTCATAGCCCAAGAAACTACGCGAAAGACCATATAACCAGACAGACGGACTAACAACTACAAACACGACGGGCACTAATTCGTGGCGGTCATTCTCCACCAGTCCACTCCACACTTTCGCACTCACCTTGCACGGGCGCCATTTTTTGTATCGTCGTTAAGTTCTCCAAATAATTAAGGCCAAGGGACAGGATCAGCAGAAGACGTGAACACAAAATAATATCTTGAGATTGCGGAAGAAACAGTAGTAGTAACAGCAGCGGGTTGCGGAGATAGCACTCTTGACAGCGAAATGCAAAATGGAAATAAGCGGCGCAAACCTTTTTGCAATAGCTTTTGTACTAGTGTTGGGTAGTTCGTGAACGAACGAAAAGAAAGAACTATTCACGGTGTGAACGAACTAAATGAGTTCATTTTTATCGTTCTGCTTTCGCTACCGATACCCATAAGAAGGTTGCATGGTGTGTGACCTAGAGGGGGGAGAGGTCATAAAGAAAAATCATCCAACAAGGACGATATTGGGAAAAAACATCGAATGAACTAAAAGAATGATTTAGTTCACCGAATGAACGAGCTTTCGCATGCTATTTCGTTCTTAGTGTGCCAAAACGTAGATTCTTATCGATAGTAGTGGCTATCAAAGAGTGGCAACCCTAAACATAATAATAAACTGTATTTTTGTAATGTTTTCGTTTAAAAGGAACTGGAGGATCTGGCCAAGCAGCTCGAACATACACATCTTGGAGATTGGTGAGTGGACAGTCGCCCTGTTCTGGGACATACCCAATTTAATAAAAAACAATCCAAATTCTTGCAGATTTAAAAAACTTCGATGCCTACGAGAAACTGATTGCCGAGATCGAGAGCGTGACCAAGGGAACAGGCCTCAATGTGCTCTTCAACAACGCTGGGGTGGCCCCCAAGTCGGTGCGCATTAGCGCCACCAGGCCCCAGGACATTCTGGACACCCTGCACACCAACACCGTGGTGCCCATCATGCTGGCCAAGGCCTGTCTGCCGCTGCTTAAAAAGGCATCCGAGGCCAACGGCAGCGAGCCCATGGGCGTGAGCCGGGCGGCCATCATCAACATGAGCTCCGTGCTGGGCTCGATTGGGTCCAACACGGACGGAGGCATGTATGGCTACCGCACATCCAAGTCCGCCCTGAACGCGGCCACCAAGTCGCTGAGCATCGACCTGTATCCGCAGAAGATCCTTTGCATCAGCCTGCATCCCGGCTGGGTGCGCACCGACATGGGCGGCAGCAGCGCCCCCTTGGACGTGCCCACGAGCACAAACCAAATAATCCAGACCCTCAGCCAGCTGAACGAGCAGCACAACGGTGCCTTCATCAACTACGACGGCTCCCAGCTGCCCTGGTGATGGTCGCATCGCTGATGGTGACGCCTGTATGCATGTTATATCCCTTTTGTTGACCCTTTCTGTTGTTGTTGTTACTCGCTGTTAAATAATGTAAAAGGGGGGGAAAGACAGAGTCACGTGTATGATTAAAGTAGTTTATTTTTAGGTGCATTCTACTGGATTACAGAAGGGAGTATTGATGTGTCATCCTGACGTAGGTCCTGGGGAGTTGCCGGAGCGAAAAACGGGAGTTCAACGACGCATGTGTAATCCCTAAATGCATTCTTCCGCAGTTTGCGAATGCTTACACACGAATTTGGAATTTCTATGATACATCAATTGATTACGATCTAAAAGTGGGGCAAATTTGCATGATTGGGTTTCTTCATGCGCGGTGGCACCACGGCTGTGGGCACTCTGGACGCGGCATTGCCTGATGCGGGCCGTCCACGCGTTGGCACTGTACCGTCATCGGGCTCGTGGTGTGCAGCGCCATTGGGTGCGTCAGGTGGCAATGGCAGCTGGCGCGGCATAACCATGGCTGTTGGGCGCGTTGAGGGCTCAGCACCGCCAGCCTCTGGGTTCGGGAAAAATAGTAATGAATTGCCCTCGATGGGGTAGGGCGCACGACGACGTGGATCAATGCGTGGCCGCCGACTGTTGGCATTGCCCAGAACCGAGTCGGGGTTCAGTGGCGGTGGGTCGTTCCACCCAGGTGTGAGGGAGCCTGTCGTTACGGGGTGAAGGATTAGTTGCGTGGTCAAGTTGAATCCGACCGTCGCTTGGTTGCTTACCAGGAAAGGCCCCATTGGGTAGCACGACCGGTCCAACTGGCGGCGGCGGTGGCTGTTGCTGGGCGCGCACTTGTCGTCGCAATTGCTCCCCAATCTCTGCATCAAACTGCGCCAACGACTGGGTCACGCGGGGCGACACAGCCGCCGCTGGTGGTCCCTGTCGTCGTGGCTCTGACTCGTTCGAGTTATTCATTTTACGTGAATATGTTATTTTCTGGATTTGTTGGTAGAGTTTTGTCTGCAATGTTGTGCAAAATGTGTAGGCAGCCTATCGATAGCAATGTGATAGTCTGAATGCGGGATAGGATACTTACTCGAACCAGAACACTTTTTCCATCCTCTCCCTTACTTAATAGTCTGCATCTTGATGCACATAAGCATCTTTATGCCTGCCTCGTTGTACAGTTGCTGGCCTTTTTATTGTTTTAGTTGTGTTTTTTTTTTATTTTTGCGTAGTTTGTGATATTTGGGATGGTATGACCGTTTTGAAATAACAACAATAATACCCCCTGGGACACAGCGCACTTATGAGTAGAGCCAAAATCAACTAAAGCGTTTAAGTATTTCAAAAATCGAACCGGATAGCACGAGAGGAATTTTTTCCTTGACGTGTTTGGCAGCTGTACAGCTTATCTTCTACAGTTTTTCAAGTGAAAAAAATCACGAAATAAAAAGCAAAGTCCAACTATCGAAAGTTGGACTATCGTTCGAATCAAACTGGCACGGCTCGATAGAAAAGCTATCGAAAAATTTGAGCTAGCGCCTTAATTCGATTAGTTCGTTACAATTTGATTAAATGCAAGGCCAATGCGTCAGAAATTGTTTGAAAATTAATGGGGGAAATCTCTCTCTCACAGCCACGTATGTGGGAGAGAGAAAATGGATTTAGTACGGCTTCCCATTAGGCATTATTTGCACCTAATCTGGAATAAAACAGAACCAACAAAACAGAGCCACTCATCGATGGCATGCGGCATGTTTCGTTTTAGTTTTTTATTTCGCTTAGTTCTGATGCTTGTATGGCCTCTTACAATAGCCGCTGTCACACGCACAAGAGTCTTAAATCTAATCTTGTGCAGTGGCCAGCAGCTGCAATAAGTACCGTTCGAACTGGAACCACTATGCACTGAGAAGAAGAATCACTGGGACATTTTGGAAATGGAATTAAGTGTTGGGAGTTTGAGCCGAGGGGGAACTGGGAGGAACCTTTGCCGAATATTGAATGAATAAATGATGATGATGACATGGCCCCACCCCCCCTCCTTCACCCAAAAACATATGTTCAAATTTCCAGGCTAGTTATGGGGTCTAGTAGCGGCAGTGTACCATCCAACTTTTCCAACTCGGCTCTGCCCATCGGTAATTGGTCTCTGTGGCAAGGGGCCTGTGCACGTTTTTGAATATTTGATTGCCAGAATGCCGGCTTGCGGCATGGTATGGGGTCTCCGCCAGCTGCTTCTCGTTCCTTTTTTTTTTCCTTTTTTTGTACATATTGATTTTTAATTTAAATACGCTTTTTACTAAATGTATTTATGTGTGCTCCTCTCCTCCTCCTTTTTTTGCGAATTCAATTTAATCGCTGCTCCGCTAATTGATCATATTACGGCTGTCCAGCAGGACATCCTTAATGGCACTTCAAACACACACACAAAACAAACAAGAAATGGTAGATGGATGGATGGACTCATCCTGGTTTCACTTTAACAAAAAAATAGCAAGGGAATTCGCCTCTGATGGGAGCTGTCCTGACCAGGAATTGACCAGGGATTCGTCCTGTCTTGTGGCGGTGGCTGTGGCTGGGTGCTGCTTGTCGCTTAATTAACGGTGTTTCACTGAGACATTGTTCTGGCCGTCGCACGGCTTTTATAGTTGCACGATGGAACCGCCGCTGCCGCTGCCACTGCCGCTGCCGTTGCCGACTCTGCTGCCGTTGCTGACTGCGGCGTCGCATCCCTCGGACTTGTTTAAGTTTTTTTGAACTGCAACAAAAAGACAGGGACGGACGAAGACTTACATGTGTGCGTGTAATATTGTTAGGGCCTCTTCGTGTGTGTGTGTGTGTGTGTTGGTGGAAAAACTGCTGGCACCGCCACCGCCGCTGCCTACTTTCAGGGGCCGTCCGCTTGGAAAACCTACAAAGGAAAAGCAGAAGCAGCAGCAGCAGCAAAAGTCAGCCGAAATACACAAAAAAAAAAAAGGAACGCGGCACATTTCCAAAAGTGCCACAGCCGGCCAGACATTGAGGCAGGTTGTTGTGCCCCCCGCCACTGCCACTGCCACTGCCGCCACACGGGGTGCTTGACACTTCGACCAAAGGCAAAGGCAATGGCAAAGCCAGAGCCAAAGCTGAAGCTGAAGCCCAATTGGAAATATGATCCGTATGGAGATATGCAAACTGCAACTGGAATGGCCAGCCCACAATCACTGAGGAAACCCCATGCTGTTCATCCCCATTACACGAGGGCGTTACAAAAATTAAATAACATTTTTCCACCTGCTCTGCCCCCGCACTTGTATGGCATCCCATCCCCAAGGGAAGCAGGAGGTCCGGTACGCTGCGGTCCGGTCTGGGCCGGTCCGGGCCGGTCCGGTCTCGGGGCTTGGAATGCTTCGCTGGTCAGCGCCCGTACAAGGCAGCTCTATCACGGGGGTGGGGTTCCGTGTGTGTGTGTGTGCATCTGTGCGTGTGGATGCGTGCGTGTATTTGTGCATGTGTGTGGGTATGGGTATGGGGAATCTCAACAAAGGTAGCGTTAAAGGTAACCCCAAACGTAGAGCTTAAGCAGCGCGTATCAAGTGACAGATTGTCTGCGGCAAGGAGGCCATCGGAGACGATCAGTCGATTGCCGTCTTGGGGAAACCATAATTTCCAAACCATTTTCCACAAACAGTACATACATACACATGTCATTGCTTTCCACCCAATAAGGCCGGCCCCTGTAAGTATGCTTTAAAAGAAAAGAAAAACTTTTAGAAAACATTTTCCAAACTGACCACAAGAAATGGAAATTCTTATTTTTTTTTTATAAAATGTCAAAGATCTACAAGAAAGTTGATGTGATTGGAAAAGGATAAGTAATTAATTCAATATATATTGAGTTTGATTAAATTCGAGAGGCTTTAGATGGGATTAAAAGTGAACTTTGGCAGCTGAAGATTGTACCCTAACTATAGAGAAATTGGTAAAGATTCCATAGAAGAAATGGGTAAATCGTTGCCGCGAAAAATGTTGATTTTTGGTTCAAGAAAAATAATTAAATTTTGTGTGGCAAAAGAGATTAAAAGAAAAGGTTTTCGGAGAGTTGTATTTTTATAACAATTCAACAGAAATGGATAAGGTTATTTGTGCATTGAAAACAAAGCAGACTATAGTTTATTATAAAAAAAAGATATCGGTATGCGTGGGGGCTAAAATTTGTATCAGTAAGGAATTGATTGGTGTGTAAAAGTAAAGATTGCAGATGAGCTGAAGGTGGAATGACTAAGCACTGACTAAGGTTGAATTGTAAATTACAGAACAAACAATAAAAAGAACAAATTGAATCTGAAAAACAGATGTGCAATTATGGAGTTTGTCATGGAAAATGGTAAGCCCTTCCAAGTATCATCACGAGTGGACTCGTTGCTTGTTGCTGACTCTGTCTTTGCTTGAGTAATTGAATTGCATTGAATTGAATGTTTAATTAAACCGAAAGAAAGTTGTTGAACGAAATATAAAGTTTACAAAGTGCTGTGAAGGTTGTTGCCTGCCATAGAATTCTCACACTGGGGGGCGCCCTGCTGACAGGCTGTGGCCGTACCGCAAGTACACTTGGCCATGTTGATTTCAATCAATATTCATGAAATAACGTTGTAATTAAATGTGCACACTTCGCCCTCTCGTTGTACCCAGTGAAATACACACACACATTTACCCATAAAGCCCATGGTACACTCAAGTCCTGTACATTCCTGCGAACGCGTCACACGTGTCCTTTGCAGAGAGAGAGTGAGAGAGAGACAGACAGCCAGCTACAAACATATACGAGGCGAAGGAATCCATAGAGAGAGAGAGACAGTCCAGGGAGCAGCGACCTTCGCTGCTACGTCACAATACTTGAGGATACACAAAGAAAAGGCAGCGAAGGCGGAGACTTTGAATACCCTGCAGCGTTCCCATATTTTGTGACAAATTGCTTGCAATATAAAGAGACACAGAACTAAAGAACTAAACTAGTTTAGCTTGTTAAATTTCAAGGGAATATATTCTTATGAATGAATATCTTTGGGTACAATTACAATTTTGTTTCTCGTTCGTAGTTCGATTTTAATTTTTGGGTTGTGATTTATTTAAAAGTCTATAAAAATAATAATAATGCTTACCTTCAAGTGGTTTATTCAGAGAGCTTTTAGAATGATTCGAAATCTGATAGTTTCTTTTGCGCGCTGCAAACATGTGTTGACAGTCTTTGTGCCCTTCTGCTGTAAGAAAAATAAGTGCAAAACAAATCCTTGCAAACAAACCGAACCAAGAAAAGTGTAGAAAGACCATAAAAAGGGTGCAAACGGTAGTGTGGCAGAGGCAGTGGCAGTGGCTGTGGCGGGGGCAGTTTTAAAAATAGATGCCGCCAAAAATCTAGGACACAGACACAGCCCCCTGCTAGTGGAGGGGGGAGTCCGACAACGTCAATGACGTTGCAGACGTTTTGTTTCTTCCTTTTGCCTCTTGCTCGGTTTTTTTCCCCCACTGCTTTTCGCTGGTTCTTTAGCTTCGTCTCGACTCCACCTTCCTCAGCCTGTCGCTTCGGTCTGCGTTCGTGTCCAATCGGCACTGGGTTACTGGGTCTGCAAATCAGATGCCACCCTGAGGCAGCATCCGGAGCAGCGGCAGCGCCCAGCGCCAGCATCCGGCCCCGCGCGGACTATGACGTCAGCAAAACGGCGGGTAAATGGCCTCTGCAGACGCGTCACATGTTGCTGGCTGCCGCCACACACAGTGTGGGTGCCACATCCCCATAGACATACCCATACCCATACCCAAAGCCACAGCCACAGATATCTCTTCATCTCTAGTGCTATTCCTATTCGTGTGTCCCCCTGACATCGCCTCGAACTTCAGCAACAAACAGAACGAGGAACAATATCAACAATGTTGCGGCTGCCCCTGAAAGTAGGCAGGACATTGGGCATTGTGGTGGTGCTCTTTAAGACGGGACTTGAAGTCGCTACAGGAAATAAATACTGCATAGCTGGTGTATTTATATGGTGTGTAGGCTGTTGTCTGGTGAATAGTTTTAATAGGTAAGTCATTGGGAAACCTGGAAACGAGGGATGGGAGCACAACAGCAACTCTAGAGTTGATTATATTTAATTTTTTAAACTTTTTTAGCCTTTAAAATTAAATCTCTTCTTCAATCATAAAGCAAAGAACGAATTTTCTATTTAAAAAATAATAAATGCTGCTACATAAGCATGTCCTTTTTTTGGGATTCAAAGAGTTCGTACGAACTAGAATGTTATTCTGATTCGGAGTATACAGAATATTAGAAAATATGTGAAGGGGCCCCCGTGGAGCGATTTGAAGTTAGAACTAAAATGTATCTATT